GCTTGGGCTTCGGCTCTGCCGCGCCATTGGCTTCCTCAGCCACTGAGCTTCTTATCACGCCACTTTTTCTACCAAAGACACTGCTTTTAGAGCCGTTATGGTACAATCTTAAAGAGAAACTGCTGTTTCTGATTCTCTTGGATTGAATTGGGTGCGAAGGAAATAGAACTGAGCCAAAGCGTAAGGGAGGTGGTGGAAGTGCTTGAAGCTGGAGATGTAGTTGTGCGTGACCATAACTCATTTCGCATTAAGCTGAAATAGAGAGAAGAGTGAGAGTGGCTGAGAAGAATGGATGAGATAACGTGCTTCAACTGTTATTGGCGCTCGTTTTGCTTTGTTGGGTTTTCTGGGGGTTTTGGGCTGAAAGAAGAAAACTAGCCCAGTGTAAATTGACTAGAATGGACCACAGCCCACTATAATTGGGCAAATTGACGGGAGCTGTTGCAATGAAGAGCTTAGAGTAGCGAAATTCTACAGTGAGGGTGTCATATATGAACCCTTCATGTAGACTTTCATATTACTCATAGGATCATTTCATTAAACTTAATCACAAGATCATTTCATTAAACTTAAGCGAAATTACTATTCAGATGAATCATGTTGCTAATATGAAAGTTCACATTTATGATTCATATATGACACCTTTACCATATAACTACTCGCTTAGAGTGAGGGGGTTGTTTGGGGTTCATTTAAAATGTTTAAGTCTAATAATTTCTTTACAATTTTTTTATGGTGGGATTGGACCCCTCAAACAACCCCTTCACTCTAAGCTCCTCATTATAACATTTTCGCAAATTGACCATGAATGAACCCCAACTCAGTGTAATTGGGTTTCTAGAGTCATTCTATAGTGAGAGATGAGGTCATATCTCTTATTTGATCCAACGGTTAAGAAATAGAGCCCGCAGTATAGAATTCTTGTGGGTTTCTAATGTTGTCATGTGTAACGACGTGGGTTAGACTAATTGGTGAAGGCAATCAACCTCTTGCACTCAAGTATGAATCCATAGTCCTGTAGAGTAGATTTATTTATGATAGTTTAGACTATTGTTGGTATAATAAAAATACATGCAAGGCGAAATTCTAGTATTTTTGTAACTCAAATTTTTTTTCTCCTCATAATCCTCTTACTTTCTTACAAGTTTTAGAGGTAGATTTGATTGTCATTACTTACTTATTGTAATTTTTTAGAGAAGTTTTTAATATTGGGACTCTGTGTGTGAAGGGGGGAGGCTTGTATCGTGCATCCTTTATCACAACAATTACAATTGATAGAAAAGTTCAAAACTTTGTTGGTTGAGGACATGGCAATCTTACGTGGGATTTGGATCGACTTTTGAAATATTGGATTAATATATAGCTAATGAATGGTCATGATTCATTCAACTTCTTTAATTGGATTCTAAAGTAAGGGCAAATTTGTCATTTCACATAAACAATGAAACCCTAGATCTAACTATAAAAAGGACTTGTACCCTACCATTTTGTTTGGTCTTCCTTGAAGATGGGTTCTCTTGGAATTTCAAGGTTTCAATGCTCTCAAGCAATTCATCTTTTGGTCTTGACTGCTTCAGCAATTGGTGCTTTCAAACAAGGTATGCTTAGGCATGCATACTGATATGAAGATCTGTAGAGCAAGAAACTATACTCCACACAATGATTCACGGTTGATTTCTAATAGAAGAGTGTGCCTGCCAATTATTGCCTTGAAACATGGTGGATTGCTTGCGGAGCGCCTGAGATCTCCAAAAGCCTAAAAAGATGTTTTCATTGTTTGAGAAAGGTTGCTATTCATGGGCTGCTAGTAATTTTGGGTAAGGAACCTGCACAATAGGAGAAGCTTCTTTTGTGGAAGCAATTTTTCTCTTAAACTTTGTTATTTATTATTTTATTATTATCTGTTGTTTATGATTCATGTTAAAACATAAAGAAAGAAGAAAGAAATAATGAGAATTTTACTTATCTTTTTCTTTTTTCAAACCCATTTTCTAATAGAAAAATCTCAAATAATATATATGTATTTTATTTCATTTTTCCTTTTAATATAATATAAATTATGTGGAAGGATATTCGAACTCGAGTACAGAATGAGACACATCAGCTCTAATCAATTTAGCTAAGTTTATATATGCAAATAATATATATTTTAAAATTAGTTTCTTCCACTATTTCATGCAAGTAAAAAGTATTTTTCCAATACAAAGTAGCCATCTAATTTTAATTGAATAAAGTCTTTGATGTGCTCCCAAGTGGTCTTGAGTTTGAACCCCCTATATTTGTGTGTTTCCCCATCCCATCCTAATCTTGGCAAAATAGATGAGCAAGATGAACTCTATAAAATAACTGCAAAGATTATGATGCTATATATATATATATATTTTTTTTTTTTTTTTTTTTATTTCAATGAATGATTTTATTTTTTTGTTTGTTTGATACAGAGTTAGAGAGGAAGGAGTTAAAAAAAACAATTAATCATGTTATCAGATGGGCCCTAATATCATGAATTGTGCCATATTAAGGTATATACTGGTGTGCATCCAAAAATTTATACATGTGTAGGTGTTTATGTGTGTGATGCATGCAAATTGTTTTTAAAAGTTTTGAGAAAATTTGGAAAATATATGATTAAGTTTGTCCTTTTCATTTGTGAACGATAAGACATAACATTTTACTTAGGGCATATTTGGGAGTGTTTTTGCAATGGCTAAAAGCGCTTTCCAATAAATTCTGACTGCATTTGGCAAAACAATTCAAAATTTCTTACGAGTCATAAATCGCTTTTTGGAGAGGTGCTTATGAGCAAAAGTACATCATGTAGAAGCACTTGCATAAGATTTTTCATTAACAACTTAGGGCTCGTTTAAAAGTGATTATGAATACCAATAATCACTTTTATGGAGAATTATTTATCCAAATAATCACTTTAAGTGATTTTTTAAGTGATTTTATGGAGAAGCACATACTTAAAAACACTTTTAGTGATTTTCTGGAGAAGCACATAGGAGGTGCTTCCAAGGGTAGAGCCAGCATGGGACTAGTGTGATCCCAGCCCCCACTCCATTTTTATCTCTTATATTTGTATATTATATATGATATATGATATTATAATATATTAGATTAGTTTTAGGATATTTACCTTAAAATAAAATAATATATTAGGTTCTCTTTGTTCATAAATTAACCATAAAATTTCTTGACCTCCCTTCTACTCATCTCCCTCAAATCTTCTAGGTTAGTTTATGATATTTGCACTAAAAACTCCTAAAGTTTTAACATCTCTCTCTCTCTTTTTCTTCCTCTTTTATTTCCTCTTTTTTTATGTATGAATTGAGTATCTAAATATTGCGGTTTATGAATTTTTTTTTCTTTTCTATGTTGGAATATAAATTACTAATTTTAAGGGGAGATTCACTATTATACCCAATATAGGAGCCCAAATTATAAATAAATAACCTATATGAAATGGACTTTAGAAACACACTCAAAGCTCATTTACAACATAACAAAAAGACTTTTAACTTCTTTTAAATTACAAAACTGTCATTGATTTCTTAAAACAAACTCAACCCTAAAATCTCATTAAAAAGCACAAAACACTCAATAGGACATCAAAGTAATTTAATAATCAAAATTAAATTCAATAGGGCCAGTTGTCATTTTTTGGATTTTTTTTTATAGAAATTAAATTATGTAGGGTTTATTTATAGTTTTAGTGCTAAGAATGGGTATATGACTAAATATCTCTATTTTTAAGTCTTTAATAGTGTAGATGATGAAATTAGTATTTAACCAACTTAAAATATGAAATTCATGATAATTATGAAGAGAGATAGGTTTTATTTTATGAATGGCCCTCTTTAATGTGAAATATTAGCTTCGCCACTGGTGCTTCTTCCCAAAAATGATTCTGGCCTATCTAGGATCACTCTCCAAACGAGCCCTTAAATGTGCTTACATTTGAGAGTGATTTTGGCCCAAAGTGTTTTTGGTTAATTACAAAAACTCATTTATTTTTTGTAGTTTTTGGTAAAAATAGATAGAAGTGCTTTTTGCATGGTTAAAAAACCATTTAACCCAAAAAGCAATTTTGTCTTCATGGAAAAGTAAGGTCTATGAAGAAACGTTTGCAGATGAAAATGTAGTTTCACCATGTAAAGATCATTTGAGTAAAAAAATCACCAAAATCAGAAACAAAATCATTTGATTAAAGGTGGTAACTATTTCCCCAATGAGATCTAATCCAGTGAAAAATACATTGATTTGCATAACAGTAATTTTCTAGTCCGAACAACCATGGCACCTTGGTAGTGTATGTCAGAAACATCTTTCCCTTCTAGCTTAGACTATCGCTTGTATTAAAAAATGTGGTAACTTTAGTGTTTCTAGGAAGCACTCTGTTAGTCTATTTTCCTTGATAGGTCTAATTTATTTATTTATTTTGTAGAGATGATCAACTTGAAAATAGACGATTCGGATCATCGAATCATTGGAGTTGGAACTTCATTAGGTGTTCTTCAATCAAGACATAATTTTGGAATACTGAGCAAAATAAGTACCAAAAAACAAAACACTTCCTACGGTTCTCACGAAACACTAAAAGTTCTTTTTCCTTAACTCACAATGCGTCCATATGTTTTGCTTAATTTCGTTGTGTAGATATTAGCTTAGTTTCATTTCATTCTACCTTTGATTTTATCTGATTCTAACGTTCATGCTAGGAATCTAACACTAGTTGGTCTACTACTTTTGCCTTTAAGCTCAAACATCTATTGGAAACATTTATACCGTGACAATAACAATGGGTTCATCCAAGGTAAAGATGTTGGCCTTAAATCAAGTATAATTGGCTTCAATTTATTTGGAGTGCAAAGAGAACCCCAACGAACTTTTCGACTTTACAAAAATGTTGCTGAGCAAAAAATTACAGAAGCCAACATCAGTATTATGAGAAAATACAATTGCATAGTTGTCAGGTTGGGGTAGTTAGCTCCTAACGCTCAAACTTGAGTTGATACCAAGGCTTCCAAATCTTTAAGGGCTTCGTCGACTGCATAAAGTATCATTTTCTTTATCTGTTCCACAAAGAAGATGAATGACCAAACAAGTTTAGGAGAAGAAATAAAGTGAAACAAAATTGCTTACAGTTAAACAGAGTAGTTACCTCAAGTTTGTCTTCTCTAGCTCTATGGTTCTTCGGAAGTTGTCTGAACTCCTCGGTCAAACGGAGGCACTCGTGGACGTTTTCAGGAGATACGAAGTCTGCTGCTACTTTTGTACAAGACTGCAGGATGAAAACATAATATTTTAGAGGAACTGTTAAACAAGACAAAATCTTTGGAAAGAGGAATCGTGAAGATAACTAATGATATAGGACCTTGAGATTCCTGACTTGGTGTGGACATCCGGCTGGAATAAATACTGCCTCTCCAAGTTTTTGTAGAAATGTCCATGGTTCAACACCAAATTCCTCCTTCAGCTTCTTTTTGTGCTCCAATGTTAAATAAAAAGATTGGTCATGAATTGGATGAATGACCTGAACACACAAAAATAAGGGCATAAAAGTAAATAAATACATATATACAGCCCCCTTTTAAGCACAATTTGACTAGACAAAAACTGAGGATAGATACATACCCGTTCAACTAGTGAACAATAGGTGTGCCTAAATTCCTTATAATGTTTCATAAGGTATGCCTCTAATTTAGGAACATCCTCTCTCCGGAAGATGTCCCACAAAGCACCACCAGTTTCCTCTGCCACTTCAGTGGAGGAAGAACCTGATGTAGTGGGCCCATCTAACTCATCTTCATCTTCATCTTCATCTACTTTCAATTCTACGTTAATTTCAGGAGAGAGAGTGTTTTCTAGAGCTTCTCTATCCTGTGTCTGTTGACCAGGTTGTCCACCATCCTTGAGAGAATTCATCCAATCCATAAGCTCTCTTTCATCTTGGGCCCTATGTAATTTGTTCAACCTTGAAATTGCAGATTGCTGCTCATCACTTAGCTGTACTTCTGATGTGTGTGTCAAAATATTCACCTACACAAATTGAAATAACATGTCAAAATATCGGCATAAACCTTTTTTTTTGGGTCGCTGCAAAGTGAACCAATATCCAGGGAAAGACATTACAGTACGAGAAAGAATAAACAAAAAGAGAGTAGTAATAGTTTAAAGTCATACTGCATCGGACATGTCGCAATGAAGTTTAGTTACAGAGTCCCCTCTTCCAAGCTCTTCCATAAGCCCATAAGCAATATATGTTTTTGGGCCCATGTCTGGTTTCAAAACACCTGGTGGCAACTTAACAGCAAGGTTGAGAATACCAGCTCTAGGATCCGTGTACTCTTGAAATGGCAAGGCACTGATAAATTCATCACAATGGCGGGGCAAAAGGTCCTCGAACTTATCAGAAGGGGGCCAATCCTTCAGCTTAAGCATCTCTGGCCATAAATTACTATACATTCTCCCTTCGGTGTATCCTTCAAAAAATTCACGAGTACTGATTTCCACCTGAAAAAGTTCACAAATCGGCATTAGAAGTGCATGGGTAGGGAAAACCAAGTCAAAAGAGAAAAAAGTGTGTGGGAGGGAGACAGAAGACTTTTAAACCACTCCTGGCAGCCACAGGTCCAGGCAGGAACAAGCTTGTGCCAAATCAATGAAGTGTGGTCTGTCTTTTTTGGAAAAGTTTTGGCTTTTTCCAAAAGTGAAAGGTTTTTTGTGGCTAAAACCTAAATTTACTTAAAAAAGTAGATTGAAAAGGAACTTATAGATATTCAAACAAATGCAATGCCAAATAATTTTTTTTTTGCAAGAAAGTTAAAAGAGTGCATAGAGCAATAACTGGTAAGAGAACCTCACCTCACAACCCGCCAGGCAATCGATGGTCTTTACTTTTGAAAACTGTGAGGTACTAGCTGTATCCATATTTTCACTTAAAGCACGCCACATGACCATTGGCTCCCAGCTCAATCCATTTGCCTGTTCAAGCACATTTCTGACAATAACTGGTTCACCCTTAACCCAATGTTCTTTGAAGCGCAAAAGCCCTTCTTCTTTCAGAGTGTCCCTTGAATCTGGACAAAATAAGAAGTTTTCACAAGAATCCTCTCTAGAAGCTGCTTTTAGTAACGCATCCTTTCTTGTTTCAGCACAATCATGCTTGAAAGTAGAATGTTCTGTTCGGAAAATCTCTAATAAATGTTTTGCTTTGACTTCTAAATTTGAGATCCAGTCAGGTGGAAGGATTCGCTTAAGATCCAACATGCAATCACCACAGCCACCCATTTCTTTCGGAGCACAAGTAACAGTAGCATCATCGTTTGCCTTCCACTCAGTGAACGGCTCAATATGGTCCTGTGAAGCTTCTAAGGGACAACAGTCAGGTGATGGGTCTCCACCATGGATGTAATCATAACCCCTACTCCTATATTGAAATTTCACTTCTCCACGGTCTAAGAGGCATCCCTGGCGAATTTCTCGGCAACAACTTAGACAAAGTTCATAAGAACATTTTGGGCAGCTTCGATGTAGATCAATGATTGAAGTTGCACAATGGTTGCTATTCCAAGCATTGAAAAAAACATTTAGACAGTGACCAAACAATCATATTGTATTAATGTCTAGTAAAGTACAGATGCTTACCAATAGACACGCTCATCATTGAAACAAAGGGTCTGTGGTATTTCAAATTCGGAAGGTGAAAGTCCTGCCAGAACAGTTTTTGTTAGTGTCTAAAACTTCAAAATAAATTGAAACCAAAGCCAAAAATATTTAATACCGTACCTCGAATATTAGCTTCAATCTCTATCTCTTGAACTTGTTCTTGAGAAATTTGCTTTAAAAATGGAAGCAGGTTGGAAATTAAACACTCCAGATGCTGAGCCCTCTCACGATCACTTATATCCCTCTTTGGTGTCTAAAGTTCCCAACAAAAGAAAAAAGAAACGTCAATGGTAATTTTTATCAGAGGGAGCAACGGATAGAAAACAATCTGTGTAATAATAGGGAAACCAACCTCAATCACCCCAGCTGAGTGCAGGCATGCATTACAGTTGCAATTTCTGCGGCAAAATGGGCAAAGGTCCTTCACTTCCTTTACTTTCATGTGAGGATACCTATAGGAACAATAGAAAGAAACCATGATACAATTAAAATGATTGCAAAAAATTATTCAAATTCAAAAAAAAAAAAAAAAAAAAAAAAAAAAAATGTATCTGTATAAAAAATACATACATCCATTGATACAGCTTGGATACAGCAATAGGAGTTCTTTTTACACTTGGAGCAGGAAACTATGGTTTTCTTCTCCTCTTTCATACAATGATGACACTTCAAATAAACTTCTCTATTATCCTGCTTTAAGAAGGAAATACAAAATTTTCTGTCAGACTAATTTATTTTCTTAAATAAATAAAATAAAATACAACTCTAGGGGAGATGAATGAATAGAGATATAATACCTCCGTATATTTCGAAGTGCATGATGATCCAGATGAAGATGGTGGTGAAGAGGATGAAATTTTGCTAGTAGTATTCCTTAACTCATATTTTACTCTTTCATCCTTTGAGGAATCTCTTCCCATCACTTCACAGTCAACACTTCTCCTTTTCCGCGATCGTGCCTTAATCAAAAACATAATTTCTTCATCTTCTTCCAATTCATCCATCGAAAAATCATTTTCACAACTTTCTACCACATTTGAGGAGGCACTTCGCTTTTTTGAAATCCTTTTGCCATTTGAGGATCCTTCTTCCTTTCCATGATGCAGGAAATTTGAACGTTTTCTCTTAGGTGTACGGATCTTGTTATCATTATACTGCCCCAGCGTTCCTTGTTCTACTATCAAAACTTCCATTCTCACTTACCTATAAAACAAAAGAGATTCTTAGGTAACTAGTACTGTAGTAGTATTCAAAATTAACAGTCTATAATAGCTTGTGCAGATTAACATAATCAACACATCCACACGTCAATTGTGTTCACATAATGAAAAAACAATGTCTATTGCACCATGCAACATTGTATTTGTACAATTTCCAATCTGTTTTGATTTGAGTCAATGCAGAACAAAGACCACAGTTGACTTAAGTCAACCCACAATTCAGGTTAATTCAATCCCATCCCATAAACCCTTGATTCAAACTCATCCCATAAAGCCATGATTCAATCAATCCCATCCCAGAAGACCATGATCCAATCCCACCCCAGCATGACAATTTTCTTCTTCTGTTTTTTTCTTGATCAAACAGGACACTGCATTGATGAAGGCCGCAGCCAACAGCAGTACAAGGGAAACAAAGATAGCTAGGGAGGGAGCCCGTCCCTTGACAAAACATGCATGCATTAGGGCCTTGACAATTTTCTTCTTAAGATAACAGATTTCATTTTATTTTCTATTTTAAGTGCCCAAAACAAAAAAAAAAAAAAAAAAAAAAAAAAAAAAAAAAAAAAAGAAAAAAGGAAAAAAAAAAAAAAAGACGACGAAACACGAGAGAAAAAAAACAAAATCACAACAAGAACCAAATAAAAAGGCGAGAGGTGTAGAACGTTATTGATCTCAACAACGGGACCGGACCTACCCCTACCCCTACGAGAGAGATCCAGAAAACCACAATATTCAGCTGAAACTGGTTTTGAGAGGCGTTGATTGTTGAAGCTATCGAATTTCTTAAAATTTGGGGTTTGTGAGTGACAGACGGATCTGCAAGCTCGACCAAGGAGAAACGCCAAACAGAGAAGGCGAAAGATGGGGCGGTAAATTTTGACGAACAATATTTATAGAAAGTTACGCGTTTCCCGAAAAGCCTAGGAAAGAGGTAAGTACCCGTGTGCGTTTGGTGAAAAACCAAATTTTTCCTGTGTGCGTCTGGTTCTATTCCTTTATTGCCCTTTTAAGCAAATACGGTAATCCCTTGTTTTGATTCGTACATTAATTTTATTCGGCATGTTTGCCTTTTTTGTTGATGGGAGAGGAGATTTGAGAATGGGATGGGAAATCAATTGATTTTCTGTGTTCGGTAAGTATAGTCATGGAAAATGATTGCTTATCACATAAGAAAATATGGGAGAAATTGTAACTCACCACCCCACTTGGGTTTCATTTTCCCTTCTCGAAAGTTTGAGAAAATAAGCCAACATCCAATGCACATTTTATATGACAATTTTGTACCTGCTAGCAATTTAGAATTACAATATAGCATTAAATATTATTTTTTTATTTGATTTCGTATGGATATAATTAAAAAATTAAACATACTTTGTTTTACATTCCTACACAAACCAAACATAAGAAAATAATTAAATGGTATTTCCTGGTTACCTTTCGAGCATTACCAAACATGAAAAAGAAATAAGAAATTAATTCCCATCAAATCTTTTCCGTAAACCAAACAAGACATAGTTTGTTTTAGTTCCTGTTTAGCCCTTATTCTTCTTTTAGTTTGTAAATTCATGTACTCGCTAAAAATAAAAAAAGGAACAATTTTCATCTACGAGAATGCTAACTACCTTCACCTCTTGCCTTCTTAAAAGGGGAAAGCAAGATTGAGGAGGAAACAAATTTCATTTACGAGAATGCCTACTACCTTCCTTCACCTCTTGCCTTCTTAGAAGGGGAAAGCAAAGATTGAGGAGGAAGCAGGGAGCACGCGGGAATTCAAGAATGCAACTTTTTGTTTTTTTTGGGTAAGCATAATTGAACAAGGCAGGCAACAATGCTACTAACATCAAGTCCTGCTTGGTTACAATGGCAAGGAGGACAAGGTTCACTGTATTATGCTCTTTAAGGAGATCCCGTAGATTTACAAACCAATTCAAAGTCAGAATTCCTTGCATAATTACACGATTTGTCAACAGAAACATAAAAAGAAGAAAAGGGAGCTGAATCATAAACCACTTCAAAATCACATAATTACACAATTCCATTGCCCTTTTCATTCTCTTCTGGTTTGCTTCCTCCTTTGGACAATGAATAACAAAAACTCAAGCTGGCATGGCTCGCCAGAGCCTATGCTCAGCTCTCTTCTCTCTCTCTCTCTGGCCTCCCCATATGCCTTGCTATCGGCTCATTTAATTTACAGTCCAACTATCTTCTTCCACTTGTGCAACATTGTAAAGGTCAAATTTACACCTAAAATGTAATTTTCCGACTTGCAATTTAAGGCTGTGCATAGTCTTCAACAACATCAGGCAGAGATGGTGAGGATCCACCTGTCATTCTGCTAGGCACTGGGGTGTTCCTCCGAGAATGCCGTTTTGTGGGCACAATCACGCTCTCATTTTCACCCTTGTCAATCGACTCAATGTCTTCATCGTCATCACAATCTCTAAAAACTGGATGGACATATGCGCTCTGAAGATAGCCTTTCAAATTCAAGTTTGGTTCTTTTGCACGTTCCAGAGTATCTTTCATCATTGCTTCCTAAACCCAGAAAAACAAATAGTTAAACGTTGATGATAATTGTCATTAGTAAATCTTAGAGAGAGAGAGAGAGAGAGAGAGAGAGAGAGAGAGAGAGAGAGAGATCATGTGCATAGTATAAAAACCAACTTCAAGAGGCAATAGGGGCAAGTGAAATTACCTGTAATGGATATGTCACAAATGCAGGTTCGAAACGACCTTTGCAATACCTATAGAACCATATGGTCAGCACTGGAAGTGCAATGAGAAACGGTGTTGACTGAGCAGCTTCTTTTGTACTCAACAATCCAAAAAGGAGGAGTTGTGAGATAATCAATGCAGAGACAACACGACCATGGACATCAGGCCAGAATGCTGCAGCGCTTTCATACTCCTGGTTATAAACATTTATGATCTGCATGCGGAGAATAAAAAGCATATGGGTTAAAGAAAGTGATATATCCTACAAAAAGAAATAGATAAATGTAATCCTTCGTCTGTGAAATTCTATAATCAATATACCAACTCTTTACCTGATGACGGAAAACAACATAAGCCAGGCCAAAGAAGATAATTATGAACGGAAGTAAGGCTGGTGTCACTGTAGCATACACAAGGCCTAGTAAGAAATACAACTGTATACGAGGCTCTCCAGTGTTGAAACCAATACTTCCTGGATCCATTGCCTCCTCCCTATCCTTATCGGTCTTAACCAGGAAGAAATTCTTCAAATGGAATATTATCAGTGGTTTCAACATCAAAATCTCTGCAGCTATACCAGCCCATCCATCAACCATTATATATGTAATAAAGAAAGTTGCTTTCATTGGGATTGCAACACCAATTGTTTTTGGAATCCTGCAGAAAGAAGAAAAAAACTTAATTTTCATGATCTGAATCATGCCAGAAAGAAAGAAAATAACTGACAATAATATCCTTATTTATTAAGTCAATTGTTAAAAAGCACTTAATGTAATAAGTGTTCTCCCTATATGTACTACAGATTTAGGAATTTTTTATACAGTTTGAATTGTAAACACAATATCTCTATCTGAAAACCACCTCAACACCAGGTTTTCTACACAAATTTTAGAATAAGATTTCTCCTAGTCAGAAAGGCTCAAAGAATTACCTTAATCCTCTATGGTTTAACACAGAACTGTAATTTCAAAACTGTCTTGGATGGAAGATGCATATCTTGTTTAAAAGCAACAACTTTTTATGGATTATTTTAGAATAACTTATCCATTAAAACCATAACACCTGAAGCCACACAAACCAATTTATAACCTCTTGCACACAAAAACACAGGTTGATTTATAGAGCATCAGCCTACAAACGAATCCAGACATGCAAATATTATCGCATAGCCAAAATAAGAGACACTGAACAGTATATTGAAACAAATTATCTTGAAGAACTACGTACTCAGTTGCTGATTGGTGAATGAAAGTATCTAGCTGTTCAAACGCTGTTCCAGCAATAATGCTCCCAAGGAATACATTCACAAAACTGAAGAGATAGTATCTAGATGCGGCTCTCCTTTCAAGGGAAGACTTAGACATAAAGCCCTCAAATTTAGCCATGATCATCAATATGGTTGGCAGAAAGATTAGAAACAACTTCAGTGCAATCCCAGGTAGAAAACCCGCAATGACTGACTTAATGAACTTCCTGCATATGAATCAAGGTGATATAGTAATTAGTAAAGGAAGCCAGATAAGAAGTCAAAAAGTACCAAGGCTAAGATAACTCACATTTCTACAATGGGTTTTAGGAATGGAGCTGCTTTCTCGATTCCCTCAAGGCTTGCAAAAGATTGTACAATTGCAATCGGGATCATGAAAAAGAAGGTGAGAAAAAAGAATGCAACGCCCATAATTAGTCTCTTAACTGAGAGTGAAACATATGGAATTGCCAGGTTTGGCCAATATACATCACGTGGCTCCGGAGCCCAATCGGTTAACCAAATAGTTGGATCTCTGGATTGCTGAGTTTGTGCACAAACAGCAGCACCCCATCGAGTTTTAAAGGAAACAAAGGCAGCTGGCATGATAGACTTGGAATCATTTGCAACCCTCTCCTTTTCTTCAGCTATCTGAGAAAGAAAAAAATAATGCATTCAAATCAACCAAGACCACAGGAATTAGAAATTTGACTAAGAACTCGAGGACTGGTACTTACATCATTTGACAATTTCTCAATCTCAGTTTCATAATATTCAATTGCATCAACTTTAGTTCCCCAAAGCCCAAGAAAACCAGTCTGTGAGTAACACAAGCACAAGCCAGGTTAAAGCATAAATTAATTAGTAACTCTAAACACTGGAATCATATTAGCTCCTACATATGTGTGCATTTTAAGTACCTTCATTAAGGGCCTTGTTGAATTTTTACTTCTAGAAACTTTATTCCGATAGTAGACAAGCCAGTTCTGCATCTTTTTCCTCTTCTGTACCAACTTCGCAAGTTTATTGGCATTGTATACCACCTGCATGTAATATATAACATGGATTAAATTATATAATATACTTCTTTAAATAGAAATAATTGGAGAAGCATGTGCAGTTAACGGTTAATTAAATGGAGATGTTTCACAAGTCTATACTATTCAGGCAAGTAGAGATAAGTATCTATATTACATAATCACTGACTAACTATTCAATAAAAAGTATCTATGCAATTCTTGATGCAAATAAATTTATAGAAAAGTACGCATAGACTGCACGGCTGCTTTTGACTCAAAAAAATTTATTTCCCTCCACGTGAGAATATCAGAAGTCTATTATTAACACTAAGCTACATTTTATACTGTGTAATAATGTGTGTTCTGCTTTTTTATGGAACAAACCTGATGTGTAAGATAGTGATCTGGATGGTTGACCAGAAAAAAGTGCTCCACAAGCTCACTTGTAGATTCGTCTGCGTCTGGTGGAACATTTCTAACAAGGACCTGAGAAAAAACAAATTCATAAGATACAAAGTTGTTTTGTCATCTCTTTTTCTCTTCTCCAGGGTAGATAATGAAAATGAGTTGTTTGCATTCATGTAGCATTTCAAAATTATCACATCAAATAAGCCCAAATGATACCTCTAGCTACTATTCTTATCACAAAAGGAAAAACGCTATAGAAGTGAACATTGATCATTATAACAGATTTCAAGAAAGGAAATAAAATATTCCAAGAAAGGAAACCAAAGCCACCAAATAACCTCCAATGTTTGAAACAGAAAGTACCACGGTAAACTGATCAATAAGTCATATGTTTTATTTAACTATCCAATAACATGAACTAACATACTGAGGCATGGAGTCAATCTCACCGTAAATTGATCTGGTCGGCGCTGCTCTGTTGCAAGAAAATGCAACCGCATTTTGGCAACAGTCTCATACTCCTTCAGCAGCACATAGCATGTCCAAAAGGTAAAGATATAAGCCATCACTATATGACTCCAGAATCTGTCAAATACAATCACATTATTATTGCACTTATATATTGATAAAAAAAGATGAGTACACTTGACCAGAATGAAATTTAGAATGATAGATAATCTCCAGCTGAATTAGATGTCAATAACACCAATGACAAGATTGATCGAATAAGAATGCAGAATCAAAATTACAGAATTTTTAATTTGAGAAAATAGAATTACGTGATTAGTGCACTTACTTTATGTTAATACGAAAAATGAGTATACTAACAAGAACAAAATTTACATGTTGACATCCTCTTCTCAAAAGAAGTATTGTCCAATTAACTAAATGTTTCTAAAAGCAATAGTACATATCAAAAAGAATAAAGAAACAAAACAATACAAATGCATATGCATGACAGAACTTTTTATGTTTCTAAGCATCCAAAAGGGGCATGTGCTGTACAAAAATGGTAAAGTTACCAGGGGAGTAAAATTCATGAATACTTAGGAATGAAAATGTAAGATTAATAAGCAAGAAAGGAGGATTTCTAATGTGGGAAATTATAGTTCCAAGATTATCACTCTTAACTTATGTTAATAAGAAAGATGAGAGAACACTTAACCAGAATTAATTTGTAATGATTGATAAATAATAGCACCAGATATAGATAGAATAAGACTACAAAAACAAAAAATACAAATAAATGCTAACGTGAGATTATTTATTATGTTTCCCAATATAAAAAACAAAAAAAACAAAAAAAAACAAGTGTCATCAATATCTAGAAAGAATACAAGTCATTATTTGTAAGCAAGAGAAAAGGGTGGGTAGAAAGAATAAGTGTCAAAAATACCTTGGTGATTTAGCTGGGACATTTGAAATTGAGAGCTTATCAATGTCACTGGAAGTAACATTGGCTAGCTTTGCTAGATCCAAAGTGCTATTTGTCCAGTTGACTGGTACCAAAACAGCCCATGCGAGGAATGCTATAGGAACAAAGATTTTAAGCCTACAAGAATATACGAAGAATAGAATTATCAACATAGGCTAACGCATTATACTTAAAAGGGGAAAAGTAAAGCAGATAACAGTGGAAATATAAACTTTGAAGGGTGGGTGTGAGAGTTCAATTAAAACAGAAAACACTGAATACTAGTTCTTGAATTCACAATGAGAGCTGTGAGTTTGCAATCATAGTTATTCAGGATTGGATTTAGTAAGGTTGCTGATGAATGCCTGCCTTTTCTTGCATTAAAAGCACAACAAGTTTATGTGATAGGGAAGCAATGAAGCAAATAAGAAAGACAAGTGGAAGGTAATATTAATTTTTAATCACTGAAAAGCCTAGAATAAGCAGCATAATGCCATCATTAAGAGCAGAACATGGCGGTTCAAATATACAAGAAGAAAGTAAGTACATGCTGAAAGAAAAGAGAAGGAAATAGGAGAAAAATATTGCAGCCTACCCTATCAAATATATCCGTAAGTAAACTGCAGAATCCAATCCTGCATGATCAATAAGCTCCGGTTCCGGCATCTTCAACGCAGCTGGCATCCAATTCAAAAACCTTATATATGACCTAAAGTCCAGATTGACAAACTTGCGCACAAATGCACCAGAATGTGTGGGACTCTCCCTTAGTCCCTTAAAATACCATTTTGGAAAGTACACCCTATCATTGAAGGGTTGAAGCCTAAGAATGGCAATACTACAAAGAAAAGGAATGCGCTAAGAATATTGATGGCTGCTCCAACCCCTAAATCTCCAAGTGTAGCCATTTATATCTTCCAGAAACAAAAATGCAATAGCCTGTAAAATGAGAATGAACATCTACATTAGCGGAATAATATCCACACATAATATCCACATTATGTAAACACTTGTAATGGGTTTCTAACAATATCTAACAAAGGAAACTACAAACACTGGTATTACTTCCAATCAAACGCAATTTTTTTTACAACCTTGGAACCATTGGCATTTGATGAAATAGCAAAACAATACAATCTCAATATGGTAACACAAATGTATTTGACGACTGGCAGCTCATAAATTTTTCCCTTTGTTCACAGAAAAGTAATGAATTTTAAAGTCTTAAACAATCACAAATAAGTTAGACACAAAATGATCAAATAATCATTCGATGATACATGGTACCCGAAGCTTTACACCATACTTGTTTCTAGGAAATTATAATTCCCGGGAAAACCATCTTCTTTCCACAAAATCACACACAGATACAATTAAAAACCAGTTCAACCTCACGTAATTTCAATATGATTACCAACAGACACACCAAGACACAAAGTTAAACAAACAAACTTCTTTTCTTTATCAACAAAAAGAACATGAGATCTTAAGCTCAATAAAATAGTTGGTAAACCTGAGAGCTAACTTCACAATTTGGCCTACAGAAAACCCTGGAATTAAAACAAAGATGGAAGGAGAGAGAGAAAGAAAAGCAAACCTGGGATTACGGATTAGGGAGTGTTGGAATTGCTTCAAATTCCCATAAAAGAAAGCAAGATATTCCTCCCACGCCCTCGGCAGGAAACCCAGAACTCACGCTACTCTAACTGTGCCTCCCACTACGCAAGTTTGCAACTTCTAATCAGAGCCACAGAGAAACAGATGAGTGGGAATAAAATAACTACAAGAACGATCCCTTTCCAGACAGACACATGGAAAAATATCAATAAACCAAACAGTGGAATTCGTTTTCGTGGAAAAGAGCATTCAAAGAGAGGTGCTTGGAATTTGGGAAAAACGGTGGTTATGATGGATGGGAGAGAGGAAGGAGGTGGTTTGAGTTTTGTTGGCTTCCTTCTTACTCTGTCGTTGGGCTTGCTGGATTTAGTCAAGATTAGTCGTAATTAACTACGTCGTTTGGCCTTCGATGTCGGCAAGGTGCCAAGTGGGACGTCCAACGGCTACTTTTTTTGTGAGTGTCTGGACTCTACGATGGCAACGGGTGTTTTTTCAGGCGCGCTTGTGGGACGTGGAGGGCACGGACCAATTGGATTGAGCAATTGGTGAGGCTGTTCGACCCCGACAACAGTTAAGTCGTTGGAGATGAATGTTTTTTTTTTTTTTTTTTTGTTTTTTTTGTTTGTAACGTAAGAGACACTGTGATGTGTTGTGGCCGCGTGAATAGAGCGTCTGCTACGTGGGCTGTGATGGTTAAAGTGGCGACAGCTCGGACATAGTTGGATTAGGCCAGCGGCAACTGATTTACTATTGTTACAGGGCTGTGATTCTTGGGTGTAACAGGAAATTGACGCCTGGAATTTGCTTAACAAGGGCCCAACAAATGTCACACTCGCACACACCGCCAAAATGATATTTTGAGGCCATGCTCGCGGATATGGTTGGTTGTTGGTAAATATCAATTATCATGACATTTGATTTTGAAGCTTCAGAATAATGCAGTTTGTGCTTTTCTTACCACTTTGGCAATACATATCATTACTGATTTGGTACTTAGAAGTAGAAGTAATGTTGTTTTGCGAAATTAGTTATCATATTGTTAATCAGAAATACGCATTTCTCTTGCATTACATATCATTTTTAAAAAAAAATTAAATTTCGTAAATAATTAAAGTTATAAAATTAAAATTTTGTAGTTACACAACGTGTTTATGTTTACATGTTCATATTTTGGTTAAATATGTCATATGCACATTTGGAATTTGGTTGGCACCTTATCTTATCAAGCATTTATTAAATTGAGCTATTTAGATTTATGAGCATGTCATTTCAACGTGGACATTTAACCAAAAATTGGACACGGATTATTCTAGAGAATTATTATATAAAATGAAAAAGTTCCTCTGGGATTATTACTTTTCAAAACACGGAGATTAGTATGTCAATGACGACGATTAGACATGGCGCACTAGCATTAATTGATGTGATTTTAATGTTCCAACTTTTGGACTAATTAGTGGAGGACACTATTGGTTTGTAATATATTTAATACAATAAGCTGAAATCTGTCTTGGTTTCTTGGTCCTCCATTTGACATTTAGGAGAGCACAGAATTAGACAAATGGAGAATTTCTAGTGCAGGCAAAGACTAACCTAGATATCGTGCTGTTTGCCGACTCCGTAAAAATATTCCAATTTCAGGACAAAAAGATAAGGAATATACGAGAGCCCAACAAAGTAAACTTTCTTGTTTTGGGTCAGTCCAAGAAAACATGCGCAGAAAATGCAAAGTCCAATGGTGCGGCACAGAGAGGGAAAGCAAACAAAAAAGGGCCGAAAAACATGAATTTCTTTGTCAAACGACAACAACATACAATCAGCAAGGTTCAAGGTGAATGAAGGCAAACCAAAATGTTGATATTTATACTGGAATGGAACAAGTTGATATGAAGTAATATACAATGTCGTTTTTTCTATATTATTCTGCTGCCCATTTTTTCTTAGTGAAAACAAGATATTAAAATCATCTTTGTGCAGTGCTTATTTACAGATGATTGCAGATGATTTGACAGACAATCCAAAAGCAAGGGAGTTAGGACTTTGTTCTCTAGAGATCACTTGTCTTGGCATGTCATCTTAGTACTTCTTTTGCTTTGCTACCTCCCCGACATTAGATTGACTAGATCAGCTTGGCTTTCATAAAATGAACCAACATCCCAGTCCTCATTTGAAGATGAAAGTGTCATTAGTGCAACCACAATGGATCTCATGCTTGGCCTCAGTTGAGGGTTTTCTTGTGTGCAAGCCTTGGCAAGTTGTGCCATCTGCAACCACAACAGAAGACATCACAGCTTTTATTTTATGAAATAAGATTACTAGCTAGAGAACAAATCTGCATTCTGGAAGGAAATTTTACCTTACAGACTGAGTCAAGTGGGCAATCATCAGCGAGCCTGGGGTCAACAATTTTCCCCAGATCTTCTTTCGGATCTGGCTGACTTAGAATGTTTTCAAACTGCACATTAAGCACAGTTTTGATCAGTTAAGGGCTGATGGAAACCGTTTTGGGAGTTTTACTTGTTGATGAAGTAATAGTAGAGGCAACGAAGGAAAAACTTACCAAAGCAACTAGTCCCTTTGATTCACCAACATATTCATTTGTCCTAACAACAGCTTCCTTGGCAGATATCAGTTCAAAAAGGACAACACCAAAAGCATAAACATCTATCTTGGGAGAAACATCGCCATATTGAGCATACCTGTTCACAAATGCTTTATTCAGAGCCAAATACAAATGAAAATAATGTATATTTTCGAGATGTAACTTATTTGTGCATGGTTCAGATTATCAAGAAGAACATGCTAATATTCACAGCTGTGAACAAGGTTATAGTAATGAATGAGCTGATGAAAAAAACTTGGAAACTAATTGCGTACTCTGGAGGCATGTATCCGAATGTACCCACAAGACGTGTCTGCAATGAAGCACTTCCATATTCAGACAGTTTTGTTAGCCCAAAATCTGCAACCTGCACGGAAGTTTAATTTTACATATGCATTATACAGAAAAATTGCAGAGCCTACAATAACAGTTAAGGCCTTTTTACAACCTTTGCACGGAAGCTTTTGTCTATTAAGATGTTTGCCGACTTGATGTCACGATGAATGTAGACTGGAACAGTATGTTCATGGATGTATTCAAGTCCTCTAGCTGAATCCAAGGCTATTTGCATCCTGGTTGACCAAGGCAATGGATCTAGACCTGAGAGCAAAAGCTGTGAAATCAGAAAGAGGCCAGGAAGTTAGATACCTTATAAGCAGATGCATTATCTTTCTCACCTGAAGAACCACGCAAATGTTGACTCAAGTTACCATTCTCAATGTACTCATAGACTAGAAATAAGGAGTCCTCAACGCAATATCCTATTAAGCGCACCTGCATGAAGTTAAAACATTAATGCATGCTAGAAGATACTGATCAATCCACTTTATGGAACTACTTACTGAGTAGAAAAAGAAACTTTGTGACAATAAATTTACAGACAGGTTTACGTTGATTTGAATTCTTTCCCAACAAAAGTTCCTAAAATTTGTCTAAGCCCTTAGAGTCTGATATATTATACTCTGAGTAAATTCTCTTGCTCGATCCACATTAGCTAAAGGCCTCAGATAGAAAACCAATCCATTGCAAAGTTATCATAAAAAATATATAGAAAATTTCCAGTGTCATGATGCTGTCATAGGGAAAGTAGAATACCAGGTTTAAGTGATGAACATGTGTTAGAACTTTCAGTTCAGCAAGGAACTCTTTTGATGCCTGCATATCCATCCTTTTAATTGCTGCTTTCTGCTTGATGGGAGGAGAAAAGAGTCAGGCATTGGACTTTGCGCACAAGTGTCAAGTCAGATGACAAGCACTTGAAAGCTACATCTTCACTGATCAGTTCAAGAAATTTTCCTCATATTTAAAGACCAGGATTTGGTATTGATCATCATACACGTAAAACAGAATAAATAGTTATATGATTGTGTAGCTCATAAGAAACTTTGTGGATGGAACATAGAAGCAAGAACACAAACCTCGCCTCTAAGTTCTGCATAGTAAACAGCTCCAAATCCACCTTGGCCAATCTTATTAGCAATGTTAAAGTCACTAGTAGCCTTGGCAAGCTCTTCATATGAGAACTCCACCGATTTATCCACAGTTATACCTGTAAGGCCCGGAGAAGAAGCACCAACTAGAGCAACCGATTCCAAAGTTTTCTCCGAACTATGTCCGGAAACTACACATGACAAAAAAACTATCAATTACTGAAGTGAGACAACCATATGAAATTTTCCATTTGAAATACATGTATCGCAAAAATCTTTGGTATCGCTGGGAATAAGCCAGCTGCTACAAATGATTTCCAAAATATCCATGTGATTGCCTAGATGTGTTTGTCTCATTGATCATTTTGAATACATTCAAGTAGCTAACTCATACCTACTATTACTCAGAAACTTACTCTTATCAAATAATTTTCTCAATTTAAACTTATATTTCTCTTAGGATTATTTTTTAACTGACAAATGACAAAAAGAAAACGAGAGACAATTCATTGCATTAGAAGGATTACCATGTACATGTTGAATATACCGGTCTTCAGACGCTGCTGAAAGAAACGGTGCCTCAACTACCTTCCTTTTATAATGCCAAGCATATAGAAGAAGTGCCAAAATTAGAGCTGCAGAAACTCCTCCAACGCATATGCCAGCTATAGCTCCACCTGAAATACCTGCTTAAATGCCATCACAACGGAAGGCACAAGACATCATCAATGCCCATTTTGAAGTTTTATGTTTGACCTTGAACACATTACAGAGAGAGAGATATCATTGAAGCAGTAATCAGACAAGCTCGTACCACCTGCTCTGCAAAGAAGGACAAAAGGGAATGAGATGCAAATTTCTAGACAACATCAAAAGAAAAGTCTATATTAAGTGATCAATTAATGCAATGTGATATAGTTTACCTTAACTTCAATGGTGGAAAACTCCCATTTTGATCTGCAAAAAGGAAAGCCAAAATTTAGTGAGAAAAGCAGCAAACAGCCTCTATCACTCCTGGTAAGGGAGAGAAACTAACAGAAGTATTTTCTCTAATTCATAAATATCCAAGGAAGAAGCAGCCTTTGCCTTGGGTTTGAAGGCAAGGCTGGGCTGGTTTCTCACAGTATTGGGCCTTAAAGTTAAAGTATGAGTGGATATAAAGTATTCTAGCCGAGAACATAAAATAATCTGTAGCTGTGGTTCTTTGGCCACATGTGATTACTATAATAATCCACCACCAGAAAGTTAATCCAGCCCTTATATATGATTGATTAGTAACTTTCGTATTTCATTCACAGGAAATGCACATAATAATATTCAGGTCGACGGTCCTCGTGTTTTTTTTTTTTTTTTTTTTTTTTTTTTTTTTTTTTTTTGTGGAGAAACATCCACAAATGCAACGGCGTTATTTGTCATTTCATTTTATTTGTCTGATTAGCCGCTCACAAATGGAATATGCTAAGCACAGCAGGTAATTTAATATTTCTATTTCCCTTTCAGGCTAATGTAAAATATAGAAAAACTGTTGAAGACTATAAAGACCATAGGCACCGTGTTGAATATGCCAAGCTTATAAATCTCCATAAGTTCTCTATGAATGAGACTAAATACCCAGCAAAAGACAAAGAATAAAACCAAATACAATACTTGTATATTATATTGCCAGTCAGTCATTTCATAATTCTCATCATGGTTTGAGAGAAAATAATGAAGAAAAATATATATAAATCTACTTCTCTGAGTTTTAATCTCCTGCAAAAGAAGCACTACAACAAACTAGCTAGTGATCATTGTTTTATCTAATTTTCAATGGTTGCATTATAATAAGGAATAGTATTATTATTAAATAATAATAATGCATGCTAACCTCTTGCCGGCACAAAGACTAAGCCATTCCCTGAACTAAAATTAGACCCTCGGTTGTACGTCACCAGCAGCCCTGCCGGGACACCAGTCTCCACCGCCACGAAGGACAAGTCCTCGCCGGGACGGAGAGGGTATGTCTCAAAAAGCCCATAATCCTTGGAGACATGTCGATTGCCGCAGGAGCAGTTGACTGTTACATTGATTGGAACTTCATCTGGTATCTGAGTTGGCGCATAAACGTTCACCCTACTCAGCCATTCCACTGTGGTGAGATTGGCAAAAGCATTCTCAGCAATGGTATTATAGGTGTCACCATGCTGGGTTATGTAGGTGAAGGTATGGCCCAAAAAATCACCATTTAAGCAGTCACAAGAAAAAGGTACTTTGATTCGGGTACCGTTATAATCTCGCACTACTTGACGGTTGTATTGGAGAATTTCAGGAACTTGCTGGCCAAAGATGTTGCTGATATACGTGAGATTTGCACCTTCCCACACATGGTATGAGGCTAAGGCAAAGTTGCAGCCAGTTTTGCATTTGGCTTTGGCTTTGAAGGACAGAAGGAGAAAAACATGGAAGGCCAAGAACTTAATATGTATATTTCCCTCCGCAAGAACGATCATTTTGTGAAAAGACAGAGAAAGAGTATGGAAGAAGCAAAAGCAATAGGTTCAGAGAAAGTATTGCATTATTATAAAGTCTAGACTTGGTTAGTTGATCACAGATTAATTTTTTTGTTATTAAAAATACAGAGGTGACAGCGTCCTGTTTTATCTTTGTCGTCATCTTTTGCTTATGATTCGTTCAATCACGAACCACTCTAGCAATTTGGTTCTAAAGAGGAATTTTTTTGGCTTCTAAGTACAGGGCAAGAGAATAGCAACATTCATTTTCAAACTATATTGTAAACAAATGGGGCAGGCGGCCCAAATTCCAATGTGTTGAATTGAAGTTGTTCGGATCTACTGAATTACATATTGGAGCTCCAGAAACAGCTGGTGGGTTCCACAAATGGATATCTTCTCAAAACTCCACTTGCTTTCAAGGTAAGATCGTAGATATTTTTTGGACAGTGTGGACTTGGACTTGTGGAGCTTGAAGATTTTCTTTTTCTTTTACTGGGAAAAAAAATATTTGGACTGAATTCAAACATAAGCTCTGTTTCATTTCAGAAATCCCAGTTCACTGTGCTCTCTCTCTCTCTCTCTCAGTTATCCATGGAAGCCTCTGCAACAATGCTCCCACTCTCTCAGGTCCACCGTTTCTTCCCACATAAACCCAACAGAAGCAAATTAGCTTGTCCTCCTTGTGGGCCATCCAAACCAAGAAGAACCTCTCTGCCCAGTCGTCTACACTGCCAAAAGATGTATGTCCCTGGTGGGTAGGGTAGTTTCAGTACTTACAGAGTAAAAGTCCCTCTGCACTGCACCTATATTTGTGACTTGTTAGTGTTTCATTCTGGTATGAAAAGTTGGAAGTTGTTTAATTATGATATGCAGGATTTGGAGAAGCGTCGCCAGAAGCAAAAGCAGCCAACAACCTCCATAGTTTCTTCACTTACATTGCAGTTAGGATTGTCACTGCACAGCTTGAGGTTCTGTTCCTTTTTTCTTCCATATATCTTGCCTTAAATTCTCAGTCGTCTACTCGTTTGTTTGTGTTTTCTGTTGAATAATATATAAATAAATCTGTTAACAAGAGTAAATTCCCAGAGCAGAGTTACAACCCCGAGGCATATGAAGAGATGATGGAATTTTTGAGTAGAAACTCGTTGAACGATGGAGACCAATTCTGTGCCAACTTGATGCGTGAATCTTCCAGGCATAACGCTCTTGGTATGTTCATTTCATTTCATTAAATTGTTTTTTTGTGTGCCCTTATTTCTGATTTGCTACGTTGGACTCATTATCTTATCCTATGGCATCCACATGGCAGCTTTGCGCATCTTAGAGGTCAGTCTCTTCTCTTGTGAAGGTCTATTTGAATATTTATTTTATTATTATATATTTGTTTACTGACTTAACTTGCTGACATTGACAAATTGAATATGATGCGATTTGTGTCTAGGTTCGATCGGCATATTGTAAAAATGATTTCGAGTGGGACAACTTAAAGCGATTAGCTTTCAAGGTCTGCTTTTTTTATTTTTCTTTTTTCTTTTTTAATTTATACCCCATAATTAAATTAAATTTTCAAGCTACTCGTTTTATGTTTCTCATCTGGTTGTGTGGCATCGTGTTTTCAGATGGTGGATGAATCCAACACGAGACTCATGAGGGATTATGTCTTGGAAATAAGTCATGTGGAAGGTGAAGGGAAGTGACAAGTGACCAATCCCAGTCCAATTTCCAAGCAATGTCAATTTAATTTTAGTATTATATATGTAAAACAAATTGGGCTCCACATTATAAAGTTTACGTTGAGCATCCTTCCCCTTAGAGCCTTCATCGGGGTCTATAAAGAAACACAGTATACTAAAGATGAAGAACGGTTAACTCAAGCAAGTTCGGCATGAAGATGAACATCCAGTTTGGCACAAAATGTATGTGGTTAGAGATGCCTTCAATTTCAAACCATATGTAATCCCTTACTTATTTCATTATATATAGCTGCCTGTCTACAATCTTGAAATACAATCTATATTATGGCACAATCTCCGCGATAAGAATCAAAGAAAACCATCAACGGCGACAGAAAACATTTTAAGTGCTTTATAACAATCTCTGTACACAAATTTATAAACAATGGTTTTCCATTATAGAGAACCACCAAATTACCAGTAAGGAGATACATACGTTGAATTGCAACCCGCCTATAATGTTGTCACTTGAGGTTCCTCCAATGGCTGCAACCAAAATGACATCCAGAATACATGTGAGTTCGTAGATCCTAGGCGTATGTTTTTTGCACATGAATGTGTGAGGCATGTTTGATGGTAACTAATACATCAAGGTGCCCCTTCTGTACATAACTTACCTTAACATAACGGCTTAGATCGCTAGAAGTATGGATATGCCCTGAACTGAAATATGACCGAGCATAGTCTTCAATTTTCCCCAATCTGCAAGCATTGACAAATTAAACCATTCAATAGGTGATATTAAATAGAGATATGCTTCATCAGTGAAGTGGTGAGCAAAAAAGAAAAGGCTGGTTTTGGTTACCTGTAAACATAGTTCACCATGATACCTCCGCTTTGATTAAGGCCTTTCTCTGACCGATCTGCCATCCAATTTATTCTTTCAACCATCTGCTCCACAGTAACAAAACTCAGACTTAGCATATCAAACTGCCGCACTTTTGAAACATACTTTCTTTTAATTCACCTAACTTATCAAACAGCTCATTTCTAGCTGTTGAAAAAAATTTCTTTCTTGTTCTGAGAATTACATAGAAGAAGCAACATAATTGATCTATGCATCTTAGGTGTTTTACCCAATCCATCATATTATACAACAACTATAAAGGCCCATATGAGGAAAAGTTAACCAACTGTTCTGCAAACTTGAGTTAAATGACGTACAGCTCCATTTTGTAAGTGAAAATTTGCAACAGAATCCAGAGCTTTTCCTCTCTTTTTCTCTTGCAGAAGGTACCTAGAGGCAAAGGAACAAGAATTAGTTGACAGTGTTTCAGACGGAACAACATACAACACAAGCTTGTGCAAAACTACAAAAGCAATTTGTATGATGTAATCGCCAATTACACAATATTCACTCTTAGCTGTTTCATACTACAACAGAGCCGTCGTCTCCATTTATACCAGTTTTGCAAGAAAAATTCACTTAATAACTAGTTTTATTAGAATACTAATATACCTGGCACACAGTCGCATTAGAGGGGGTTTTAATGCTGAAAGCAATTTATCAGAACTTGTCCACTCATGGTTTGGTGAAGTCAATAAATTGAACAACACTTCCATGCTGTTTTTCCCAGAAGTGAATTCCCTGAAAGTTTAAAATGTTATTGAGTATGCTACTCTCTAGATGCTAAAGTAACTTGCCAATTACAGTATGAAGCTTACACAGAGGCATCCATCAGTGCTCTTTCCTCTTCTGGTTCAAGTATGTTCTCCCAAAACGTAGAACCAGATGTATCAGCTGGCGAATGTTGTATGTCTTCACCTTCAGAAAGTTTTGATTGAGAAGCCAGCTTAGATAGGAGCCACTGCATGTACCCTGGAATGGGGCTGAGAGTCGCAAATGTCTGATTTTAAAGGGAAGAAAAGGCCATGTGTCAGAGAGCAAATCTATAAGCAAGACTTAGACAGAAATGTATGATTAATTTATACATCCTCAAATTTTTAAAAGAGACTGAAGCACTTACAGAAATATTTGTCATTTCTCTTTTCACAAGTGTGATCACACGTTTGATTAGAAACCTTCCCAGGTTGATCCCTTGTAAGCCAGGCTGTGAAATTTTTTCAGTATTCAGATCAAGCAATGGTAGCAAAAAACCGAAGATAAGAGGTCAATACTCCCTTTCAAAAAGGAAACAAAGAGTTGAAGGTTATTTAAATTCTAGAAATAATAATTAATGTAACAATATGCACACCTGAGTTGATGATATGGAGTAAAACAAAGCGCTTGTAGCCTCACATTCGGGACTAGGAGGGTCATCCCACAAAACTTCCTGTCATACTGATATTAACTACATGGCCATTGACCAGAAAACGAAAAAGAGAAAGAAAAGAAGAAGAAGAACAGTCTAATAAGCTGAAATAAAACTGACCTGTACTGTTTGAGCCACATTCTTCATGAGTGCAACTTCAATGAAAATAAGTGGTTCACCTAAAAGAAGAAAATAGTAAAAACATATAGAACATAATAATCATTCTAGTATGTATTCCAAACCATTACAATGAACGGCCACATAATCAAACATATTATCTACTGAATAACCATAATATTGCTCTTAGGTGACATCAAAAATTACCAAAGAGACAACAATAATAGAATACCAGGTATTGCTGGATGTAAATATCCAAAACAACGGCGACCGAGTCCCAGCCTTCTCTTGAGATCTATAAGATTGCTAATTGGGTGCACAGCCTAAACAATATAATAGGATGACATCAAGGTTACATACATATAATATACCTAAATTTGTTACGAGACAAGGAAGATTGCGTACCTCATAAGCCACAATTTTTTCCAGCAAAGAGGCTGGATCATCCCATGTGATCTGGTGAAGCTCTAATGTAGCAGGGCTAAGCCAAGTACTAAGTTTTTCCTTTAAGTAGGAATCCAATGCTCGCAAAGACACAATATTTTCCTCTCTGAGAACATGCAAAAATAGCAATTCATCCTGGGGTCTGATTTCATTCTTAACGTTGTAATAGTTGTAAGTGTAACCTTACGCGAGAATGGATAGAATATCAGCTCGAAGAATGGACAAGAACTTCAACCCGCCAGGATGCGTGTTCAGCCGCTCAAATAGAACTTCGTACGCCGGCTTGAGAGCATATCTTAGATTTCGCTCAATACGATAGAAAGCAGAAAGACAAGCCTCCTCTTCAATGCCAGTTGAGGGAGCATTGTCACCTAAACATGTCGGATGGACAAACCAACTCAAACTCACAAAAGACCAAGTGCAACATGTAAAGAACAACTAAAATAAATCAACACACAACTTACTGCCACCAGGAAGCTCAAGACCCAAATATTGCTTTATCAAATCGCGAACTTGTGCCCTGTTAAGATCATACTCCTTGGAAAGTAGTTCAAGTAATTTTCGACGGTTCTCATAAGAGAGGCTAAAATATCCCTACATTAATTAAGAATAAAATAAGGAATTTTCTTATCAAAAACATCAAATAAAATAAGGAATTTCATCGTCCAAATACGATTAAGCACCAACCTCCGAGAAATCATTCAGAACAGAGTCTAAGATTTCGGTTTTGCTCAGTGAAATCGCCGAGTGCATGCACTCACGTACAACTTCAAAATCCCTAAAGAAGAACATGTAAATTCATGCTTTGATAGTAATTAAAATAAATAAATAATAATAATTACCTCTCATTGTTGCTCGAGGCATTGAGCTTTTCGTTTCGTTGTTGTGGAGCACCTTGCACCAGTCGTCCACTTGATTGGCTTCCATCGGAATTGGGCAGCTTTTGGTTAACCAGGTTCTGTTGCAAAAACATCAACACTATCCAAATCCATAAGAAATTTCTTCGTAATCCAAACGCGGACTACGAAAATTTAATATGCTTACGGCGAGAGGAGAGCGAGCGAAGTCTCTAGCGTCGTTGGGCCTCATTCTGGTTCGCATCAAAATGGCCAACCCTTTCTTGTTCATGTTTAATTTTCCAAGTTCGATTTTTATAGTAAACTGTAAATGTAAGATTCAATTCTCAGTCTCTCGGACACTCACTTTTGTCTCTTGTCTGGTGGCGCTTCATTTTCCACACCCGCCACTGCCAGCCGCACAACCAGGTACACATTTATTTCGTCCACAAAAAAGCAAAAAAAGAAATTCGTCCAAAAAAACCAGGTACACATTTATTGACGACACACTCATACCTCAAGGCCCCTCAGCCTCTTGCAAATTACGAAATTACCTAACTTCTCTTAAGCTGGCCTGGGCTGTTCCTTGGATCCGCGCCGACAAAAATTAAAGGCCTATATTTAAACAGTAAAGCCGACCGGATGCACTCTTTAAATATATTCAAATATTTAAATAGTATGGCCGGGCGGCTATACTCTTGTATTATATTCGAATATTTAAATATTATAGCCGCGCGGCTATACCTTGTTCAAGCTTTCTTCCCTTGTTTTGTATGATAAAACTCTGCAATTCCCATTGATCATGGAAAGAAAGGAAAAAAACATGTCTAGTATTTCAGTGTTATGGGGTCCACTTGTGCATTTCCTATTAAGTCATCTCCAATCATCAAATTTAAGTAAGAATATTGAGAACCAGTAAATAAAACTAAAATGATAAACATGAAGTAGAATGATGGAACTCCTCTCCGAATGGGTACCAGCTTTTCTACAGGTTTCATTTGTGTTGATGCTTCCTCACAGTTCCTTGACTGATAAAGATTGAGGCCCTTCACCCTTGCTTGTCGCTTTTCCTCTTTGCTCCCAAGTTTATCAATTTGCCGTTCGGTTTCTATTTGAACAGTAACCCGAAAACAGAAGTGCAATGCTTCATTCCATATGTTTTTTATGATTTATGTGTTAATGAGAACAAATCTTCTACAGAAGCTGTGCCATCTGCTCCAACAAAAATTCATGGGTAGAAGGGAGCTATTAGAGAATACAAAGAATCGAATGCGCGGTTACATAACATAAGAGCAAGTTGGGCTGCGGGATAAACCTTGTTTGGAAGAATGCCCTGCAGATGAGAAATTGGACAAAATTCGGATGCTAGTTCAGAACTTTTGATAGGTGGTTTCCCGGTTGCATTGGTTAATAGATCCCCATTAGTAGGTGTTGATTCGTCCTGCCTTTCTCCAGTTGCTGGCTGGTTTGGGTCTAGGCGGAGAAATATAATATTTAAATAGTAGGCTATACTGTCTAAATACATTCGAATATTTTAATCATATAGCCGCGCGGCTATACTTTATAAATACATTCGAATATTTCCATAGTATAGCCGCGCGGCTATATTATAATATTTTAATGTTATAGCCGGGCGGCTATACGGTGTTGATATGTTAGACCTAGTATCTGTTAAGCTGGTTTGGGCTGTTGCTCTATTTTCGTGGATCCGGGCCGACTAAAATTAAACGCCTATATTTAAAACGTATAGCCGCCCGGCTATACGGTTTAAAATATACAAATATTTAAAGAGTATAGCCGCGCGGCTATACGATTTTAATATATTCGAGTACCGGGATTATGCTTTTAAGGCTATACTATTTAAATATTTTTAAATATTTAACAGTACAGCCGCTCGGCGATACCTTTTAAATTTATCGAATATATTAGTGTTCAATTATTTTATTTAAAAGGAATTTCTGAATAAATATATATAAGAAATCCTTAATAGTGCGGGATTTCTCAATGATATATATTGAGAACCAGTAAATAGAACTAAAATGACAAACATGAAGTAGAATGATGGAACCGCAAATGGGTACCAGCCTTTCTCCAGGTTTCATTTGTGCTGATGCTTCCTCACAGTTCCTTGACTGATAAAGATTGAGGCCCTTCACTGAGCGCTAAGAGATCATCAACATGACTTTTTCCTTCACTTGCTTGTATTAAAGAAGAAAAATTTACAGCAGCCAGTTCACTATCAGTGTCATATTCTGTTCCTCGTCTTTGTCGCTTTTCCTCTTTGCGCCCAAGTTCATCAATTTGCAGTTCAGTTTCTGTTTGAACAGTAACCCGAAAACAGAAGTGCAATGCTTCATTCCATATGTTTTTTATGATTCATGCGTTATTGAGAACAAATCTTTTACAGAAGCGGCCGTGTGCCATCTGCTCCAACAACAAAATATTCAGCCTGGGCGCTGGCCGGCCTGGGCGTGTCCTTTTTTAAATAAATAAAAACTTTTTTCCTGGACTGGACCAAGGTTTAATTTAATTGGGCTTCGTGTGTAATGTATATTTAAGTTGCAAGTCCACACTGGTTGATCGTTGACTTGTGTCTTTAATGCGTATAGTCGGCAATGGACTATCGCTAGCAGCTTGGGAATAATGGTGGTGGTGGTGGTGGTCATGTGGTGGGCTAGTCTAGTGAGAGTGAGAAAATGACAAACAAAAAGTGGGTGCACGACAACTGGTAGGGGTCCTCTTCTTTGCTTACTTCAATTTGGTCTTAAAAAATTGAATAATAAGCTTTTGTTCCTTCTTGTACGGTTGCTACTTATTAGGGACATGGTGCTTGTATGACTCGGAACTCTTTTTTTCCCATTATTATTGGGTACCTGTTAGTCGGGATGGTAAATACGTTTCCTTATACTTAAGTTTGAATCTTTTCCGTAACTTGTATTAAATGCGGGTAGATAGTTGCCCTTTAACATCACATGACTATAAGCATCAAAATAGATTGAGTTAACTCTAAGCATAAAAATAAATTAAGTTGGTGTAAGAAGATGAAAGAACCAAAGCAAATTTTATATATCATGCCCGGAGTCCTAGACCACCAGGGATTGTGCCGGATTATAGTCAATGAGATGCACTACGTAGAAAGGGCCATAGCTAGATGCAATGCGCGGGGCCAGATTTGATTAATCAACAAAAATAAAAGAGTCCGTGAATGGCCTTGTTTGGTTGATGGGATGGGACAATGCTAGCTAGCTAGCTGGGCCCTGAATCACCGGCTTTCTTGGCTAATTGCCACTGCAGCCATCTATTCTTCTAATTTATAACCCTACTACCGGCCTTTTTATTCGTATATCTGTGCTGACAAAATGGAGAAAAAGTAAATAATAATTATTAAGTTAAGTGGGGGGACATGCAACGTGGCTAACAATGCAGACTATTGGAATGAATACGACTGTGCTGATTCCTATAGAAGATTGAGTGTTAACCAATTATTCAGACCAAATATTAGTCTATAATTAACATAACTCTCCTTTTCGATAAACAAATTAAAAATTATATAGAATGTTAAAATTACAGAATTTAGATTTTCATTATTTTAATTTTGACAATTGAAGATTTCAGTGTTTGAATTTATACAAATTTATAAATAAACTCAATCCTAAACATGTATTTATAAAAAAACCCAAATACTATTTACACATAGAAACACACCCAAAATCAACAATTGTATATTTTTTGGGTGTGTTTATAAATGGGTTTTGAGTGTGTGTAATGATGGATTTTGGGTGTGTTCATAAAGTGTTTTGGGTGTCGGATGTTTTTATAATTTCAGCCCTCATTTTGGGTGTTTTAGTGAAACTCCCTTGAATTTATGTATGTGGAATTTTGTAAATGACGTAATTTTATAAATTACACTATAAAAATTGTGAAATGACACCTATTTTGGTGAAAATTAAACTCATGAATTTGATGCCCCAATTTCCACTAATGTTTATGCTAATCATTTAATAAATTTCACGCTTAATTTGCCAAACAAAGGAGCTAAGAGAATTGTCAATTTCTCCTCTTAAATTCATGACTTTTAACTAAATTATGAGTTATTTTCTCTCATCCATTAAAAGAAATTATATTATCAGGTTCAGATCATCAATCTTACTTACAGTTCATCTGAACTGTGAAGGATTGAGAAAGAAAAAAACTTATTCTGTTCACTTGCAACAAAACACAAAGACAAAAATTTGAGGCAGTGAAGAAGGCCTGCTCCCTCTCTCTCTCTCTCTCTCTCTCTCTCTCTCTCTCTCTCTCTCTCTCTCTCTCTCTCTCTCTCTCTCTCTCTAGTATATATACAATAAAATAAAAGTAAGCTAGTGTAGTCAACAAACAAACAGATGAATTAAGTGACCTAATTTTAATTCAGAATGGATTGTCTCTAATTATGTTATTTTACACTGTTGAAGGAATCTAAGGCAGATGAGGGGCAGTTCGTTGCCTTCCTTATTGGAATAAAATTTAGAAGGTCTATCTATATAAGTCACCCTTGGTTCTTCAACGCTTACCACACAATATATAACTTTCCACTTTGATAATTATAATTTCCCTATATTTGATGGCTAACAATAATAATGTTCCCTTCATCCTCGCAAATAGTAAATTCTTAATTCTTTAAAAAAATATGGACTTTTGCGATACTTGGAAAAAAGAAAAAGAAAAAAAAAGGGTTCATGACATGATTCGCAAGTCACCTTTTTTCATTTTCAATTAATGTTAACTTTTTCATGATTCGCATAACATTATTGGTTTTTTGGAACTTCTTCAATTCAACATATCATATCATATGCTTTTTTCTTTTTTGTTTTTAGAGGATTAGGTACACACCGCATAATTGACATCATTGTATTCAGTGCATGCCTCATGTGCAATAAGTCTTTTGGAATTTGATTTTACCACTTTCCGTCCAATGTGAATTCATTTGATTATGGGATTAATTTTGATGTCGTTGGACTATATGTCGAGAAATTATTACGGTTAAAAGAGGTTTTTTAAAAATTATTTTGGAGTGTGATTCTCTTCATATCGTTTCAGTTTTTTGAATAGCTTATATCATTGGTGAAGTTGTATCTATAATTGTCATATTGTTATTGGAATGACTTCATTTACAATATGTGTCATTTGTACTATTTATTCTTATTGATGTAATAAATTTCTATCGTACTTTTATAAATAAAATAATAATAAGATCACCACAATGGTTGGGGTAAACAAACAAAGAAGTAAGGTCATCATGAAAATAATTGACGCTTTTAGTTGTATTAATTACTTCCCATAAGATCCCAAAACCTCAATGCTGGAGACAACTAAGGTTTACAATTGTGTGCAACAATACAATCTACAAGTAATAATACGAAACCAATAAAATATAATTTTGAACGTTAGAAAATTATAATATCATTATTGTTGGCAATAAAAAAAATAAAAAAATAAAAATCCAATGACCAAAGTAAATGCCAATGTTGGCTTATGTTATTGATGGTGGAGCAACACGCACATGCATGTACACAAATAATGTGAGATTAATAGTGAATTTTCCCGTGATACAAATTAAAGAAAATAGGAAGAAAAAATATTATGGGAGTCGTTTAACGCATGAATATAATATTAATATGGGATTTGTATAATAATATTTCCCATCACTAAAAAGTGAAGGGCGAGTCATGCATGGGACAATTCGTAATCGGCTTCACTGTTTCACAACGGGACATTTTTGTCATTTTCGGATTTTCCTTGGGTGCTAGTGGCAGACGTCGTTTTCTCTCAATTTTACACATGTTCATTTTAACTAGGTATATAGGAGTTCTTCAACTCTGCTCTTATAGGCACCCTGTCGAACCTTTGCTCTAGTCCCAACCAAGCCATCATGCCCTCGCCCACCTCTTTTAATATTCCTTCCTCTAGAAACTAGAAAACCTCGGATCTTCATATGCCCTAATTCTGGTAATACTATACGTCACCTCAGAGCTCTCCACAACATCATCAGCAAACACACGGATATGTTCCTTGGTTACGTCAGATAAAATGATGAGCACGTGCTGCTCAACCTTAACAACCATACCAGTTGCACCTTCCTGAGTACCAGATAGAACTTTCACATGATTCCCAGGTTCGAAGTATTTGTAAAGCTCTTTTTCGTTTATGGCAAGAGTTTTTGCCACTTCTTTCATTTCGGGCATGATATGAACAATCTCTTCCTCAACTTTCTCAACCCATCCTTTCAAATTTTTAACATCTCCCTTGGTAACAATAACTGTATGATATCACCCTTCATAAAGTGTCCCTTCTTTCTGTTTGAATGTAACGTTGACAAAACGGCACCATTCTCTCTGGGTTGTTCAAGTTCATCAAAAGTGGGATGTATGTTTTGAGAGCTAATTGATTTCATCGATACTGCTTTGTAAAGGAAACCATCTTTAAACAGTATGCCATCAATATTCTCAAAGTTTAAATCAAACAAAAGAGATCAATGAATCAATGTTAAAATTTTAGGAGTTTAACCATCATTTCGATTAGAGATATTCTCATCAGGAATCAAACCCACGATCCCACAATCGCAAGTTCGTCCTAATCACTGGGCTACCCCCTAAAATTGCAATAAATATAGATGATTATTGTTTTAAAAACACTTAATGTTTCTCACATTTACTTCTCAAGGTTCAACCAACTAAACTCTTTTTTTTTAATGCACACATTGCATTTGAGCTGGCTACTTATCAATTGTGTAATAAAGATATAAAAAAGAAAGAAAAATGAGAGAATCCTTATTTTGTGGATGAAATTCGAGAAAAATCAGGGGATCCAACTCCATCAATTATTTAAACAATGACCAAATATGATAGTTTTACTATTTATCAATCATTTACAATTGGAATTAAAATAAAACTTGCACTACTGTCGAATCAAAGCAAGTGAGATTGGGTATCAAAAATCAGTCACAAAATGAGTTGCAAACCGGTCAAAACTCAACTCAGAAGTTGTTTTGACTTGTTCTTGTAATCTTGTTTAACGTACTTATTTAAGGTTTAAAACTTTAAATACGTATGATTGCGGTTGCGTATAATTACCAAGCCCAATCCCCTTTCTCTACGCTTCCACTCGTTATGTCAAAAATAATTCGACCGAGCAACATCAACGTCCGATCTGTTCACCCATCTACCTATCAACCACGTGGCAAAATCTCGAGCAAAGTTGACAACAAAAAAACATAGCCGAAAAGCAGAGGATCCAAAATCAGTGAGAGAACTGAGCAAGAAGAAAGAGACGTTCCGGAAAAGGAGTCATACGTTACCTGGCTACTTCTTCTGTGTTTACATCTCATTTTTTTCTTTTCCCAAAATTTAAAAATTCCGTTTCCTTTTTTCGCCGACACAACGCATGCACAGTGACACACACGCACTTTATTTTTTATTTTTTTGTCTCTCCTAATTACTCAAGCTTCGAATCTCCATCGCACTCTCTGAGACTCTGACCCTTTTCTTTAATGGCAATGCTTCTTATTACTGGTGCCCGTCTCCTACTCCAACTACTACTACCTGCAGCCCTACCGGCTACCATTTGGTTTTCTCTTCCTCTTCTTCGCCTGCGCCTCCATGGTTCTCTTGCATGAGCCTCGCCTCACCTGAACTCTCTCTCTCTCTCTCTCTCCCCCTGCTTCTAAACGCTATAATGGCTGATCGCAACTTCGCTCACTGGTTCTCTGTACCTCGCTTGCTCACTGGGTTTGTGTTAATAGCTTCGACCTTTGCTGTTCTGCCTCTCGTTAGTGGCACCACTGATGCTTCTGATGGTATGCTTTTTATTTTGTAAAAAAGTTTTAAGCTTCAATTCCGGGAAGCATCTGATTTATGGATTTGGTGGTGCTGATTGGCAATGTGGATTTTTGGATAGAAAATGGACTTTGACTTTGGGGTTTTTTGATTTTGTGATCTATTTATGCATTTTTTTCTTCAAAGATGAAGATACACAGGCCTTTTATCTTTTTTCCCCGTTTAATGTTGATTTGCTTCGTGGAAAAATGAGAAATTTACCATAACTTGGCTAAAGCTCAGCTCAGGCCTGATTGCACAGAGGAATCTAAGCTTGATACTCTTCCCCATTTTTCAAAATTTCGATTTCTTTTACCAGATGGGAAAGAAATGCAGTGTATATGTAGCAAAGCTTTTGTAAGAAATTTGCGTGCTTTTAAAAAAGTGTTGTTCTTTGCTTTGTAGTTCAAGCACTTCAGGTTTTGTACACATCGGTAAACAGTCCTTCTCAGCTAACTGGTTGGAAAATTAGTGGCGGTGATCCATGTGGAGAATCATGGAAAGGGGTAACTTGTGAGGGCTCAGCTGTTGTTTCAATGTATGATTCTATATTTTGAAAATGCGGCTTTGAATTTATACAATTAATTCAACTGGTTTATTGACATTGTTAATGTGTCTTATTGTTGTTATAACAGAGAGGTTTCTGGGTTAGGTCTCAGTGGAACTATGGGATACTTGCTTTCTGACCTGTTGTCGTTGAGAAAATTGTGAGAATATTATCATCCTGTTTTTCTTATGATTTTTTTGGGGGGCTTTTCCGTGTATAACAAATTCTATCATTTTCATTGATTTTCTGAGTTGTTAATATTAAGTTCTTTGTGTTCCTCAGTGATTTGAGTGACAACAATTTTCACGATACACTCCCGTATCAGCTACCTCCAAATCTTACAAGCCTGTAATGTTCATTCATTAATTTATTCATTCTTTCGTTTTTGGAAGTTGTTTTCATTGCCAACTATGACACTCAAAATTGTTTTTTTTTCTTTTCTTTTTTGTGTATGTATGCACAGAAATCTTGCAAGGAACAACTTCACTGGGAATTTACCTTATTCCATTGCTAACATGGTTTCTCTCGGTTATTTGTGAGTTTACAGTATTGAACTTTAAGAATTGTTACTTTCTTATGCATTCCATGAGGCTGTTCTGACATGTTTCTGAAATCCATGTTCCTAGGAATGTTAGCCATAACTCACTATCCCAGTCAGTTGGTGACTTTTTGCTAATCTTGTGGGCCTTGCAACCTTGTAAGATACCTTTCTTTAGCGATATATATATATTTCATAAGCATTCTGATAGCTTGATGTCATGAATATTTTGCCTGCGTTGTCTAGAATTCGTTTTTTGAAAACTTTTTTCATATAATGGGCCACTATGCTTTTCCGTGCAGGGATCTATCTCTTAACAACTTCTCTGGTGATATTCCTAATTCCTTCACTTCATTGAACAATCTTTCTTCCCTGTGAGTTTCTTGAAGTGCTGATTTCTTGTGAATATTATGCTATTTATTTGCTATCACTTGTAATGACATCTCAATTTGTGCCAGCTATGTCCAGAACAATCAATTGACTGGTTCCCTCAATGTTCTTACGGGTTTGCCATTGACTACTTTGTAAGTGTGTTTTCCCTCCTTAGTTTGGCATTTATGATTCTACTACCTACTCTTATCTTGTTATGCTCATTATCTTGAACAGAAATGTCGCCAACAACCATTTCAACGGGTGGATACCACACGAGCTTAGTTCAATTCATACTTTTATGTAAGTGCCATTTTTATTCAATGCAGATCTTTATTTAGTGCTCAACTTTTTAAGCATGTCTAATTTGGCTCTTTAAAATTGAAATAGTTATGATGGAAATGCTTTTAAAAATGGTCCTGCTCCTCCGCCGCCACCGTATAACCCACCTCCCCCAGGAAGATCCGATAAGAATCACAATCATTCTGGATCTGGAACACATCCAGAGCGTTCTGATGGAAAATCACATGACTCAAAAAAAGGGCTGACAGTTGGGGCTTTGGTAGGGATAATTCTGGGTTCTGTTGTTGTTGCTCTCATTATCTTACTTGCTCTTGCCTTTTGCATTCGCAAAAATAAAAGGGAGGACCGTGTTGCAAGAGCTTCAGGGGGAAGTCTCACTGTTCCCACAAGTAATGGTAGAATCTCTTTCCCCACCCCTATTTTTTCCCTTTAATTTTGGAGTTTGACTTTTTAATATACAGGAATATAAGTTGAGAGGCATGTGATTTCTTTAAAACTAGATTATTTTTTATTGTAACACTCAAAAGTTTTGATAGTTTTCTGACAATGACTAGCATATATTTTTTACCCAAAATGTCAGAGCTAAAGCTTACCTATGTTTGCAGGTGTATGGTCTTCTCTAAGCATCTTAACCATTTCAATGTTGCATCCTGTTCTATTTTGCAGTAAACACTGAGATGCAAGAGCAGAGGGTAAAAAGTGTGGCTACTATAACTGATCTCAAGCCCCCACCTGCAGAAATATTGGTGGTTGATAGGTTACATAATAAAAATGGATCAATAAAAAGGATAAAATCACCTATCACTGCTACTCCTTATACGGTTGCTACTCTCCAAACAGCAACAAATAGCTTTAGTCAAGAATTTCTTGTTGGTGAAGGTTCTCTTGGTCGTGTATACAGAGCAGATTTCCCTAACGGAAAGGTACCTTTGTTTATGTATTGTTGTTTTCTTCCTTTTCTTTAAAACAATGTTGTATGGACGTGTTTAAAACTAGTGATGGTTGGATTAGCTAATGTAACAAATATTTCCATTATAAGAGATCGATGGTTCTGCCATTACTTTTAGCTGGTGGGAACTGTGCAAGGGTCCTGAATCTCATTCTCTCTCTCCCTACACGATATAAACACACACACACACACATTGATGCATGTATGTATCTTTATTTGCTTTTGTCCTTGATGTGTGGAGCGTGACTAATCTTAACGGTCGCATTGTTCAAAATTATGATGACCTTTTGCTTATTTAGTTTTTATGATGTGCAAATGCTCAACGCAAGTAAAAGGTTAAAATAAGATCAAATTTAGTTTGTTACCCGTGATATAGACTTCAGTCTTCAATAGTAATAGATGGAGTTATCTCCACCATATACTTCTTGCCCTATCTGTTGTACTTACCTTCACTTGCTAATTAGGGTCAACTATATTTTGGCACCCTGAGCTCTGACTTCTATTTGAAGTTGATTTCTCCTGTAGTACCAAATAGGACTAGTGGCACGTCAACTAATTTCTTTTTCTCTATTTTTCCTACTGTAGATAATGGCCATTAAGAAAATTGACAATGCAGCACTATCCTTACAAGAGGAAGATAATTTTCTTGAAGCTGTTTCAAATATGTCGCGTTTGAGGCATCCAAACATTGTTACACTGGCTGGATATTGTGCAGAGCATGGACAGCGTCTTCTAGTTTATGAGCATATAGGAAATGGGAGCTTGCATGACATTCTTCATTTTGCTGAAGATGGCAGTAATACTCTGACTTGGAATGCCCGTGTTAGGGTAGCACTTGGCACAGCTCGAGCTTTAGAGTAAGTTACAACTTACACGTATATGAAATTTAAGCCTCTCTGTCTGTCTGTCTGTCTGTCTCTCTCTCTCTGTCTGTGTTTTTGTGGGTGTCTGTTTGCACACCCTCACACGTGGATTAAAGGTGCATAATGATTACTCAAAAACACTTCTCAAGTTAAAGACCCCTTCTGCCTGCCAGGTACTTGCACGAAGTTTGCTTACCTTCCGTTGTGCATAGAAACTTCAAGTCAGCAAATATTTTACTTGATGAAGAGCTCAATCCCCACTTATCTGACTGTGGTCTAGCTGCTCTGACGCCAAACACAGAGCGACAGGTAAATGGATGGAGTTAAATATGGGTTGTGAGCGGTCCTCATACTTTTGTCCAATTGATTTATTCAACTTCATGATTCACAGGTTTCAACTCAGATGGTAGGTTCATTTGGTTATAGTGCTCCTGAATTTGCCTTGTCAGGAGTGTACACTGTAAAAAGTGATGTCTACAGCTTTGGGGTGGTGATGCTTGAGCTATTGACTGGTCGCAAGCCACTAGACAGGTATACCTGTCCCACTTTACTGAATTGTCAGGTTTATGATCTGGAGTTTCTTGATTTCATTTTAATGTTGATTAATAGTTTCCCTTTTTCCTCAAATTCTTCTACTTTTTTAGTTCAAGGGTGAGGTCAGAACAATCCCTTGTGAGATGGGCTACTCCCCAACTCCATGATATAGATGCCCTAGCAAAAATGGTTGATCCTGCACTAAATGGCATGTATCCTGCGAAGTCTCTTTCACGTTTTGCTGACATCATTGCCCTCTGTGTTCAGGTAACTTCTTTATGAATGATAATACCAATTAGTTGCCCTCTTATGGCCTTTAAGAGCAGCTTAATACTTGGTAGTGATGGTTTAAAAACTAGGGAATTCTCAAAAATCACTTTAAATAAATGGCCTTAAATATATTCCTTGTATGTCACTTTAAATAAATTCCCATATCTCATCTTTTATAATAACCAATTTACATTATTGGTCTTTTTGCATAGCCGGAACCTGAATTTCGGCCTCCCATGTCTGAAGTTGTACAAGCACTGGTGCGCTTAGTGCAAAGAGCAAGCGTGGTCAAAAGACGTTCCAGTGATGAATCTGGTTTTTCGTACAAGACCCCTGATCATGAAGCAATTGACATGTCATTTTAAGTGTCCCTGCCCTCCTTTTTTCCCTTCTTTCCTGCTTTCTTCTGCTGGGAAAGATTCTAGCAGATTCGAACCCAACCGTATCAAAGGAGACAAGTGCCTTTTCAACCACACCACTTGGGTGTGGTGTCATCGCAGCCATCTTAAACCTGCTGGTATTTGCTGTTTCATGTACTAGCTACCATGTGTGGAGGTGAGGGATGGCTGAAGCACATAGTTTCAAGATATTTGCAGTTTTTATATACAGAGGCCAGGGTTTGGATAAAACACACAGAAGCGGAGAGGAACATGCGATATGTACTAAACTTAGACGAAAAATATATGTAATTATGATTCATAGAGTTATTTGCACATAATAAGAAGCCTGAAAAACACTGTCAAACAATGCAATGCAAATAGTTGCAAATATTCTGACAGAATTTGAGTCAGATGCCTGCTGGAACTTGGCAGATAATTTTATCTTGTTTTGGCTTATTTATTTTTCTGAAAGCCATGTCAGTCAACTTCTTATTTTCTTTCATTTCATGCGATAGAAACTAGAGGCAATGCAAAATGTGATTGATGATGTAGTACACTCACATGATGGCATATTTGATGTTGAAATAGTCTGCATGAAAAGTAAATAATTATAAATTAAATCATGAGTTACGATAGAAACCTTCAAAATTCAATTATAATCAGCAGCTAAAATAAAGTTCAGTTATAATTCGAATTGATAAGGATAATAATAGAAACCTTCCCAATTTTTTTTTAAAGCTAATCTGATTGGCCATTGCGAAATCGTTATCCTAAACTCGACCGCAGACAATCTTCAAGAATACGGACAAGAAAATCAAAATAGATACGGCAAGTCCCAGTTGGAACTAGGACTACTCCAATTCGTTCTTCCATTTTTAGCAAATTGCGGACAGTCATTTTAGCAGAAGGACCCGAAGAGCAGACTTATCGCACTCGTTTCGCTTCCGGCTTCTTAGCGTTTCTTCCTCAGGCTCTCTCTCTCTTAGCTCTTGGGGCCAAATCCAGAGGAGCCGAGCACAAATCAATGTCCTTAAACGCCATTCAAGTTAAACCAGTCTCAGAAGAAGAAGAAGAAGAAGAAGATGGACCTTCAGCTCAGCCCGACCCCAACACCTCCTTTCCCAGCCTGTTGCATTACCGCTCCGGCTCTGGCTCCACCACTCCGAGGAGCCGCCAATCCTCACCTGGTAACTCGCCGCGACTCGGCCCCACTCGATTCGCCAACTCGGACACGTGTGATCCACAATATACGCCGTTGTTTTGGGGGTTCGATAAGGAGCTGAAGATGCAGAGGAGGGCCAAGAGGAAAGTAGGGAGGGCTTGGTATAGAAGAAAGCGAGTAAAGTTTGTTGTGGGTGTGATTGGATTATTGGTTTTGTTTTTCTTGATGAATTGGGTTATGCTTTTACGGCTACAAGATCATGGGCTCCATTCTGAATCTGGGTTTTCCGGGAATTCGTCTGTGGCTTCGGTATCGGTTACCGTTCGGGTATGTGCATGTTGGGAAAGTTTAAATTTTTCTTGGTTCAACTCTAAACTATTGAATTTGAGGTATATTTTTCATTGAGGTATGATGGGTTGCTTTGCGATATGGTTAGTTAATGTGATTCAGGTATGTGAGAAAGAATAGAATTGTAGATTATATCAAAGAAACATATGCCCTTTCATTATTGCCTCAATAAAGGATGGTGATTTTGCTAAGTATAGCCTTCAGGTTATCAAACTGTCAAGCGTGACTTGCTGTAATTGCAATAAGATTGTTCATGGAAAAAGAGTTGCCGTCAGATTTGATTGGTCATGTTCTGTCAAAAGGTTCAAATTAATATCCCTAATATTATGTACATGAGTTGATGTCGGAATGAAATTGTTAAGGGCCAGTTTAAGTTACGTTTAAGTTTTTGGTTTTCAGTCCCTTATTTATTTATTTATTTATTTTATATATAAATTTTATAAAAAGTTTAAGAGATAGAGGAAAATACATGAGAGAAATGAGGGAGGGAGGTGAGATATGAGAGATGCGAGGAAGAAATGAGGGAGAATACACAAAACTAAAACTAAGCCATACATGTAAAATTATTTTTGGTTTTTATTTTATGAACTATACCATGTACATTTTCTCATCCTTCCCTCACATCACATCTATCCTCTTTCTTCTCACTATTTTCTCATTTTTCCTTTCCTATGTTTAATTAAAAATAAAAAGAAAAACTGAAAATGAAACATTACGGATCCTAAGATTTTCCTTTTTGGCTCTTACTTGGTATGTTTGCAGGAAAAATGGAGAAAACTTGGTAAAGAAAAAAAGGCACAGAAAGGTAATTACGGACGGATGTTGGATTTAGCTGCACATGCATTGGCAGAGGTACTCTCATCTGGTTAACTGGAATTTCAGTTTAGTTAGTTAAGGCAGGCTTTAATTGATGATGTCTCGTTCTAATCACTGTTGTGGCTGATTCATTGATATGATGCAGGGACTGAATAAACCTGAGCCGAAAGATTTGTGGCTGGAGCCATTTGTTCCTGCTTCTTCTTGGAAACCTTGTGCTGACCAACGGAGCTGGGAACCTAACGGTATCTCTCTCTCTCTCTCTCTCTCTCTCTCTCTCTCTCTCTCTCTCTCTCACATGTAAGTGTGGATGGAAGCACATATTTTCATGCAAGTCCTTATCTATGCATTTTGAAGATTGCAAAACTAATGGATTAAGCTGGCTCTAACATTCATTTTTCTGTGGTATGTTATAGAGGGAAAGAATGGATACATTTTGGTAACTGCAAACGGTGGGATGAACCAGCAGCGAGTAGCTGTAAGTGATGCTTGTGGCACTCACGGCTGTTTTTAGGATTACTTGTGTGCAAATTCTATGAACTTGCACTGAGTCATAACTTAGGAAACATAAACATAGAATGTGGTTCTATGGGGCCTTATTTCGATGTGAGTTCTATTTCTTTACCTAATAGTGTTTTATTTGGCTACAGGTTTGCAATGCTGTCGCTGTTGCACGATTACTCAATTCAACCCTGGTTGTTCCCAAATTTTTGTATAGCAGTATATGGAGAGATGTGAGGTCACCTATTTCTTCCCTCTTATTTTTTTCCACTCAAGAATTTTTCTTTGTTTCTTATGCGTATGGTTGATGTCAGTTTTGTAATAAAAGAAAGCGGCATTTTACTTCTGGATTCAAAACTTGAATGGGGTTGGAGGGTTGTTGGGGTTGATTCTAATAATTGCTTCATTATTCATATTCATGTTGATCATGGTTAAAATAATAATATTCAAGTGTGCTTTCTTCAAATAATTAATTGCATTTTCTAGCTCCGAATGCTTTCATGTGCCCCAGTTATTTGGGATATCTTCGTTATAATTTTACTTTAGGTTTAAAAAAAAAATATTAATATCATTGTTTTATTAGTGGCTTTGAAGTTTTGTAATTTCTTACTGTTGACTTTTCATCATGCATTATTTGGGACATCTCCATTATCATTTTTCTTTAGTCATTTTCTTTTCGACTTTTTTTTTTTATATAAAAAATAATTGTTTTATTAGTGTCTTTGGCGTTTGTGATGATTTATTGTTTTCCTTTAAAATAATAATAATAATGTGTTGATTATACTAACTTCATGTATAACTAGTGATTTATTTTTAATTTTCGTTAATCTCATATATTTGCCTTTAAAATTAATGACAAGAAATTGTATGATTTCATAGTCAATTCGGCGATATCTATCAGGAGGAGCATTTTATTAACTACTTGACTCCTGATATTCGGATAGTGAAGGAACTCCCTAAGGAGCTACAGTCACTAGATTTGGAAGCAATTGGTAGTGTTGTAAGTCCCTGAGCGAAATTAAATATTCTTAACCGTCAAAGTGTTTGCTCCCGTGATGAGTTTGTTTCTACTTGTTACAATTTGTTCCAGGTGACAGATGCAGACATCCCCAAAGAGGAAAAGCCAAGTTTTTACTTAAAAAACATTGTCCCTATTCTACTTAAGAACGGAGTTGTACATTTTCTTGGATTTGGGCATCGCTTGGCATTTGATCCAATACCATTTCAGTTGCAGGTACACAATAAGCTTCTAAAACCCTACCCTTAAGAGTTTCTGGCTAGGAAATTTTTAGTGGATTTTCATCCTCTTCCTCCCCCAGTTTCACTTTCTTGCTTGCCTACCATTTATCTTTTTCCACTCTTCCTAATTGAGGAACTTCATCTAGAGACTTCGATGCAGATGTAATTTTTATGCCCTTCAATTTGTCCCGAAGATACAAGAAGTTGGTGCTTTACTTCTTCGAAGACTGCGTCAAAATGAAGGTCACCCTGGACCTCTGGATCGTTATCTGGTTGGTTCATATGCAAAACGAATCAAGAAAAATAAAAGTCATTCTAAGAAAGCTTCCAGATATCTTGCTTTACACCTGAGGTTTGAAATAGACATGGTAGCTCATTCTTTGTGTGAGTTTGGTGGAGGTGAAGAAGAGAGAAAGGAGTTGGAAGCATATCGTGAAATCCATTTCCCTGCATTGACAGTTCTCAAGAAGACTACAATGTATGCAGTATATCATTTGGTTGGTGTGCTTATTTTTTTGTTAGTTCATAATATCATAATATGATATTAATGGTAGAATGAGAGAAGCCCATTTGGTTTAAGGGTTTCTGTTCTTGCACTTGGCATTTTATGCATGCTTTTTAGCTGAACAATGAGATTGAGTTTTATGGTCTTTTCCTACACATTTCAGGCTGCCTACTCCTGCAGAGCTCAGGGAAGAAGGCTTATGTCCTTTAACACCTGAAGAAGCAGTACTCATGCTTGCTGCTCTTGGTTTCAACCGTAAGACACATATATTTGTGGCAGGTTCACAATTATATGGAGGGAGATCAAGGATGAATGCTTTGACGAGCTTGTATCCTAAATTGGTGACTAAAGAAAATTTGCTTACGCCGACTGAACTTGAACCCTTCATGAATTTTTCATCCCAGGTAATAAGATGCTGTCAAATGTTAAGATTATTCCATTTCAGTTTTACTGCAGCTTTTACATGACTAATTCAGTTCCTTCTGTAGTTAGCAGCACTGGACTTCATAGGCTGCACTGCTGCCGATGCATTTTCCATGACTGATTCAGGAAGTCAGTTATCGTCCTTGGTGTCTGGTTATCGAATATACTATGGTGGAGGAAGAATGCCAACGATACGACCAAATAAACGCAGGCTTGCGAGCATTTTTATGAAGAACTCCACTATTGAATGGCGTGTGTTCGAGCAGAGAATTAGAAAGGCAGTTAGACAAACTAAACATGTCCAACCAAGGCCCAAGGCAAGGAGTGTGTATAGGTATCCACGGTGTGACGAGTGTATGTGTAACATGACAATAACCACCTGATTATTTTTTCATGCCTGCCTTCAATTGTGTCATGCTCTTTTTGATGACCTAGCGTATCTGAGTCTTTGACCCGACGAATTGGAACGGCCAGGACTAACAATGGGGAGGTGGCGCCACGAGTGTTCGCCTTGTTGCTAATTCAGTTGTAATATGGAATCTTCATCATGCTTTGTATTCTAACCATTGTTCCAATCATAATCAAAATCATTCAAATACCATTCATCAAATCTTTTTGGACTTTACTTATCATGGGTCCGTGTTATTTGAAAAGAAAGGGACTCTCCAATTTAGTAGTGCGAAAAGGTGTGTTTTTTTCTTTCTTTCTAGGGGTCTGCCTTGTGAGAAGGTTATTTGAGCGCCTATAAAAGCAGGCAAATAGGAGGTACCCAGGTAGATATTTTATTTTCATGAAATTCCGGATTGCATTAAAACAAATTATGAGGACTTTTAAGCTCCTATAATATAAGCAACATCATATTGGCATCAATTTCTGTTGTATTGATTGGCCTAAATTTTGTATTCAAATCGTTGCACAGGGAAATGCATGTGAGAGAGCCAACATTTGCGTGCATTGGATTTCCTTGAGCATGGCTTCTAACAAGTATAGCAACAGATAGTGCAAATGAAAGCTAATACTTCTCATGTGTTTGATGTCGAAACGGGGAAAACTGATAAGGGTATCCTCACAATATGATTTAAACTTCCTGTAAGAACAATTTCGCCAAATGTAAAGCCATCCATTGCTTGTGCCACTTTAACTTGTATATGTAGCTCTTGGCTGCCTTGTGGAGCAATTCTAAACCAAGTTGGACACAGGTCTACTATTGTTCCATTAGGTGACAAAGCAGAGCAAAGGTAAGTCTCTGGCTTGCTCCCTACGTTTGTGAAAGTCCGTCGAACGATTTGAGACCCCTTCAATGCTGATAATGTTACTGAAGGAAGGTTCAGATTGGCTGGATGGTCAAGTGTGTTGTTGCACAATTCTCCAGTGGCATTTCTAATTGTAGCTGGATTGATCTCAGGTAATGAACACAAGAAACTGAGATAATCTTCATATCCAGAAGACAAGACTAGACCGGGGTCCATTGCACGACTAGGACTGACAAAGCCAGCTCCGAAATCGAAAGGGGTGGAGGGATATGAACTGCCTATATCGGATCCTTCAGCCATTATAAATTCTCCGTCACCGTCATACTTTGTGGCAGTGGTGGAAATTGCAGATGCAATCATGGATGGAGTCCATGAAGGTTTGTACTGCTTGATAAGTGCTGCTATGCCGGCCACATGAGGTGTTGCCATGCTTGTACCAGATAGTAGTGCAAAATTGTATCCTAAACAACCAAAACCCCCCAAGTTTTGTTAACTCTTGCTTTTATATTAAGGTATTGCAAGAATAGCACCTGCAAAGAAGAAAAAATTAAGTTTCAACTTCTACTTACCTGTTAATGTGGGTTCTAAGGCGCTGATGGGGCTCCAAGCTGCCCATATTTGGTGCCCTGGGGCAAGGATATCAGGCTTTAGTACATCACAGGGAGTTCTGGAGCTGTTTATGAAATCTGGTCCCCTTGAAGATAATCTGCTTACAACGGGTGCATGGCCCGTGAAAGAAGCAACTCTTCCTTCTCCAATAGCTGCTTTTGCTGCAAACCTAGTAGCAAATCCTTTCTCCTCCTTGCAAGTTTCTTGTTCATAATATTGTAGAATAACCTATAATTTATTATCAATTCTTGTAAGATTCTGATAGTTCTGATTAGGCTAAGGTTCATGGGAAATATGATAATACTGTTAATAGTAGATACCTGGACATTGGTTACGTTTGAGACCATAATACCAGAAACACCAAAAGGAATAGGTTCTGCAATGAAATCACCATAGTTTGGATTTGCAACCAGAACAAAACCCATAAATCCTAGAACTTTTGCGGTGTTGATGATGGCGGTGATGGTGGATGTCCCGTTATAGAAGCCCTCTGAGAAGGTGCAGATCACAACACTACCTTGCACCACGTTGGGGTCCAATGCTTCTGGATATTGACACTCTTCAACATATGGTGGAGTTCTTGGGAATGACCCACTTGCCTTAAGTACATCCTTAGCCAAAACCAACTTATGCAGAAGTAAACCATATCCAAAAGTTGGTCCTGAAAGAGAAATAGATAACCAATTCAAGAAACAGTTATGGATGAATTTGAACCATATAGTTCTAGTTAAGATGTTCTTGAAATTAAGATATTAGTACCTGATAATCCCACACCTTCAATCTTCGTGCCATTTCCAAGAAGAACAGAACCAGGATAAGTTCTATCTGTGCTGGATGAAGCTACACCCACAGCCCAAGGGCTATAAGACACTACGCTTGAAGGAGCTGGCCCTTGATTTCCTGCTGCTTGCACCACAAAAATCCCAGCTCGTCGACCAAATAACATGGCAATATCAAACGTGCTTAAGAAGGTCGCCGTGTCTTCTGGAGGTTCATCTGGTCCTACAGAGAGTGTTAGGATGTCCACTCCATCTAGAACTGCCTGTTGTTGCACAAAGGAAAAGATATACAGGTGAGCACGCACACACACACACACACACACACACACACACACCAGAAAGAAACTGCTACTTGTTATGGAACTAACCAGTAAGTTTCTACATTGCTTAGATGTCCAGTTGATTGGGATAATCTATCAGGCACCGAAAGATGAAAGTTTAGAATATGAGTACTTACTTGATCTATTGCTGAAACCACATCCGTTAAAGTTCCAACCGTAGGATACACAGCTTTATATACAGCAATTCTGTTACAAACTAAAATCAAAACTCAAAAGAAGCCAGAAATGTTTTAATTGAAGTCTGAAATAATCTTGAGGTTGCTGCAACAAGCATAGACAACACATACCGTGCACGTGGTGCCATCCCACTGGCTCGTCCATAGTAGAAGCCATTCACAACCACCGGAACTCCAGCATTTCCAGCGGCAATTGATGCCACATGACTGCCATGACCGACTGCATCAAAGGGTGAAAGAAAATCCACTGTTGAGTTAAGTGTGGCAACAGCTTGAGCCCCAGCAGAGAAGAACTTTGCTGAAACTATTTTTCCATTGCATGAACTTGCTGGAAATTGAGGACCCGTTTTGCAAGCACCCGAAAAATGAGAAATATTGGAGGTGAAAGGGTTTAGAGGATCATAAGCAAAACTCGGGTGTGTGGGGTTAATGCCTGTATCCACAAAACCAATCACAATTCCTTCACCCGCGTTGTGATCATCTCCTCCTCCTTGTGTCCATACTCCTTGGGGTAATCCTAGGAATTGAGGGGTGTATGTTGTCATCAACTTAGCTCCTCTGTCTCTCTCAACCAACTTCACTCTTGGAGCTTCTTTGAGCTTTTCTGCCTGTAATATTAATCATAATCAAGTTTATTATTGGCTCGAACTAATTATATGGAAAGAATTTAAAATTAGATAATACGTGAAGTGGGAGAGGACCTGGGAAGGGGTGGTATGGACAGCAAAGCCATTTAAAATGTGTTTAAAGCTGTAAAGCTTGCTGTAGCTTCCAGTCTCCAGAGCACTCTGTAGAAGTTGGTCATGAGAATCCACCAAGCTCTTTGCATGAGCCTTGAAAACTTCGCTAACCATATTATCCATGCATGAAACCATAAGATAAAGATCATAATCACTAAGTAATTACCATAGGAAAAAAAAATTAAACAAGTTGTTTGTTAATCTCACCTGTTTACGTCGAGGCGTCTTCCATCTCCATACAATGCAACTGGGTCTCCTTCCATCAAAACTATATATATTGCTCGCTCTTCTGCAAAACTTGTAAATACAACAGAAACAAGAAGCAGCGTGAAACATAATGGAGGCATTACATTGGCCCTTACTGTCATGCTTACATTACAAACAGAGAAATATCGGGGATTATGATTTCAATTGCTTTTGGTTTTAACAATTAATTGTGGTGCTCATAAGTACCAATATATAAGAGTCTCCAGTGATCAATTATGGACAAACATAACTTTGTCACACTTGACAGATTTAAAAATGAACAAGTTGCCATATGAGCCATGCAGACAATCAATGATTAACCGTGCCATCAATGTGAATAGGAGCTTTTTAAGAGTAAAACCAGCCCGCTTTGGACTAAGCCGTTATCATTCATTGAATTATGCTCATGTTTTCAAAGTATATGTGCACGCTGTTCATGCTGCCATCTCACACCAAACAACCTCGATGAGTTCATATCTTTTTCCCTTTCAGGGTGGGAAAAAGAGCGAAAACTATAAACAAATAAAAAAGTTGGGCTGTGATTGTTGATTTCAGTTATAATTCAAAATCTACCGAGTTGAAAAAAGCAGCTACCAGACCAGATGTTTGCTGTAGTAGCATTTTCATGCGAACTTTTTTATCTGCGAAAATGTTTTCACCTGCAGTGAAGCATCCCATGTCTCTTACAGCTTAAAACATACAAACAGTTACATCCTTTTACATCTTTAACTTCTTTCTTAATACAAAATCACGGCCGCCATCATTCATCGTACATAGATTTTGGTACCAGGAAAATGGAGAAGTGCAGCGGCACAGCTGTGATTGTGTCACATAGCTGCCTCATGAGTCGACTAATCTAGAAAGGTTACACAGCCGCAACGTTAAAGAGAACGAGCAAAATGGATTCAGATGTTAATACTAAAAGAAAGATCCGGCAATTTGGCATAGCAATAGACAAAATGATATTCTGTCAAGATAGAGAACAAGGTTCGAATTGAATTATGTTTTGTTAAATATACAGGACCAATTTCCTAAATGTGGAGCTGGTGCATATAGCCTAAAGTCAAACTAAGGTCCTGATATCCTACTGTACAGTCCACATGACAGCAATCAAAAGTCTCGCCTCTAGCAAACCTATGCTTGCAAAGGAAGTCATTTCTTCCGCCGCTTCAGCTCTCCCTGCAAAAGGTTATGAATTCTGATTATTCATTTTGTTGGAATCGTAGTAAAAGTAAGAGCAACAGTTACTGTAATAATTATAACATAACTTGATACATGGAGTATACGATGAAAAGCAAAACCACTCTATTTTTAACCTTAAAAAGTTTTTGAATTGAAAAGAAAAAACCTTAAACACTGCATGAGCTTGTTATGGGCGAAAACAAATCTCATAGCCTGGAAATAACATCACGGTATAAACAAGGAGAATGGACAATACATGTCCATGACAAAAGCAATGCAGCATTGATAATAAATTTACAATAAACATGTAACACTGCTAGTTTAATCATGCACTCTTGTGACAGTCAGATTAAATTTGTGGTGAACCTATCACACACAAAATTGCATCTCAGAAAGAAAAAGTAATCAGACATGACGAAAAAAGAACTGAAAAGTGATTCATCAACGACTAGACCATCACACAGATACTTGGGAGGCGTGGTTTGTCAATAAATATATTTTAGAACAATTAACTAAAACTCCATTATGAGTAGCCAAACCTTTGCACCAGCTTGTGGTGATGCTGAAAATGCGTTCTGGGGCTTTTTCACATCCTCCTCAGATGAACATTCTGAACAAAGAAAGCTATCCAATTTTTTTGCTTCTACAATAGTCATGCCCACGCAAGCAGGATGGTACCTGTAAGTCCATAGTTAAAAAAAATGCATCTATGAGGGTATTTAAGATGTACTAGGGGAGATTCAATAATGTTGCAACAATGACCCAAATTTCTTCCAAACAAGATTCAATAATTAAATATTCATAGCATTACGCCCATCATGGACTTCAGGAACCACTCTCAAGCATGAATATGAGCAATAAACTTCTAAGCAACAGACATGAAAATTAACCTTCATACAGTGCAATTTTTGAGTTGGTTAAAGTAGAAATATAATTTAAAGCCACCAGGAGACACAGGAAATTATTGTCAAAAGATCATTCCTTTTCTTTTCCACCTTTCCATGTTTAAATTGCTTCTTCCAAAACTTATATGTTGCATACATACTAAACAAGTGATCAAGACTGCAATTGTCAGAACCATTAAAGATACTTGATTTAATGTCTCTTTTGGGGACAATATTCAAGTACGACAACACAACACATCCAACAACTCAAATCTCAAAAACGCGCAATATACTAAGAAATAAAAGAACTTGAAGAAATCACCAGTCTTTGCACCCCTCGCACTGCACCATGAGGTCATCCGGGTTATATGGCATCTCACACTTGCAATACCTTCAAAACCGACAAAAAAAAACCCATCAAATCCAATCCATAAACACCACATTTCCACTCAAACCAAGGCAACAGGAAAAGACACTCACACAGCAACTCTGTCTGGTGTGAACGCTCCAGTAGCAGCCTTGTACTCAAATCTACAGTAATAATCTTCAGCTCCCACATTCTCAAGCTTTGTGTAGCTCTTGAAAGAGTGGACCGTACACTTGCCTTCAATGGTGTGAGCGCTCTGAACATCATAGTGGTCAGACAAGAAGAGCTCTTTGGCTCCATGGAACTGTCTGCGCCCTCCTATGGACTCCTCCGGCCTATAGTACCACCTGACTCTCACTTTCGTGTTGCCCCGGTTGTCAGCTTCGATCTTCTCGATGCGTGCCACGTACGGAGGCTTACCGGTGTCCGATGGGCGCATCAGCACGCAATCCCCAGCTGCAAAACCACCATTTATTCAACCCATTTAGCTTCCCAAAAATAAAAAATCAAATTTTTTCTTCTACATTTTTTGGAAACAAATAAAAAGCATTGTTTTCTTTACCTCTGACGACCTTGTTGGTGCCTCTGATCGTGTACGAATCCGCGTCCCTTTTCCCCGGTCTAGTTTTGGCCATGGAGGGTCTTTTCAAGGAAGCCTTGGTGCTAGAAAATGTAGCAACTTTGAAGCAATTTTAATGGCGTAAATAGGTTTCCTTTCAAAGCCCTAAAATTTGGACATGCGGGAGGGGAAAACTCAGAACATAAACCCTAGGCGCTGCTTCTCGCGGAGACAAAAAGAAGAGAAGAAGACAGAGCACAGGCGAGTGTGACGCTTGGCCTTTATGGTAGATATATCTCAGGCTCATAATACGCGTCTTAAATTTTGGAGTTAATGCCTGTTTTTTTCGATGTTTTGCTGCTTCACCTCTGTCTCTTTGTTTGCTTACAATTTCCACGTGTCAAAATATACGACTCAAACACAAATTAGCATAAAAAATTAAGTGTGTGAGTCGGGTCGGATCGGATCCATAACAAACATTTCTTAACGTTTGTGAGTCAATGTTTACTAGTTTCTCATCGTCCTTTCTTTTATTTCGCTCTTCTTCTTCTTTTGGTTACACTGTAGGAAAAAAAATCCAACTGGAGTTCGATCCTGGGTGCCATGCCGAGAATCCACCACCTCTGTAGTAGGAACCCATTTTTCTCTCTCCTTTAGATATTTCGATTTCAAGTAAAATTTTCAATAACAACCATTTAAGTGGGACACTTAAATAATTACAACCGCGTAGAGTAACTTAGCTTCGTAACAATAATGTTTACACAATTAACAAAAACAACATGCACATTAGTTTTTGGCTAAAAGTTTTGGCCTTCTTTTAGCTGGTTCCTATCCTGAGTTAAAAGTAATGGAGTGGTGCATGGAGACAAGAAGAAACTAGTTCAACGTTTAATTGGAGTGTGCATCCGCTCAACAATTTCGTTTACCGCGGGACATCACCAGTGTATCATGCTGCAGGATGCTGTAGACGTTCAAACCCTGCAAAACGTGCGAAATACACTTTCGAGTATTTAGGGAGAGAGACAGAGGTTTTAGTTCTTGTGAATCAAACATTTTCAACAATGGAAAAAATTTTGTCAAAAATTCATACTCTTAAGCAATTGCTAACGTATAAAGACGCCTGCTGATCTTCGGAATAATGTGTCTGTGGAATGGCATCTCATCTCAGGCTGCATATAGTTTGCTAGCTACAATACAACACTTCTTAAGGGTCAGAAAGAGCAACTCACTACTGCGGGCAGCACATTCACATAATGTAAATTTTGTGTAGCCAACTTGAGCTTCTCAGGTAACATACCATCTACCAGCAGAAGTTTCTTGGAGTTCTCCATTTGCTGGACGTAGTTCACAATATTCTTGGTTTTATGTGTTGGGACCTCAAAATCATCAAAAACCAGAAGCTGCAGTTTCATACGGTTTCTCTAGTTAAGTTCCATTTAAAACATAAAAGTTTACATATTTAATTAAAATAATTCAGCCCCATTAGCACACAAAGCAAGAAATCCATTCAGAGAGAGAGAGAGAGAGAGAGAGAGTTGCCTTTCCCTCTGCTGCTCAAGTTGTCAGAGCAATCTTTAGCCCTAGACGCCGAACCTTCTTATTCAGCTTAAAAGCATGGCTTCGTGGCTTAGGACCATGCATTGTGGAACCTCCTCTGAACTGTTAACACCCATTAAATTCATTATGCAAAAGCATCTTAAAGGCAGAGTTAGATTGAAAATCAAGAAACATGCTAATTTCAAAGCATGATAAAATCAGTACCTGGGGACTACGCAATGATCCCTGCCTCGCTCGACCAGTACCCTTCTGATTCCATGGCTTTCTCCCAGTCCCACTAACCTCACTAATAGTTTTTGTTGAATGTGTTCCCTGTAGACCACTCAACAAGCATAAGTTTTTTTTCTTTTCTTTCTCACATTCACTTGTGTATAGAGTCTCACCAACATTATTTCAGTGGTTATTACATAATTTTTGCTAGACCTTCAAAAGTATTTTAAGCATGGACGACAAGAATTTCAAAACACATGACATGTGAAAATAAAAATATAGAAAAGTTATTGGTCAATTGAATTCCTCTTATGCAAGAACCCATATACTTTGTATGTGATCCAGAAGCTTTTTCGGCAAAATGCTCCCCCACAATTCCCCAACACCAAAAAAAAAAATCTCACTAAAGCAGAGACTATGTACTTCCAAGTGGCATAGCAACTAAGATTCTTTTCTATTTTTAAAGTTCAGGAGCAGAATGCAATATTTGCTCAGCCATCATTAGTGCCAATCTTTACATGCTTGAGGTGTCAATGCTTCAGTTTATAGACAAGTCAATACCTGTTGCCGTTTTGCTAGCTGCCATAGTACAACCCGATGAACAATATACAGGGAAAACTGTGAAGCCTTTATCTTCGTAATGAAAATTTGTCACTGGAATTACAAGGTCTTGACAGAGCCCTATATTACAATACACAAAATCATTAAAGAAGTTCTGCACCTTTTTTTTTATAGATAACATTAATATAACATCCTTACACCTGGTTTATAATGTAAACCCAGTAAGTAATATATAAATTTTACCAAAAACTAAACCTTGATGCATACCAACACTTGCCTATAATGTTTTCACTTGTCTCAATTACCATTTGCAATGGGTTTTAAGTAGGAGAACATCAGAAGCACGCGGTCATTCTCTTTTATATCCATTGCAGAGATCAGGGACAAGACATTTGAAATTTATGCCAAAAGTTGGGCAAAAACTTCAGTCCATACCGACCGTATAACAATTAATGCAGGCATTTCAATACTTATAATGCTTTTCCTAGGTAACATAAACCTGAACACAAGCAATGTTTTGTGACCTTTCCTCGTACCTGTAGTACCCTCTGATGCAAACACAGGCTTTGCAGACAATAAATTAGAGGAAAATGCACCCCCACTTGATTCAGGAGTTGAGATAGAAGTTAAAAGTCTTAGATTTGCTATTAAAGATGATCCAGCCTATATTGAGATACAATATAAAATGAGTTCATTACTGAGTTCCAAGGTATACAGAAAGCAAAGAATCCAAATAAATCACCATGTTGAGTATATGAACATGCTGCACTGATTCATATGATATAGCTTTCATGATATTCTTTTCTTTTTTTAATGTAAAATAAAAAATAAAAAGTCAGGTACGGTGGAATGAAAACAGATATGATGCAAGAATACCTTAGAAATAGGTGACAATTCTTCACAAAATAAGACATCCCCTGGAACATGGCCACATAAATCCGTTCAAGGACCAAAATAAAGGTAGAAAAAGAATAATATTTGCAACGCCACAAAATGTTCCAATCATGTAAGTCAATAACAAACAGCTACACGTCCGCATCGAGAGAAGCATGAAGTGATGGATATAAACTACTTGGAGAGTCACAGTGGCCCGATGCTAAGACGGAACCAAACGAAAGTAAAAGCCTTCTGGATACCGACAAAGCCATACTCAAAAGCACTACCAAGACTTGGCCGAATTATATTCAACCGGTTATGTAATCAGCTTTCTCAACGTTCCCACTACAAAAGGACACACCTTTAGACTTTCGCAAAATATATATATATATATATTTAAATATCAAATTGATAGTTCATCTATCATGCTCTCATTACCACTAGAACTATTGCCTACATCCCCAACAGCACTCATTTCCTGTTCGAAAACATCTTTTTTTTTTAAATCTCAAACAAAAATGCTCATCAGAAAAATATAAAAACAAATAACAAGAATATAAAGCCAAACACAGTTTTTAGCAGCCGAGGAATGATTAACGAATGGTAACCTTAATTATTTTTTTCACAAACAAATATTCATCCAAATACAATATTGACAACGCAATACGAAGATAATAAGTGCCCAGACGGTGTAAGAGCTGATAAGAACATGAAGCAAGTACCGTATCCGTACGGAAGTAATCGATGTAAATCTGGCCGTCGAAATGCGTTCGAAGATTTACAACCTCCAATCCTCTTCCTCCAGCTAGAGAGAGAACCTTCTTTTAGTTAGGAGGAGGGCGGAGCGAGAGTGTGAGCTAGCCGGAGGAGCCAGGTCTGGTGCGGAAAATGAAAAAGGCAAAAGCCCAAGTAGAATACTACGGCACCCCAATGTTACATTTATTAGATTTTGGGCTTTTTATGCAGAAGGCCCAATATGAAGCCCAAGTATTCCACATTGGGCTGCTGTACTATTTCTTGTATAATAATTTTTCTCTCGAATAAAAATGAAATTATCGTCAGCAAAAAAATAAATAGAAATTAATTTTTTGTTTTCAAGATTGTTGTGAGGGCCTCAATTTTGTATTTTGATTTTGATTTTATTTTATACCCTATAACTTAAAATATATAAAGTTAAGGAGTTAATGATTTCTACTCCTAGTATAACATATATTAAAAAACATTTAACCTACTAACATATCTAATTAACGGGACATTTATCTCATATATATTTAAGTTAAAAAGATTGGATACATACTTTTAATCTCGTTCGGTGGAGACTACCAACACATTTAATGAATGCAGTCTAATAACTAAGGTTAGAAGTATTTAATTAATCTTTAACACAAAATACTTATTATTGAAGTTTCTCCTCTTATGATAACCTTTAGTTTGCGGGTTTTCTCTTACTAGCTGTCCAAACCATCAGTACTACACATCGTACACTCTTATGGCGTTATTTTATTTATAAACAATCCATCTCTTCCAACCAATAAAAAAAATAAAACCCATACCTAAAATTACAGCAAAACTTCATTTCGCAGTGGAGAAAAGTTGAACTTTAAGATGTAAGATGCAAAATAAAACAAGTAATTTAAGTGCTAAATATCGTAATAATAAATAACCCCTACATAAATATATATTAGTACACATAGATGATTGTGTGACAATCACAATCCATTGTCAAAGGTCATATATAAATTGTTCAGAATGACTACAATTAATAAAGATATTGGAATAATCTTCGCATCATACTAATTAATTAGTTGGCACGTTGTTGTTGAGTCAGAGCAATGTGGGAGAAATATCCATGGGAAATGGGTTGCCCAAGACGGTGTCCATGTAATAGTGGCCAGGGTGTGTAGCATCCATCACCACAAACTGCATATCCTCTGAAGGCTTCCAATGCCTCTTCCTTTGGTTGATAAACCAGTTGTTTATTTGCTTCTGGTCCAGCCCTGTCGATTCTGCAAGAGCCAGCTTCTGCGACTCCTGTAAATGCATCAACACAAGCGTGCGTAGGTACGCAGGTACATATATATACACATATACAAAGTGAGATGAGTGAGAGCAAAAACTACAGAGCCTACGGAATTATTGACGAACAAATCCAGCAATTAATGTATAGATAAATTGATAATAATATGGTACCGATGGATAAGGCCATTTGTAGTGTCTGCTCCACCAATCCAGCAACTGTTGCCTGGCTTCTTTAGGCAGCTTCCCTTTCTTCCTCTTCTTCATGAACTCCTGCTTCAAACTGCCCAGATATCCACTGTACTTGCGCAACAGCTGACCTTTTAGCTCCCTATCTTCTGCTTGTGGATCTATGAAGTTGTTATTAACATCAACCTCTTCCTCAGATGATCCGTTCCTATCGAGTCCATCGCCACAAACTGATGACACACATCATGAATACATATACAAGTCCATCAACAAGGAATTGAATCAAAATCTTTAATCATGGTAAAACTGATTAAAAAACAAGGGCTCCCCAAGAATCCCTAAAGTAATAGACTGACAGTGCGGATTTAAGTGCACAACACACATTAATTTGGTTTATCGCAAGGAGCAATGGTTACATTATTCTCTTACCAGAATCACAGGCATGCCATAACACAGAATATCCGATTTGTACAAAAACACTTCACCAATATTGTTTCTAGACATCGCATTTTTAACAGCTAAGTGATACATTCAGGTCAAGAAGACTTTAGGCAGTTTTGTGGCAAAACATGGCCAAACTTTTGTACTCTATATATTGGCTGCTCTAGTGACATATTCTTTAGGGCCTGCACCATATTGTAGTCTCTCTTTATCAATTCAAACTGATTCGATATTTGTAAGGAGCCACTGACCTCTTTACACTTACGAGGAAGAAAAAGCACCTAATGATTTAAAGGTCAAAAGTTCCAGCTGGGTTCAAATAAAACTCATTAAGGTCTACTGCTCTATGATATGAAAGTTTTATGCATAAATTCTATAACAACTTGCAGACAATTCCTTCACAACATATTATCGAAAACATACATTGCTGCTGTAAATTCAGCCTTTGATATATTCTAAGACACAAGATTTAATCTAACTTTATTTCCTTTTTCCCCCTTTTTCTTTTTGCTAAGGATTGAGTAGAATTATATCCCTAATCATGAGGAATATATTCAGCCCCCAGAACGAAAGTACTTTTGAGTTCTTGTACAGCCAAAAAGTGTATCCTGTAAATAGTGTGATATTCTTTTTGTTATAGGGGAAACTTTTTAGACCCATAGACATTCTTTTTCTACATCCAACAAAGAATACAATCACAACTCCATGCAGAAGCAGACCTACTTTATCCAAAACATATAGGGCATGAATCTAAGCTACTTAATCCTACTTTGAAATGCAATTTACCCAAAAATGCAATCGCCACTTATCAATTCCAATGTGGGCCACACCAACACAGAAATCCAGTATATATATACGAATACATAGGCCAACTGCAGACACATATACTTCCTCCCAAGGTTACAAGGAATTCTAGGCTATATCAAAAAATAAGAACAAAATTAATATATACACAGGTTAACAGCTAGCACACCATTCAAGGACACGGCTGTTAGATTAGCTCAGGATTTGTTCGATGAGCTGCGACTCCACTTACATCATTAGTTTGTGTGATTAAATACTCATTCATGCATTCAGAGCGAAGTTTCTCACTCAGAAACCAACCATATGCTCTAATAATTGATTCCTTTAAACTATTCTTCTTCAGCTACTAATCAAGTATTTCAAACGACTCCCTAACTGCAAATATGAGATAATTCATCAAGGATTATATAATTAGAATATTAAAGCTAAATAGCCCCATTTTCTTCTGTAATCAAAGTATCCGCTTAACAATCTGTAAAACCTTCATCACATGCTTTCTTTATTGTAATCTAATTAAGGAACCTTAATCCATTCCATTGCACAACCAAAAGAAAATAGAAGGAATTGTGTCTATCTAATCATATGCATGCAAGCGTAAACAGAATTGAGTGCAGAAAAACTGACACCTCGAGTCCAACACGCATATAATCTAGGAACCAAATTGTCAACTTCTATCTGATATCTTGGGTTGTTTAAGCCTGCCTATCAGAACATTTGGGGCAACCAATTCAAGTGTAGTATTCTTTGCCATGAAGACCCGTGTCATTACAAAAACACCCACTGTGATTGTAAATACCAACTAAAACTTAAATGGACATGTTGTACTAATGCAAATGTTTAGAAAGATGGACAATGAGGCTTTCACAAATCTTGGAATTTAGAATGATCACAATTGCAATAAGCTTTATTCTATTTACCAACCATAAAATAGGTTGACCAGTAGTACACAAACTCATTCCCAAAGTAAATTTCTTTTGACAAATCTTTTCTATATGTACTTACCAGTAAGCATTAAGAAACAACAGCATACACACTGCAAATACACTCCAACTTTGGCAATGACAAGACAAAAATATAAAAATTAGTGTCACGTTAACGTAACCAAGATAATCAGATTCAGATCCGGGGAAAGCAACAGTTGTTTTAGAGTATCTAAGCAATGCAATTTGAATCTAATAATTACACAGATATTTTCAGCTTTCACGGAGTGATTAAACCCTAACTAAATATTTACAATGCCCTAATTAGAGTACATAGGCTTCTTCCAAACCTCACCTCACTCGAAAGAGCACACAGATATTCAAAGATCTATTATTTAAACTGAATATTAATTTTCTCTGTCCACAATCTGGGTTCAAACAAACCCTAGTCTCTAGGACAGCAGTTGGTTCAGCATTGCTATATATATACATGAAAGGGGGAGACAACACAAGCCAAAACTTTTGTCTTATATTTATATAAGGTGCATCGGTGTTAATATCAACCAGGTAAAAAAGAAGTAAAAAAAACTCGAAAGAAACAAATCAATCTCATTCAATTCACAAACACCGAGAAGAGAACCAAAGCCAAAAATCTACGCAACTCCAACGATTTGTATATAGCTAAAAATAACATGACTTGCGCGTGGAAACCTAGCTAGTCGTAACAAAAGTTGAATACACGCCAAAAAAACTGAAAAATATAATTAAATAAGTTATAGAAGCAGCTAATTATTTAAGCAATAAACTTAAAGAAGAGACTTGAAAAGCAGAATGTAGACGAACTGAGCACCCGCGTTGGGAGACATGCTCTTCCGCTAGGTTGCTATATCCATCGTTTTTATAATAAAATAAACCTACAGGATCTTAGAACCAGCATTCATGCATGGCTGGTTATTATATTATGTTCCTTATTAAAAAATTCGGATGATTAAAAAAAATCAAAGAAACAGTTTAAATCTTGCGAGACTTACTAAAAAATAGTTGGAAAGATAAACAGTGATAAGAAGAAGATAGAGGTAGAGAGAGGAGAGAGAGAGTGAAGTGATGATGACCTGCAGAATCGGAAGAAGAAGAAAGAGTGAGGGCTTTGAATTGGGACTCGATCCTCTGCAGGAAGATCATGGCTTCCTTGAAGGGTTTGGAAAGCTCTTGCTCATACTTGGTGAGCATCTCGCAGTAGGCCTCCATGAACTGATCCAGAGCTGGATCTTCACCGAGACACCCTGATCCGCTGCTGCTACTCATCATTTGACCTATTGACGCTGCTGACGAGCACGCTTCTTCCAGTCTTGCCACCACTTCAGGCGGTGCCCCAACCTGCACTCAAATTCTTTTCAAATAAATATTTCGACCTTTTTTCCTGTATATGAGAAATTATATAATGATGAAAAAGCAACAACACCAGCTATCAATCGATCAGCTTGTTTGAAAGAGGTTTGACTCCCTCATCACTTTACTTCCTCGAAACATAATTACTCAGTAAAGCGTGACAGTAACAAGTACTTGATGTCCAACTTCATCAACTATTAATTGAGGTTCTCAGATCCAAAACTTCCAAAGAAAAGAAACTTGCAAAGATCAATTATCTATCACTTTCAGGCATAGGGTATCTAAATTTGTGTTTTGTTTTTCCTTTCACCAGAAACAAAAGAAGAAAAGGAGGCCGAGTTGTGGTCCTAACTCCTACGTTTGTGGGGGAATTAAAAGCAGCTATACTTGGACATTGACGTGGTTTAATCTTCACCTTTTGACAGTTGATATAGGAGGCCAAGAGACGGTGATAGTGAGGGTGAGCCATGATCTTGGCCTTGACAGAAGAAGAGGAAGAGCTGCTGCCGTCATGGTTGCTGTTGTTGTTGTCCATGAAATAACAGGCGGCAGCTGCTGCAGGGTGGTTGTTGTTGTTGTTATTGTTGGGGTGGTGGTCGTTGAAAATGAAAGAGGAGGTGCTGCTATTGCGGTTGTGGTTGGATGGAGGTAGCTGGGGAAGCTGAAACGGAGTGGTGGTGTTTGGGTCTGCATTAGTAGGATTAGTAGGATGGTGATGTTGATGATGATGGTGATGAGAGTGATGGGAAGTCATTAGAGCTGGCACCATCATCATGGGACATAGTCCTCCTCCATTACTACTATTTTCTCCAAAAGCCATCATACTACAAGTGCCATTAGAACCACCTTCCATTCTCTCTCTCTCTCTCTCTCTCTCTCTCTCTCTCTCTTGCTATCTTGTCTTTCAATTTACAACTTTCCTAAAGTTATTTTGTTCACTTGGCTTTGCTATACCCCAAGAAAGAAACACAAACAAAGAACTAGTCTCTGTCTCAAAGTCTTTTTCTCTCTCCTACGCAATAATGTTTATTTTTTGGGTTGCTGTCGATCTAGGTAGCTAAAGAAGGAGGGGTGTGTACATGCACATGTGCATGAATGGATCTGATCTCTCCAAGGGAAGGGAAGGAGAAGAGGAGAAGGGGAAGGGAGGGCTCTCCCGGTTTTTATGCTACAAACTTTGAGCAGGCTTTTAACAGGGAAATCCTAAGTTAGTGAGAGTGATAGTGGTGGAGAGTGGATCAGTTAATGTAGCGTTTGTTTTTCTCCATTTGCTGGGGTCTGCCAGAAAAGCCTGCTCAGATTTCCTTTGGAAAATGCCTTGGTTTTATCTCTCTCTACACATGCATTAACTCACACAAACAGTACTTTCTCTTTTTTTGTTTTGTTCTTTTGACAACTGCTGGCTTCAGTTCAGACTTCTGATCTTCTTAACTTATATATACAATATTTGGGGGGGTATTGGTATTGTTGTACAAAAACACAAGTGAATGACTGTGAGAGTCATTTATTCATACACGCAGAATCCGCACGCGGGGGTGGAAAAAGAAAGGGCGGAGGTGGTAATTCACTCAAACTCGAAACTCAGCCGGTTTCATTTCATATATATTTATTGATGATAGATAATAGATAGGGTTTTAGATAGTGGTCATGTGAATATATGTATCTCTCTCTCTCTCTCTCTCTCTTCTCTCTCTGTGTGTCGTGTGATGCAAAGCTTTACCTTCCCGATGAAAACTCTCACCCTCTTTTCTTGCAGTGGCAGTGCTGCACTGCCATTACTGGCAAAGAATTATGAGAGAGATAGACAGCCAACGATCGATCAAATCGAGGAAGAGCTAAACCGGCTGGACACACACACCCCTAAATAAATGGCTAATAGTATGTCTTTCTTTCTTTCAACTTTCAACTTTCAACTTTCAACTTTGATGGATGGAGAGAGAGAGAGAAAGAGGAAGAGAGAGAGACATAGGTTTTTTTGGGGCATGGAAATTGGAATCACTACTGCTACTACCTAGCTACTCTCTTTCTCTCTCTCTCTCTCTCTCTCTACAGTACTCCCTTTGCTACTTTTTCTTGTTTACTACTGGAGCTTGATTGCAATCTGTCCACTCATTTAATATTCGCACTCTGTACCTTGTCCTCTTCTTCTCTTATCTTCTCTTCTCATCTCTACTACGCGGCTACGCCCCAACACCAACGGCAGCCCCAGCCCAATATCCATCACATTCACAATGTTCATAATCATCAATTAAATACAGTAATATTTAATAAAGAATATTAGTCTTATCATACTTATTTAATTTTTATCATGTGCAATTGTCACCTGTACTCATTCCTATCGGACACTCAAATGCATCAAGAATATATGTTTGCTATTTTACTTTTCTCCATACTTGGACACTTGTTCTTACAAAGGAAGGTTTGGTGTTGGTACTTACATCAAATTCAAACCAATCATTCCTTTTACATTGATTCAAATCACAATTTGACTTGTTGGAGGAAGCATTAATCGTTAGATACTGGATACATATAGTAATTTTCAACTTCAATTAAAAGCAGTCAACTGGATAATTATAATGACAAAAGGGCTTGCACATCATCAGCTCATGTGGTACTTTATTATATTTTGATTATTATTAGTTAAACTTGGGTTTATTGTACGTTACGTAATGCTATTTTGTTGGCATCGATTCTCTTAATAACTTATCAACATCATGCATCCTATATCCATCCTTGTTGTATTTGCCAGTTTTGCTTCGTAGATACAATATTCTACAAACAAGTATTTTCCACAAAGAAAATACAACGGCATGTCCACGAGACCGTCTGAAGAAAAGAATGCTTTTTCAGTTTTCTTGGATTTGGGTCAAGCGAAAAATAAACTGACAAAATCTTTTTACTAAGCAGTATATATACATGAATAAAATCTCTCACTCCATCCCATTAATTATTAGTCAGAGTCATAGCATCTAATCTGTAATTATTTGGCATGGAGAAAGAAAAAAAAAGTAGGTTTGCTGCAGCTAAAAATAAAGCTGGTAAAGCTAGTGGGACAGTCCGAATGTCTCTTCCTGAAATCTCCCTCTCTCTCTCTCTACATGTTGTGATCTCGGTTCCAATTTTCTCTCTCCTATTAAAGTTGGTAGCTCTATGTTCCAATGGAGCTCCATCGCTCCAATCCTGCGAAATCCGCAGAAAACAATTGCTCCAATCAATGGAGAACAAATTGTCTCCACTCCACTTAATAATCCCTCCATCCAATCCAATACAATGTTTCCTTGTACCCATTGTCCATTTCCTTCTTATTTTTCTCAACACATTTTTTTGTACTTCAATCCATTTATTTGTTAATTAACAGTTAACAGTGCATTATCGCATATATTTGTTTTGGATTTGGATGAATCAATTATACTTACCCTACCAACCTTTTTGTAAGGGAATGCAAGCTTAAGCTTAACTCTCCCGCAGCTGATATATTTTCCTTTTGCTCAATGTTCATCTTATTTTTCTCGTTTTACACCTCTAAATAAATGAAAGGTAGCTAACAATTTAACAAGGGGCCCCCCTTTAAGAGGGAAAGAGGAAGGAAAAAGAAGTGAATTACCGGAATCTGGCCAGAATAGACAAAAGAGTTGGGGAAATAATTTTCAATGGAGGACACTAGATGATGGTTTGAACCAGTGGGTCCTAAATCTCCTCATAGATATCCCGTACGCAATAAATCAACCCATTTTAAGATACAGAGATTGATTGGCATTTCAAACTCGTTCTCAGGCAGGAAGCTAAAGACAAATCAGGGATGGATTTTTTTTTTTTTTTTTTTTTTTTTTTTTTTTTTTTTTTTGGTTTTGTTTGGTCCTGGAGTTTTTTCAGTTTGAGGAGCTACAGAAAGTACTGATCCAGCCTCTGAACATGACACTACAACCTGGGGTTGATGGTTAGGGTTTGGTTTGGAGTTACGGTTTTATAAGTAGGTATAGGGTTAGGGTTAGGGTTTGGAGTGAAGGAGGATAATAGTACGCGAATCCGTCACAAAAGCGTAAGAATAAAAAGCAAGTAAAGAAAAAAAAAAATGTTAGACAGACGTCACTGGTGTGAAGTTTCAAGAGTGAAGCGTATAGAGGGACAGGAATGCTAGGCCCCTTGCAAGCAAAGCTTTTCTGATTCACTTTACGTCGTGTCCATCAACAGCTGTTTGATAGAAGAATTGCTTCATTTCATACATTAAAAAAAATAAATCGAAAGACCTTGGATTATCACAAATTGTTAGGGATAAAAGGATAGAATGGTCACTTAGATAAACAATTTATTATTACTAATACATTTGATAAAAGAATAATGTTACTCTTATCACATTTGTATACTACATTCTCATACTATCTTGTATGGCAGATGAGATGAACAGTCACATCAATTAAAATTAGTTTATTCTTTTCTTTTCTTTTATAATTTATTGACACTTTTTAATTGATGTGATTTTCAACTTTATGTGCCACATAAAGTTGTATGAGAATGTGGTATACAAATATAATAAGAGTAGCATTTCTTGTAAGACCAACTTTAGATATTAACTTGTGTACCATCTCTCTAATAGAGGTGGAACCTACTAATACAATGGGTCTCACGTTCTATTAGAGAGATGGTACACAAGTTGATATCTAAAGTTGGTCTCTTTAGGATTTTCCTAAAGTTATAGCTTATCTCTATCTCTATTTTTTGTAATTTCTAATAGTTCCTATTTAGTAAAACAATTTTCATTTTTAAAATTGCTATTAATCTAATTTAAATTTAATTACTTAGAAAATATTTGTACATCTTTGTTTTCAAATTCTTATTAGGGAAAATCTGTAATTGTATCATTCTTATTAGGGAAAATTGTAACTGTACTAATATTATTGAGGTCTTTTAAGATAAAACCTTATACTTTTTGGGCTTTGTAAATGGTTAAGTCATAGACAATATCGGTGTTGTTAGTAGTGGGTCGCTGACCCATCTTTTTGAAATCTAACAAATAGAGCCTCGCCTATTCATGACTATGATTCCATTCCCTGTTGAAAATCTCTTAAACGCTCTTCATGCTTAGAATCCCCTCAAGCAATGAAATAGTAAAATAAATGGGAAATTATAGTGGTTTTTTTTGCGGTAAGAAGTGGAAGTTATGATTTGTGGTTGCTGAAAAGTTTAAAAGGAGGGGAGGCTACCCATCCCAGGGCCACCGAAGTTATGATTTAATGTGGAGAATATTGTTTTTTAACTGTTTAATTTTGGGTGTGATGGTAATAATCTTAGCCTAGCAGCCTTGTGAAAGTAAATAATTAACAACATAAAGGAAGGATATTCCCACAAGAACGAGAAAGATGAGAAATCCAATTTCAATCAAATGAGGTTGATATGTTGATTTTCACGTAGTACAAACGAGTTGTAGCTATAGCTTAGGTAGCTGCAATATTAACAGTCTGAGTGAGTATATGCGTATATATTTACAAAGTGGTTTGTTCTTGTTTCGCATATTGTAATTATTCCCTTTGGCTCCATATATACGTTCTGTTGTTCCCCAAAAATGCAGCCTTGCAGCTTCTTTTTTTCTGTCTCATTTCGTTTTGATGTCTTTTTTCCTTATTTCCCCAATCAATGGCTTGGGTTTATAGACCCTGCTTTTTCCAAAGCTGTCATTCTATGGCATTGAGGAATCTGAATTCATAGGAATACAACGGGGTTTTGTTGCCAATCTTGTTGTCCATTGGTGAAAAGCGAAGATGATGCTACTTTCCAAACAAAAATAATGGTGATGGACAATTTTCTTTCTTTCGTTGTAAAATTTATTTCTCATTTTAATATTTTTACATATCAAATGATTGTAAGAAGAGAACAAAAAATGATTGAATACAAAACCAATGGCATTCTGTGGGTGATTGTTGTTAGTGAAGCTCAATATGTTCGACACAGAGGTGTTCAAGTTTAACCAGTGTGTGCACTGCTTGAACTCAAATACCTCTAAGAGATAAAAGGTACCAAAATATAAGAAAATTATGAGACTTCGTTAGGAAAACATGAGAGTATTCGTCAGAATTGTTATAATATGTTTTTTTTAAATTTTTTTAAACATGATGTTCCTAGCATTGCTCAAGAATAAATCATTGATTTTGACAGGGAACTGCAGGAGAGAATATTATTGAGAGGCTATTGGTCAACATTTATTAAAGCTTATCATGTATGTGTTCCTTCCATTAGTGCAAACGCTTCCAGCCAACTAGAAAGGAGTAATTTGCTTTTCTACTTGCGGATATAAATTTATCATGTTTTCCATTTGCGGTGGCCGGCCCCTTTGCTCCCTCCCATTAAGCTTTGCTCCCTGCATGGTAATATTGTGATTAATTCATGTTAATATTGTGATTAGTATAAATATAAACATTATGTGGGAAAAGGGCTAGGGGGGAAGCTTTTTGTGGCTGGCACATTAGCATTAATTAGGCGACCCAAACTCTAATGATGCAGAAAGATTTTTCATATTTGAATAGGATATATAGTCCTCCCAACCCAAAATGCTAAAAAAAGGAAGAAAGAATAGGATATGTAGGCATATAAATAGTTCTTTTGGCCGACATTGTATGGCTTTTTGGTGTCCAATCTATGCCACTATGAACGGAGCCGAACTGTTGCGCAGAATGAGATGCCTAATTAATTTCCTTCCCACACTCAATCCCTCTCTGGGAGAAACCAGACCACTTCTAGTATCTCGCTCCTTGTATTGCTAATTACTATTTACCCCATTTCTAAGGTGACCGACCGATGAAATGGGTTAATAACTCAAGTAGTTAAGAGCAATTATATATGCACCCGAAGTTCTATATTCGAATTCCCTCATTCATCTCCCAACGATGAATATGACCTTTAACTCACCGACGTACAGTCAGGCTCAGAGAGTGGTTCTCCCTACTTGCTTGGTGGGCTTCAGTCCAATTCGATGGGTTGGTCAAAAAGGGCTTAGACTCAAAACCGGAAACTGATTTGAGGTACTGCTCACAAGTTCGGAAGTCCAGTATCGGTGAGTCATGCCTAAACGCAAAAAATCCAAAGATTCTGGGTTGGGTTGTTGCAGTTGTACCTGGGTTCTCAGTGTTTTTGTTTTTTGGTCTGATGTGGTTCTTGGTGTTTAATGCGGATGAAACCAACTATTTTGTGCCGTGTACAACGCACAGAAAGCTCCATCTTTGTCAAATGCTTTCACAATTACAAATTCTCAACTCAATGTCAAGCCAAATTAAAACAAAAAATATGCTTTCCAACAGAAATTCTCCACCATTTCACTAGTAATTTTTTCTTAATTTTGAAGGAAAATGCCTTTTTAAGTTTCCAAAAGTATTTTATAGAATCCACCCGCTCCTTGAAAGACATTGTACACATGGAGCAAACAGTACAGGTTCACGTTCTTAATACCTACCTGGTACATATATATAGCTAATGACCAGATAGCAAATTATCATGGTGCTGCTGGCTATAACTTCTGGATCACAACCGAATTGGCAAGCCCTGCCTGCTCTATTGTTTGAGTCGGGTCATTCAGGAGTTTGGGAGGGAACCCCATAATCTGCAGCTGATAACTCCTCGGACCCTCTGGCCTAGATGTGTCAATGAAGGCGCGGATGTCACTTATGGTATGGTGGTAGTTAAAATGTGCAGGCAAGCGGGTCCCATCAGCCAACCTAAGCTGAACCGATGTTGATGGCAACGTTTCATCCACAACCAGGCCAACGGATGGGGTTGGAGCAGTGTTTAGAGGAGTCGGTGCAGTTGTTGGCTCAGATGCTACTGGAGTAGAGCTGCTACCTAGAGTTCTTCCCACACCCTGAAATGGAACACGGCGCTTCACTGGTTCCTGAAAGAACAGAAATATCAATGATTGGTAAAAGTAAAAATGTTCCACTGGCCTTTGATATCAGGCCATCTAAACTTAAATGCATTTGCAGATATGTCTTCATATTGGAAAGCCTTCAACTAGAATACTACTGACTGGGAGTGTACAAAGTATATATCTCAAAGAGAGAACTCACTGGGCATTCCTCATTCCTCCTTATTAGATTGACATGAACTGAGGTACTTCTATCTTCAGGTTCCAACTCTTTTGGACATTCAGACTTTTTGATGCTCTGGGTTGAGACAGGGAATGATTAGATACAAAATGTCATTTCTGACAATGGTACAATACCATGAAACAGAGCAAGAGCAACCCAGCCCTTATGCCAGGGTAATTTGTTGTCAATAATAAAGATGAACATATACACATGCAGAAACAATTCATCCATGAGATCACAAGCAGAGTTATCACATTAACTAATACACAAGAATGCACCGTGCAAGCTTATTGTACAGAAAAAAACTTTAAAGGACAGTAATAATCAATCTCATCCACAACAATTGAACCTATAATCTACCGGTTTCTTTCTTCTTTTTTTATTTCTATGAGTCACACTTCCATGGCCATTACCTCTAAGAAAGATGCATTTTCAGGATCATCCAACGGCCTCAACGGGCCATCATTTATGGTAAAACCGTTGGACCAGAAAATGATGTTGTGAACAACAGTCTCGGGCTGCTGAGGAGTAGATTGTACAGTTTCCCCAGAGAGTAATCTACCAGTTCCAGTAAAGCTTCTTGAGCTTGAAGATGCACTAGAAGGATCAAAAGGCCCCTCTACAGCTCCCAATTCCCTAGCTTGATCAAAAATCGAATCCACGTCATTACCCTTTGAAGGATCCTGGACAAGCATTCCGCTGCCAATATTGTAATTACAAATGTTAGAATTTCTTTAAACATTTAAAGCTTAACATCAGCTCTTATTACTGTTCATTTCTGTAAGACAGAGCATTAAAAATAATAAGAGTTTTTTGAAAAAGAGCCACATGGATACCACCCATGTAGCCACAAGGCAATATAGACAAGGGGGGGAGAACCAGTTTTAGCACACCCCTTGCACATTTAGTATCCATTCACCATCACCCTCCTCTAGGAACTTAGTTACCAATTAACTTACAGCTGCATCCCATAAATCTCCCTTTCATTTCATAACATCATATGCCCCTCCAAATATGTTTCCTAATGGAACCCAGACTCACCATTAGCAGTTCCACAACAACCTCAACCCATCTGATGAAAACAGAAAATAATGGCAGTATGTCCCACTGTCAACCAATTGATGTCGTTAAGTGTGAGTACAGGATCATAACAGTGCCTCCTTTTCTTTACCGAAACATACAAAAATTCAGTTTTCTACGATTTAGTTGATACAATTGGCAAACAAGCATGAACAAATGAACAATTTGCCAATGATAAACATAAAAAGACTGTTAAATTCAAAGCTTAGCATGTTGGCTATTCAGTGATACAAACAAACCAAAAAGAACAAGAATTTCATAAACCCCATAAGAACAGAATCCGAGAATCGAAAGAAATGTTAAAAAAAAACAAGAAAAAAAAAAGTCTCAAAGAAAGATAAGGATGGACCTTTTCTCGCCACCAGTGTAGTATTCCTGGGGGCCATCCGAGTCACTGTCCGAGTCGGCAGACCTCCGGTTCAGATCGGAAAGTGTCCGAATTCCTCCGATTCGACTTTTGGGCGCTTTCTTGTCCTCCGACGCCATTGCTGCTATCTCACCAGAGAGAAAAAGAAAGAGAGAAACAGAGAAACAGAGAGAGAGCGATCTTGATTCTTGACTTGACTAATCAGCTAACGTGTGCGTCCGTCACTTATAACTTATTCAACGCTCTTCAGAAGCGCGTGTTCAAGATTTTCCAAACGTGAGATGTGATAGGATGAGGGCGGTCTCACCGACTGTTTACTGAGCTCTCCTAGTTTTGACTTTTAACTGTTTAACTTGTTGTGACATTAGTTACCGTGGAGTAAAGTGTATAATATACTTGTAAATTTGCTTATTTACGTAAAACCAATAAAACGTCAACCAAACGGTGCATCGCTTTTGCTTTTCCGTAGTTGAAGAAGATCATCGCACAAACGAAACGAGGGCCCGATAGTGATAATAATGGCATTTCAGACCGGTCGAACCAGACCGCCGAACCGGAACGCACGCAACAACGAGGGCCGTCAGAATTACGCCTCTGATGCCGAGCTCTTATCCGGCGCACGCCCAAACGTAGCCGATCGCCATGGTGAAGATTCTGACGTGCAGTTCAGCTCTGACTCGGAGAGCTCCTCCGACTCGGATGGCGAGTCGACGCGGTTGTCAGGACTCGCGGCGAGCTTCCGAGTGGTGTCCGATTCGCTTCTGAGAATGGAGCAAACGGAGCTGGAGATGGCCAAGGCGAGGGAGGCTTTGCGGTTGAAAGCAGAGAAGCAGCGGGTTGAGCTGGAGGCCGAGTTGACTCAGATGCTGTTGCAGACTCAGTTGCAGGTGGCGTCGTTGGTTTCGCGGCAGAGTCCGAGGCGTAAAAGGAAGAGAGTTGAAGACGCAGATGAGTCGCCGTCGCCGTCGTCATCAATCTCCCAAAGGTATGGCGGGTATTGTGTTTGCATTGATTGAAGTAGTGGAATTTGAGAGTGATCAAAGTTTGTTGTTGTTGAATGCAGGGAAGGAGCTTTGGTGTTGAGCCTTGTTCAATGCAATTTGCTATTTTAGTAATGTCACCGCTAATAATGGGGGTGGTTTGTTTATTTAATTTTAGCTCCAGCTCCAAGCCTCTGAAATGGCGGCAGTGCTTCATATGCTTGTGCCTGCCTGTATTACATTTCATGGGGCACATTCATGCTTGTACTTATTTGATCACTTCTACTTTGATTATATAAAATTTTGGATTTTGACCATATCTACTGCTGCTGTTTAAGAAAACCTCTGATAATTAGACATCATATAAATAAGGAACTACCAAAAAGGGCATGGGATGTAGGAACTTTTAATCAACTAAAAGCTTGGGCTTCTTCGTGCCAGACTCAGAACTTTGGGGTTTTCCTTGTGCGGAAGTGAGTAGACCCTTGAGTCGATTCAGAGCACTGTCTAAGTAATGCTGCAGAGGCGGAAGAAGAATGCTGCCTTGCTCTCCTCCATCTTTGGATATTTGTCCACGGATTATCTATCAAATTCAAAACCATGAATGAAGATTAGCTGTTTGTAAAAACTTGGATGAAGATAATTCTTTACCTTTGATGCCCACGACCGCTCAGCTTGTTGACACACATCTCTAATATCCCTTCCAGACATTCTGAAAAATGGCACGGCAAGGGACAATTGAAACAGTGAAGCAAAAGTCAGATCTTTCTACTAGGATTAAAAGAAGCTTTTCGTTTATTGTTCTGTTAGGAGGCCAGAATGGTATGTCCATGCACATGGTGATCAAAGAGGGGAAATAAGGTAAGAAATTTTTGTATGTCAGGGCCTATGTAAAACTTACCCCTCTGTTGCTGTTGCCAATTCATCCAATTCAGATTCAGTCAGGTGCTTTGCATACTGAGCTGCTATTTCCTTACGATTTCGCTGATCAGGGAGGTCGAACGTAATGATTGAATCAAACCGGCTGCACATTATTGATAAAAAGTGGGCAAACAATTGCGGCAACTTAGGGTACTGTACTACTATCATCCTCTTAAGGAAGAAAATATACCTAATCATGGCCGGATCGAGGTCTTGCTTTCTATTTGTTGCAGCAATTACAACCACTTTCTTATCTTGTTCAAATCCATCAATCTGCATGGGAAGAGTATGTTTAATAAGGGCATCACTTTCACTATAGTTTCTTAACAGTACGAGTTTTTTACTCAAATTACTTATTAAAAAAAAAAGTTTGCCTCAAATCACTTGGAAGTTGGAGTCACAGTCTGGATCAAGCAAACCCCTGTTCCAGGGCATGCTCTATCTAGAAATAAGCCTTTTCTGTAATTCTTAAAAGGGAATATTGAAGCTTTGCTTTTAGGCTTGTTTTCAACATTACTGTAAAGCAATGAGAATCCAATTTCACCTGTCGCAGTAAAACTGATAAGACTCTCCGTGTAGCTTCATGCATGTCACTATCACGCGAAATAGCAAAAGAATCAACCTGAAATAGAGTCAATATATCAGGAAGCAAGGTTATCTCAAAACAAACCACAAAAATGTAGAACTGCAGTCAAACCATACAACAACATATTATCAGTCTCCAAAAAATATCACAATACTTGGATGAATATCTCTAAGATCGCCGCTAGGCATTAATTGCTTCGATTACCTCATCCAGAAAAATGATAGCACCATCAGGGAGTTGATTTGCAAGTGAAAAGACTCTTCCTAATAGTCGTTCACTCTCACCATAGTACTTGGACAAGATAACCTCAAGAGGCACATATAGCAATGGGACGCCCTGCAAAAACAGGTGACTTAGCATGCCAATAGATAGACAAATAAATAAATTAATATACCGAAAAATGGTAGTGCCTAGAAGCTCACTGCTTGATTAGCAATGACACGAGCAGAAGATGTCTTTCCCGTACCTAAAATTGAACACACATTCTTAGTAAGTGTGCCAAATATCAAAACTAATGCATTTGCATAATTCTCATAAGTTCCAAAAGCAGGCATGTGAAAACCCAAGTCTATTTGTTTTGGTAATTCTATTGGCACCCCAAAAAAAAGGTTCAACACACCTAAGTTTTCACAAAAAAAACTCATGGTAAATGTATCATTTTGAATTAGTAAAATGGACCACGATTTAGGAAGAAAGAAAGCCAGTTCCATGGTTGGCTTCTTTTCTAAAGTGTTTTGTTTTGGGAATTTGCGCTCCCCATCATCTGAAGTAATTAATTTATTGCCCTAGCACATTAGTTTTCCATTAGCGCTATGATGAATATTATGCTCCTGTGTAGAAAAAGATTCCAACCTATGATAAATGTTTTTTCAACAAGGACCAAAATTCACAAGTTTTTGACTTGATGCTTTTGTACTCTAATGAATCATTACATTCTCTTGACAGAATGGCAAACAAGAATCAGGGATACATAAAATGATCAAAATCAGTATGTCAATGCCAAATATAGCAAGTTATTCAGGTTTGATAGGTGCACCTGGTGGACCTTCAAACAGTACAGCTCGAGGTCTATTTGACTCAAATTTACAACGAGTCCCACGGGCAATATCATCATATGTTTTAGGACTAAGCAGAGCCAATAGTATAGTGTCTTCTATATCCCTGCACAATGAGAAGCAGCAGTTGAATATTGGTAAGAAATGAATGCACTCTCATGCATATACATGAATGCACTTATACGTAAACAATCTAACCACAAACCAATGCTCTCTTTCTTAAGTATCAGACTAATTTAATATTAACACAAATGATTAAACTCAGCCAGAACATCCATGTTACTGTGACTCTTCAAAGAGATAGCAAAGGCAACTATGATTTCATACAAGAAACAATTCCATTCCTCATATTTAATATTAGGTACAACTCAGTGGTGAATTGACTGCTTTCCAAGGACACGGCCTCAGTTCAAGTATGGACCCTAACACTCCAAAAAAGCATTGCAACATAATTAAATCGCATTTCGGTTCAAGCATTGACTGCTTTACTTACCGTTTTTGCTGATCATATCCAGCAATATTGTCCCACGAAATCTCTTTGCTAGAGGAACTCACATGGGGTTCATTAATTCCATAAATTCTCACTCCCATAGACTCAAGACTGGCTATTAATTTCTCTGAAGATGGCACTTGTGTGGTATCTTCTCTCGGTCTTCTTTCCGAAGTACTGTTTTGCCCTAACTTTGTCCCAGCTAATTGTAAAGCAGCCACCAAAGCATCAAGCTCTTTGGGACTCAAGCTCCCCTCCTTCATAAATTCAATGTCCTGCAATATTTTATGCTGACTGATATGAAAATCTCATGGCCCACCCCTTCTTTCCCTTTGTGCTATTGGAGCAGCACAAAGTAGAACAAGACAAAATGCAATATTTTCAAAAACTGCATAAAATGGAGACTTACAGCTTTATCTGAGGGAGTAATTACTGAGCGGAATACAAGGATACGCAGATCTCCTTCATGTTTATTCACATCTTTTAATTCCCCTCTATCACTTCCAGTTTCCTTCTTTTTTTCTGGGCGAGTTAGCATTAGTTGCCAAGCAACTCCACTTACATAGTTCACAAGAAACAGAATATTTAGCACATTATGGTTCACGCAACTACAAATAACGCTAAATGGCTCAAACAAATGCAACATAACGTTTAAGCTAAATCTGATAGTTAGAGTTCAGAATACAATAATAGAACCAAGAATCAATGGTCTAAGAATACCTGTCCCAAGCACGTAACGACATATCTGAACCACCACCATGTTCTTCTACCTTTAGTCCAAGATGCGAAGCAATATTTGCAATCAGTTGTGAAGCTTCACATGCTGGAGGAATTTGGAACTTGATGGAAACCTATACCCATTGGAAGCTCGTATCAACACTGATTTGAAAGAGTTCTATACATGTATTCTTTTATGAGAACAAAACCACATATAATAACTAATAAATCCTACAAGTAGATGAACCCTTTATAAATTGAGTATTCAAAATATGTGATTATCAGGCATGCCTCAACGCTTAAGATATCAACTTCATAAACCATGAAGAGTAACGACAACCAAGAATATTATAATATAATAAAGACCCATCACAACCCTCTTGTCAACAGAACAAAATCATATTTACCAAGTAGTTTTCTGAAGAGGACACTGCATAATTAATTATAAGACCTTAGCATGTGTGCATGTTCGCGTCTAAGTATGTATTAAACTTCCATACATGTAAAACTGTGGCATTTCAATTAAGTGCAATAACCTTTTGTCCCTTCACAGCAACAGTAAACTGGGGATAAGAACCACGTCGAATTCCTTTACTTTTCAGCAAGTCTTCAATTTTCTGTCGTTGTTTCTTGGCAATTTCCTCCAGGTCCACATGACTTTCAGTTGCAGGAGACTCAGTTGGCGAAGAGGGCTTGGAAATATCCTGCACAAGTTAAAGAGTAAGAATAGTAAAATTGGTCCAAGAATGATGATCCTACAGAAAATTGATGCAGATGTACCTCCTCCGCCGCATCTGCATAAGCCACCTCTATCCCTCCAACTCCAAGCAAACCAGCCAACACAGCTGGAAACATAAGATTTCGTCCAGAACCATTCGGGTTGGGCACCTGAATTTCATATGCATTGGAATGAAATTGATGCTCAAAAGCCCCTGCATTTGTCAATTATAAGCATCAATGTCTAGCGAGATGCATAGGCACCGAAGAAATTGAACTTATCCAATTCAAACTAGAACTAAATGAACAGAAGCACCAGCATCCACAATCAAAATGGTAGAATCTCAAAATCTTTAAATTCAGTAAAATTAAACAGAAAATTAAGAGTCTAAAGGAGAGGAGAGAGCTATACGGTGATAGAGAAGTCGAGGGTTTGGAAGGTCACGTGAGCGAACACGAGGAAGAGGGTTTAGGGTTTGGGAAGGAGTGGGGATTGACTGCCAATTCCGATTCCGAGCTGTTCTAACCACCAGTCGCAAAATGGTCATAGTGTCTTCTGTCTCTAAGTATCAGCGTAAGCTTTGTGAGTAATTGGTGCCGTGAGTTTTGATCGCTGTGTGTATGTTTTCCTGAGTAAATATGGCGCGGAATGCCACAAACACCTACCCAACTCAAAAATAGCCTGCCAGCCAGTCACCAAACATACACCGCCGATATTATTGTATTCTATTGCCTTCTGGTAAGTAACGCTGCGCCAGAAAGTATGAGCTGTTTGTATAAATGCCACAGTAGCCCATCTCTCAAATATGTGGCCCAATCTTTATATGGTCCAACGCTTAGGCCCCTTATTTTACGTCAATGTGTAATACTACTTTTTTTCATTATTAAAAATTCATATTTGAATTTATTTAAAGTCTCGATTGGTGGCCCAGTGGACCAACAACAGTTCAACATAACATTTTCTACAAGTCTCATTTAAAGAAGTGTCACTCATAAAAACTAGCTGTGATTCATCTACAAAATTCAGTTTAACCCGAGTCACCAAATGAGACTCAAATATGTACGTATTTATTTGCAGTCAGTACAACCAACAAATATAAGTGAGTTTGGGATATTCTGGTGCACAATCGTGTTTTCAAAAGTTAGTAGACCCTTGAGTCGATTCAGAGCACTGTCTAAGTAATGCTGCAGAGGAGGAAGAAGACTGCTGCCTTGCTCTCCTCCATCTTTGGATATTTGTCCTCGGATTATCTATCAAATTCAAAACCATGAATGAAGATAAGCTGTTTGTAAAAACTTGGATGACGATAATTCTCTACCTTTGATGCCCACGACCGCTCAGCTTGTTGACAAACATCTCTAATATCCCTTCCAGACATTCTGAAAAATGGCACGGCAAGGGATGATTGAAACGGTGAAGCAAAAGTCAGATCTTTCTACTAGGATTAAAAGAAGCTTTTCGTTTATTGTTCTGTTAGGAGGTTAGACTGGCATTTCCATGCACATGGTGATCAAAGAGGGGAAATAAGGTAAGAAATTTTTGTATGTCAGGACCTACGCAAAACTTACCCCTCTGTTGCTGTTGCCAATTCATCCAATTCAGATTCAGTCAGGTGCTTTGCATACTGAGCTGCTATTTCCTTACGATTTTGCTGATCAGGGAGGTTGAACGTAATGATTGAATCAAACCGGCTGCACATTATTGATAAAAAGGATATTATATTGCTAAGACTTTCTTTCCTTCTATTAATGATCTGTCCCGACTTATAAAGACCCATCACAAACTGTCTTCTCAACAGAACAAAATCATATTTACCAAGTAGTTTTCTGAAGAGGACACTGCATACTTAATGAAAAGACCTTAGCATGTGTGCATGTATTAAACTTCCAGACATGTAAAACTGTGGCATTTCAATCAATTGCAATAACCTTTTGTCCCTTCACAGCAACAGTAAACTGGGATAAGAACCACGTCGAATTCCTTTACTTCTGAGCAAGTCTTCAATTTTCTGTCGTTGTTTCTTGGAAATTTCATCCAGGTCCACATGACTTTCAGTTGCAGGAGACTCAGCTGGTGAAGAGGGCTTGGAAATATCCTGCACAAGTTAAAGAGTAAGAATAGTAAAATTGGTCCAAGAATGATGATCCTACAGAAAATTGATGCACATTACCTTCTCCGCCGTATCTGCATAAGCCACCTCTATCCCTCCAACTCCAACTCCAAGCAAACCAGCCAACACAGCTGGAAACATAAGATTTCGTCCAGAACCATTCGGGTTGGGCACCTGAATTTCAGATGCACTAGAATGAAATTGATGCTCAAAAGCCCCTGCATTTGTCAATTTCTAGCGAGATGCATAGGCACCGAAGAAATTAAACAGAAAATTATGAGTCTAAAGGAGAGGAGAGAGATAGAGAAGGCGAGGGTTTGAAATATCACGTGAGCGAGCACGAGGAAGAGGGTTTAGGGTTTGGGAAGGAGTGGAGATTGACCGCCAATTCCGATTCCGAGCTGTTCTAACCACCAGTCGCAAAATGGTCATAGTGTCTTCTGTCTCTTAAGTATCAGCGTAAGCTTTGTGAGTAATTGGTGCCGTGAAGTTTTGATCGCTGTGTGTTTGTTTTCATGATAAATGTGGCGCGGAATCCCCGCACACCTACCCAACTCAAATGTAGCCAGCCAGCCAGTCACGAAACACACACCGCCGATATTATTCTATTCTATTGCCTTCTGGTGAGTATCGCTGCGCCAGAAAGCTGGGTTTTTATGCCACAGTAGCCCATCTCAATTATGTGGCCCAATCTAAATCTGGTCCAACGTTTAGGGCCCTTCTTTTACGTCAATGTATAATAGTACTTTTTATTATTATTAATAATTCACATTTGAATTTATTTATAGTCTCGTTTGGATCAGCAACAGTTCAACATATCATGTCTTACAAGTCTCATTTAGAACAGTGTCACTCATAAAAACTAGCTTTGATTAATCTACGATCCAGTTTAACTCGAATCCAGTTTAACCCGAGTCACCAAACGAGACCCAAATATGTAGGTATTTATTTGCAGTCAGTACCAGTGTAGTACAAACAAATATAAGTGAGTTTGGGATATTCTGGTGCACAATCGTGTTTTCAAGAGGTGTGGGTGAAAATATCACCAAACCAAGCCTAATCTTATAAAAAAACAAAGGTGTTGCGTGTATTTAGCAAACAGTATCCAGAAAATATGGCGCCTGTTCTCTCTCTATCTCTCTCTCTCTCTGTGCAACTTTGAGTGAATTATAGGTCGGCTCGGGTTCTAATAATAAGTCATCAGTTTGAGAAGAAGGACCACTTCTTTCATCATGGACAATTATCAGCGTTATAGCAACCTACAACTTGAACTTGTAGACAGGAGGATTTGGAGGAGATAGTACTATACCAACAAACAAGCAACCAATTTTGTGAAATCTTTAAAAGCCACACCGCTTTGTTTTCCTCTTTTTGCCTTTCTTTTTGTGATAAAGGCAAGGGAAAAGGCCATCACTTTCCTGATTGCTTGCATTGCATTTGCATATATTTTGCATATGCAGTGAAGCTTTTCAAGTCAACAAGGCATATGCTGCTGAACATGGCTGCTGGTAATAGGTAGGGCTCCAGTCCAGAAAGTTGATAATACGTAGGGCTCCAGTCCAGAAGTAAATCAACAAACTAAAACATCAGATAAATAAAATTATACAACCAAACCAACCCATTTGTTTCTGCTAAGAAACCTACTTTTCAATCTAATTACATGTAGAAAAGAGATACCCTTTTCATATTATAAATATTTTTTCCGGTTCTATTCGCCACAGAGGAGAAAAGTGAAGAAGAAGATTATACAAAATCAATCAACCATGGACCCTCGGAAATTATACAAAAATAAGTTAAAAGTCGAAAGACGATTAATATTACTTAATACACCTTCTTAGTGAAAAGGCTGCGCAGATTAAAAAGATTACCACCGACGCCACTATCTCCACCGTGACCACCGCCACCACCGCGGTTTCTGCTGCCACTGCCTCCACCGCCGGCCACACCTACAGCACTATTCTCGTCACTTCTACAACTCAAATGGCTTCTGTACCCAATGCACATCGGAACATTCAAATTCAAGACCCTGCCTTTCGCACCACCCGCGCCAGCGACAACGGTGGTATTTTTACTCCGGCGACTCTCGGGCACTTCCTTTTTGGTCGCCTTTTCAGCATTACGAACATGTGGTTCCAAGCTGCTCTTTACCGCCACCGAGCTCCCGCGCCGGACCTGCCAAACCGGGCTGCTGCGACCCAAATGGACTCCGGGCCGACCCGGACTTGCAGGAGGCCATTTTCTCGACTTCGACTCGCCCGTCGAGTTGCTCCTTGAACACGGCGCGCTGTTCACCTTCCGGGTTGCGGGGGATCCGAATGGTGGTTTGGGTCGGGTATACGCGTTCCCGGCGGATCTACTGCGTGAAAAAGGCCATATATTGATGTTCAACTCGGCCGAGCTCGCTCCGGTTCCACCCTTTCGTTCTTTCTTCTTGTCTTTCTCTTTATCATTCTCGTCGCCTTTGACGGTTTTCTTCTCGCCCTTCTTAAAAATGTCCCTCCAACGCTTCGATGCGGTTAGAACTGGAGCGGTTGACAGCTCGGGTCCTGGGCTGGGTTCCGGTTCTGGGTCCGGAACAGCTGGTTCTGAGACGGTTTCTGAGTCTGGAACAGGCTGTTCTGAGATAGGTTGTGGATTTGGGTCAGGTGGGTCGGGTTGGTTGGGGAGGAGGTGGAGAGGGAGGAGCACGCCATCAACAAAGAGTTCATCTGCGGAGAGGAGATTGGGTTGAGGGCAGGAGGGGTTCCGGACCATCCAGAACTCGAACTCGGGCGAGTTGGAGTCGGTGCTGGTTCGTCTTCTTCGACTGCTGCTCTGCGAGAGGGTTTGTGGTTTGAATTTGGGGCTTTCTTCCATTGAGATTGAGATTTTGGCAGTGGGAGAGGGAGGGGGAGATGTGTGGAGGATGAAGAGCGTGGGTGAGATACTTGGGAGGTGGGAAGTTTCTTTTGGTTCCTGAGTGAGCTGCTCAGAGTTCAGTGCTTGGGACCCTACAAACAATAAAGAAAGGAGAATGAGTTTTCAAGGCATTAATAAAGCAGAGAGAGAAGGGAGCTTGGGTTGCTATTTAGTATTGGGTCCATTTTTATGCATACAAGTAGCAAAGGTGAAAACAAATGCTAATTAGAAATTGTGTCATGGATGTGGTTTTACCCTGGAAAAGGAGAATAATAAGTTTGGTGAATTTAAAGTGTTTGTTGTGATTGATTCATTCCTAAGTCATACCTAATTTCGTTTAAATCGGAGTTTAACTAAATACTGTCTTTACGCGTACACGCAAATACGAACTAAATATTAATTGGTGAAATTCACACTGACTAAAATAACCATTGATCATTTCGTACGCGCATAAACAACAATACAGTTAACTACCGTAATTTAATATCAGATTGCAATTTTGGATTTTTGAATTATGATCATATATTATGGTACGAATCATACTCTTACGTTATGATATCTCCTAATTTAGTATCCATGTGGTAGAGTATCCAAATTTGAAGCATATGTGATCCAATTCAAGCTTCTAAAGCAATAGGATATTCCTATTTCGCCAGCAACGATTTCAATGTCTATCTAATTTAAATGGAGAGCCATGATTATCTTTATGAACACGTATCAAGTATTAAGAATGATGATGAAGATACACATCAAATTAAAGTGGAGAGCAAAAATATTTTCATTTAATTGTACATCTTGATTTTATTCTAACATCAAGAATCTCAAATGTGTACAGCCTTTTTTGGGCTTGATTTGTAAAATGAAAGACATGTTTGCAAATTTATCCTACCTATTAATTATGTATAGGAATATTCACCCGCATTAAAACAAAAACAAAAAAAGAGGAATATTCACCATCCAACATTATTTTTCCCATCCAAATTGATCATTGAGCATCGCATAGCTGATGTGTATTTTGGTTGATGATAAGCCTATTATTAATTAGATAATTAGTTAATTAATGAGAATATGCTTGACAACATATATACAACAAGGAAAAGTGGATTAAACCCCAACATCAAAAAGTGTGGACAATATATGAAGTGAGGCTGACGTCGTATCAAGGCGCCATGTGGATGTGGGGTTTCCAAATTCAAACCAAGTTGCCTACCCAGATTCATGGCACCTCCTCCTCATTATAGAGTGTCATCCTAAGCGTTGACATTCAGTCCCATTATTATTATTTATCCCTCTTGATCCAAAAACATCAAACACAATCATTTTACTCACATTCGATTTATTAGGTATCATACATATATGAAACTAATCAAACTCTCCCTAACTCAAAATGATTATATCATATTCGTTTTATGACTACTTCGATTTCTTGATATCATACAAATTTTAGAGAGAGGAGGGAATACGAATAGAAAACTTTAATCGCATCGATAACTAATCTTAACTACTCATACGCTGCAAATTCCTCACGAACATCTGTTGTACTTTTGTAAGGCATAAATGCGGATTATAGAATGTTTTTGTTGAGTATGGACTATATTTTTCATCTATTTATCGTTTTATTAGCAGTTGACTTGCTTTCTCTAGCTGGCTGCGGGCTGTAAATAAATGAAGAAACTTTTATCAATTTAGTTTTGGCCCATTTATTAATTTAATCTTCCCAACAACTATCAATATTGACCATGTGATGGGCAGAAAGTAACAGGAATAAAATAAGATCACACGGTTGGAGTGGTCGTGGCAATATCGAAACCTATGCCTTAGGTTTAGGTGTACAAAATGACAACAATATCTTGGGTGGATATGTTATGTGATCTCATATCAATCACAAAATGAGAGAACAGAAGGAAGATGATGGGTAAGTTGTTGTATGCTAGTAACGGTGGTGGTGAAGCCTGTGGACCTGGGAACCAAAAGCATAGCTATTGGGAATTGCTGAAAAGGATCTTCCTTTTTTCCCTTCTGTTAATGGCGTTTGTTTGTAGGCAAAATGATGAGCCATGTGAAAAGCAAAAAAACAACCTTCTCCATCGATGCAACGGGCCCCTCCTCCGAAAAAGACCCTTGTTCATATGTATCAACACTACATGTCGTGTCTTTACTATAGTAGTAACGCACGACTGATGTAAGCACAACTCACAATATGAATTTCACATTACCCATTTAAAGACTCATCATAGAACCGCTCTTATTACTAATTCATTGAGATAAGATCATAATTAGTTTAATCATGTGGAGCATATGAGTTATATACGGGTGAGGAGGGCTAATAGCATCATCTCTCAATTGAAAAACCAAAAAGAAGAAAACAAAAGGACCCAGGCTGTCATGAATCAGAAAAAAAGTTGAAGGCCTGTAATCGGTATAAGGACAAGAACACATGATATAAGGACTATCAAAGGGTCCATATTGCTTAATTTTTTGCCTTTGATGGCTTTACAACTTTAGAGATATTAGGTGAACTATTATTCTCTGTAATTCCCATATATTGCCATCCTTCCTCGGGGCTTTTGACAACCAACATAAAACAAGTGCACAAGACAAAAGCTTCGTCTCTCTCTCTTAATTTTCTTCTTTTGTTTGAGATGAAGATGGTGGCCCCCCACCCACTTCATCCTCCCCTCAACAAGGGAAAGAAAGGCTTTATTGCATCCACAGCCCAATGCTTTATCTAGGAAACCTCGAGAAACCCACATCCAGGAACCAGTCACTCAGCCAGGGATGGTACCCAAGAGGGTTCAGTGGCTCATAGGCTAACTTACTAGGCTCATAGCACTAGGTCTTGGGCTTCGGTATCCTCGATTTTTACACTCTATTGGTTTTTATTGCACACCAGTCCCAACTTTGTCACCATGCTTATCCTTGCTCGTCCTCTTTACGTGACGAGAGTAACATTGTTTTACTATTCGACAGGTGTGATTGATAAAAAATAGCAAGCTATCTCCGTTCACACATGCGTTTCTCCCTTTTTGGGGTTTTCTTCTTTCTTTTTGCTTAATCTTTTGGTTCTTCTGATGTGATGGTTAGCTACTCTTTTACTATTTTCGTGTAAAATTTAAAATTGCACTTCACTTGGGCTTTGAATTGAAGGCAAAATGATAATTTGCACTAAGATTGAATTATAGAATAGAATACCATGTTAGCAAAGGTGATGTGGTACTTATGGTACACGTGTTATAATATGAGTGCGCTATAAAAGCTTATTTTCCTCATTTTTAGAGAATAATATCAATAAATATTTACTTATATCATGACATATATACATATTTACCATAATATTCTATAATCACTCCTTATAGATTGATCATATTTTTCATACATTTTTAAAGTCTATATATGGTATCAAATTGTACACAGATTAAAGCAGCTCATTATATTCCGTTGAAGGAACAAAATGAAAAAAACACTAAACATGGCCTGAGAGTCGCACATGAATGTGCTGTGATTACGGCCCTGTTGCTTTTCCAAGTGCCACCTAAACATTATTATATCATTACATGGTCCCAACTCTCCACACATAAAACATTTCCAATGAGCTCGATCGAGAATGAGTCATCATCTACGGTGAACGAAATGTCATGTGCCTCAATAATGCGAGCCAAAGGGATCGTATCATATGTCTTGTCCAAAGGTTTCTTTTTCGTATCGCATTCAAAACCATTCTGTAAAACTCACAATTATACTTGGTTTAGCACCTAAACCCAGAAGAGTAAGCCCATGTCTACCCAGAAATGCTATAATGAAGGGTTGTGGGTGAGGGATTGTGGGGAGTATTCAATCTCATCAGACTATAATGAGGGGTTATAATGAGCCGTCTGATCCAGAACTTCGAGATAAAAAATATTGAACTTAAACATTTTTAATAATTAAATAGTTGGATTAAATCCCTCATTCAACCCCCTCACCCAAACCCACCCGGCGGCAGCACATGTTTCATCTCTGTTTTCTGGTCTCTTCACACAAGTACATCCATGCCCGTATTAGACGGTCTTTGGCTTGTATAAATCATAGGGAGTCAACCTAGGAAATAGAAGAAATAAATAAACGAGATGACGTCAAAAAGTGATCAATCTATATTTCAGCCTACGTTTCCTAAGATGATTTGGCACCATTACCGGCCTCGGTTACTCATAACCCTATTATTTTTGTAAAATAATGTGGTGGGATCAGTGACCAGAAAAATTAGATACAAAAAATAGAGAAGTAACATCAATATTCACAAATAAGATAAGAGATCGAAATATAATCGATAGTATAATGCTACCATTGCACAAGTTTTATTTTATATCTTATTTATTTTTCCGCAATCTCAAAAGTTGTATTCGGTCTAGACTCATTATGCAGTTCATAAACTCACAGTCGTTCTCTAAAATGCAAGGGAAAGAGCGAAAAGATATATATGTAAAGGAAAAAATGGGGCTGGGCTGACACACCCAAGTTCCACGTATTGATGTGGAACTTTCTTGTTCATCAATCCTTTAATTTAAGCAAGTGCCACTATTCTACTCAAAAGCAAAACAAGGCAAAACGTCGACGACGCTGCACCAAGACCTAATAAAACGCCTAAGCTTGAACTCCAAGTTCCAAGAGTAGCGTGTGACTAAGAGCATTCGATGCTGGCCCGTGAAATTGAATGGGACCTGCAATGAAAAAAATTCAGATGAGTTACAGAGGAATGTAGCGAGGGCTAAAATCAAAATTACAATAGACACATGGTTAACAACACCAAAAAAAGACAAAGAAAAGAATCGTGAAGTTCATAGAATGTTGGTGAGAATCACAAACCAGGACTGATGTAACGATTGTTGATAGCCCAATCATTCCTCAGGGATGCAAATTTCTTGAAGGGTGCACCTGAAAATTCATTATGAATAGTTCGTGTTAAGTTGTTTGTTGATTCAAGATTTGAGAGTTGTCACCTGATATGCTAAATCACTACGCCTACTACTAGCAGGAACAGAAATACTCTCGAAGAAAAATCTTTTACCTTCAAGTTCCACCATTGCCTTCTTGATCACAGGCTTGAACTTACCTGGAAAACAAATTCAACATTCAGAAAATCTCCCAGTAATTTTGAAGAAACTTGAACGCCAAGTTACAGCCAAGTACATCAGACAAAAACAAAAAACCTAAACTACTATTCTAATGAAATTTTGTAAAAGACCAGAAAGGTCATTTATAGTGCCAAAGAAAATTGTCATAATTATTTTTGGAGAGATGAATAGTATGCTGGTATGCCTAGGACCAGGACAAAGAACCTACAACTGCATAATAACAATAGCCAAAGGTTACTATACCATGTCTCCTCTCCACGTCCATTAATGAAGTCAATGCAGTCCCACCAACGGTCCATTCCTCCACAGGAGCAGCCAAATTCCCAACCTGGAGACACCTCACGAAATATTACATACATAAAAAGACTCGTAGTCATAAATAATAAAATTAGGACAATAAAAATCTGGAACCAACAGCAACTAATAGAAGAAAAATGGTTTGGGAGACTGAATAAACAAGAAATAGGATAGAGGCACAAACTGATGATATCACTCCAGTTTTTCCACTGTGAAGGAGTGCTCCAGCACCATAACCCAATGCATAGCAGTAGGTAGAATCAAAGTTGGTTGGTAAACCACATCTTCCTTCATACCTGCATAAATTACGAAACAGGTGAACTAACCAGGGATGCAAACATTAAGCAATATGTCTCACACAGAAACCCTAAACCTGTATGCAAAATAAAATGATCAATCCACACAGTGAGTGCATCTGTTATCCTCAAGCCCAGACCCTAAACATGGGATGCGCACACATGCAATCAACAAATCCACATCAAGCCAAAGTATTGTCACTAGTTTCAAAAGATAATTACCCGAAAAAGTGAGACTGTCCTTTGAATTGGCCATTATATGAACCTTCCTGCCTTCTCTTCTCCAAGTCAGTCTCAACCATTTGAATAAGCATCTTCTCTGTTTCTATTTTGGCAACCTAGTGGTAGAAACAAAGATACAAAACATGATTATGCCCAGAAAATCCCGAGACAGGTGAAAGCCAAATAGAAAAATCGTAAATGTACCTGAACATTTCCATGTGGATCTCTTTCAAGCATCAATTGCTCTTGGATTGCTTCAGGTAGGAAATCAAAAAGCTGTAGAGACTGACTTGTAAGTTTATTTTTCCACAGCCCACCTTCATCTACGACGTCATGGGCCAGGATTTCATTCAATTCAGCAATAAGGTTCTGCACCTGAAAGTGGAAAGATTACAAACATTATATGTTAGTCAACACAGTTATTTGAGTGTGCATGTATGTGTGAAACAGTAGAACATTTGATTTCTATGTAAACATACAAAGAAAGATGAAGAGAGGAGGAAGAAGAAGTTAATACATTAAAGATCAAGAATACTACCTCAGGAATGAAATCAATTAGACCTTCAGGAATAAGTATGACACCATAGTTATAACCAAGGTCAGCACGCTTCAAGACTATATTCACAATGTAGTCGGTGACATTTTTCAGAGTCTGCTTCTTTGCAGCAACCTGTAGGAAAATATTAGTTAGATATATACAGCAAATGGATATTTTTCATTGCAATAATAGATTTTTTTTTTTGCAATATTAGGTATTTCAAAACATTCCTCTTCTTTGGATATTTGCACCATGTGATTCTTTTATATAACCTTAACAATTGAGGAAGATCAGCAATAATACAACATGTACAAAGAATAATTGAAGAGGCTCTTTGAAAGCAATACCTCTTCTCCAATAATTGTAATGTTTGGATGGGTTTGCAGAGCACACTCCAATGTAATGTGTGAGGCTGCACGCCCCATAAGCCGTACAACTGCAGACATACACACTCAGTTAAATATTTATACTGAATGCATGAACTTGAAAATATCGAAGCCAAAGAGAGGTGAGGAAATGTTGCCCTTAAACTGCATGCCAGCTATAAGACACCGTATTTGAAATAACAGCTATAAGACGGCGTATTTGAAATAACAGCTATAAGACGGGTATCTCACCTTAGCGTACCAAACATAAATATGTATAATTTTTATCAACTAGATGTAAATTCTATATACTTACAATGATAATATTTTCCAGTTGACCGGGCATCTATCATGACATTGCCAATCATTTCTGCATATATCTGCATAACATTTTAACAGTCTATTAATATTATGCTGAACCAGTGTGAATGATAGCTAAATTTATCACATAAGGTATCTAAATGCTCATGGCGTTCCTGTTGGTCAAGAAGAATTTAAACCTGATCATTACACAAATAATATAATAACAACAAGTATAGGCATGTAAATTAACCAGCGAAACACAAAATTATATGTTGAATATATGCAATGTCATTTCAAATAAATTAAAGGTACTTTCATGTTTGTGATAGGAAAGATGAAAATGAACAAAAATTGAAAATGGAGGTGTAAAATTTGAGTTTATATTAGTAGTTATGGCCAGCAAGAAAAAGTTTTAAAGGTTTTAGTCACCTTGCAAGCAGTGTCAAACCCAAAACTTGTAGGGACCTCTTTACATTTCAAGTCACCATCAATGGTTTTTGGGCAACCTATCACTCGAGTTTTCAAGTTCTTCCCCCTGGTTTAACAGATAAAAGAGAAAATTATCAAACCAGAAAAACAATTATATCAAAAGAAAAGGTAAGCTACTCTTCTCATAGAAGAAAATTCCCACGTCATTAGGTTTAATTTCAAGAAAATGATAGAAAAAGCTGCCACAAGCAGAGAAGAATGCAAGTTTCCTCTGACCAGTAAAATCACTCCAAAGAAATTCATCACAACATACCTGAAGTTTTCAGCAAGGAGGCAGGCATTTGTGTTGGAGTCATCTCCGCCAATAACAACAAGGCCATCCAAATCCAGCTTCACAGCTGTTTCTTCTGCTTGTTTAAACTAAAATTCGTATCCATTAAAAACTGTTAGTTGTCAATGGTTACACAAATATACTTAACATGAATTTCCTCACAAAGAAAACAAGAGTTACCTGCTCTGGAGTTTCAATCTTGTCCCTTCCACTACAAATCATATCAAAACCACCCTGGTAAGAAGAAAATATGAGTATTACATCATTATTTTCTTGATAAAATGCATCTGCACATATATAGCTAAATGCATGTGCAACACTTGCAATGCTTACAATCTAAATACAGACGCACATATCCTCATGATAGATTTATGTGCATGTACATATACAATTACAGTGTTACATACTAATTGCTCCTTGCAACAAGTAACTTGAGGTAAAACCTTCACAAAACTAAGAGATTCACATCAAAATTCTCACCTGATTTCTGTAGGGATAAATATACTCGGAGTTAAGTTCGACGTATTTGCTTTTCATGATCCCAGCAGGTCCGCCCCTGAATCCATACAATGTGCTCCCTTTGGCACGGTCTTGCAAGTAATCTATCACCAAAACACAGATAGAACTCAACCAAAATTCAAAAACAATAGAAAGTTAACAAAAAGGATCGAATTGATCATTAAGACACTCACCAAAAATTCCAGAAATCACATTGTGCCCTCCAGGTGCTTGGCCCCCAGATAAGACGACACCGATCTTCAACTTCTGCTGGGGTAGAGCAGAATCGGAGTCGCTTGGCACCAACAGTGCAGATGGCTGACCGAAAACATTCGGAAACAGCTTTGCAATCTCAAAAAAAAAAAAAAAAAAAAAAAAAAAAAAAAAAACAAAAAACGGAAGAAAAAAAACAAAAAACACACAGACAACACTCTGTTTGATCGCCAAGAAACAGCAGGAAAGTGAAAGTTCGAAAGAAAATATTATTTTGCACGTCAAATATTCTGCTTTTAATATCTAGAAAAACAAAAACAGAACGAAAATAACTTCACCAATACAACTAAATCTAACGTGAAATTTCAAAATCTTCTAATCTTACGAAGTCGAAATTCTCCAAGATCAAACGCTAGTATCGGTTGACCAACTAAAACTCACGGATCGGAGTAGAATATGAAAAGAAGAAACTGACCTGGATTGCCGGCGGCGGAGCTAGCGGGTCCGTCGACGACCTTGAAGGGCTTTGTGAGCACGGAAGGCAGAGGAAGCGCATGGTCAATGCGACTCGACTGAACTTCGCTGTAGACTGCGGCGACTCGGCCGGTGACTGGCACAGCAACTGCCTCGCCGGCGGCGACACCGCCATTAGCAACCAGTGAAGGAGTCATTGTTAAACCTAACACACACAGACAGTGTCTCCGAGATCTCTGAGTTTTAGGTGTGACTGCGAGCGAAGCGTGAATCTATTCAATTGTGTTTGACTCCCGACAGTGTGCGCGTGTTTAAACGAGGGGTTGAAAAGGGTAAGAACGTCTTTTTAAGGGTTTGGACTCTCCGCCTTGGAGCGGAATGTTAGTTGTTGTCCCGTTGGATTCGAGGGTATTTGGGAATTGGACGGACTAGATTTGTGGAAGAGGCGGTGTATAGTATGTTATGGTGGTCTAGAGGGCAGTGGATATTAGATGGCGGGTTTTGCGTGTAGGTAGATACCTAACCTTCCGGTGGTTGGTGGGCGCCAGAAATCCAGACGCAAAAGGCATATTCCGGATTCGAGATCCTTCGTTTGCGTTCAAATCAAGGGTGCTTGGTGGCAAATCATTATTTGCGTAAACAATTGGGTAAATTACGGGCCCAGTTGCCTCAGACATTTTCGTCACCCAAATTGGGCTCAAATGAAAACCCAACTGTGAGGTCACTGGGCTGGACATAATTTCCCTAATTGGGCACAAATGAAAACCCAAAAGTGAGGTCATTATGGAGAAGGGGATTGAATTCGGGTGTAAGAGAGCCGATACACTGTCTCGGCCAACTGGTCTAACACATGTCTACATTAGCTTATGAGGCAAAATATTGTTAAGCAATAATTAAGCAATTTGAACACGGAGAGAATGGCATAATACCTACCAACTACCAAGGCTCAACTCATAATTTAACCCACATGGAGATGATGGAGGCAATACCCCTCTAATCAAAGATGTGGTGATGATTAGCCTACTACAAATCACTTTAATATCATATCATCAGGATGTTTATGCTTTAGCTTTGCTTTACTAATGAGGATCATCATAGCAACACCGACACGTGCCGCTATACTCATTTAACAACTTGGTTAGCAGCAATGATGGTTTTGTACATACAGATTAACTTAAACATATGATCAGTTGTACATAATCCAAATTAATATGATCACATGCTAAACACCTTGTGCTTACATTTGATTTAATTTTCACTTTTCCTTTCTAGCTTGCTTTGTGTTCAACCTACAGGGAGGAATCCACAAAAGAGATTCTCACCAGCTGTGTAAAATCCTTGTCGGATTTTCTGCATAATTGGATAAGGCAACATGCAGCATTAAACAAGTAGAGAAAATGGAGATTGAAAATATGCAAAGAAGCTCCATTCAGCTCATCTTATCATCTAAAACTTAAAAAGAGACTCCAGAAGAGGTGAGCAGAAGCACTTTGTCCCTGAAGAATGTATGTATGTATGTATGTATTGGTATGCATGCATGCATTTTCCTTGTAATCTTTAAGAATGCCAATGTAACTAAAAAAATTTAGCATCAATTTTGAAACCATGAAGATCAACTTTGACATTCTGTTTTCTTTTACAACATGGAAATCCGACTTACAGCAGGAAAGGCTAATTGCTAGGAGGAGATTGTGAAGTTGACTTCCGTGTAGGCTAGGAAAGGAAAGCTGTGTTAACACACATACCTACTACAGTCTTTAATCAATAGGCTGCATGGAATTGGAACCCCAATGAGATGCTGCTTTCCATATTATTAACCAAACTTTCAAAACAAGGCCACCTAATACCAATGAGATGAGACCCTATAAAGAAAACTGTTAATTAAGGTCCACTTAAACATCATGATTACTTACTGGCTCGATTAACCAAACGAATGTTCCCCATTTGCCTTGTAATCTTTCACAAACTCATGTATTAAATGTCCTAAACACAAGACACAATCATGATAAACTTGCCCCACTTGCCAATTGTGCATAAATGATTTAATTTTGGCACAAAATTTTTCTTCAAAGCTCCAGCTGAATTCATGTCCAAGAATGAAAGCCTCCTCCAGTTCCAGGCAGCAGAGCAAGAAGCAAGTCCAGCTTCAGCAGAGAGCATGCAGGGCTCTGTGTTGCAGCTGCAGGCTTAGCGTGTCTTCATCGAATTCAGAGGAGGTAGAGAGCTCAAGCTCTGATAGGTACCCTTCCATATCAAGCCTGTCACATGCCATGGTTCAAGAGAGATTGGACCAAATGATTAGAGAGAGGCAGGAGGCCTCAAGATATGTAGATTGTCAGAAAAGAAAGCAGAGAGCAGGTGATCATCATCAACTTCAAGCAGGAGGAGGAACTAAATTCATTGTGATGGTTGCCATGGAAAAATGCTCTTACGATCCAAGAGAGGATTTCAGGGAGTCCATGGCGGAGATGATAATGGCGAACCGGATTGAAGAGCCCAAGGATCTTCGCAGCCTCTTGAATTATTATGTTTCCATGAATTCAGAGGAGTATCATGGGATTATACTCGAGGTGTTTCATGAAGTTTGCTCTCATTTATTCTTATGTAAATTCCATTAATTGATGACCACAGTGCTAATTATTTGAGCATACAAATGAAATGAGGATTATGGGATGATACTGAAGCGTTTGTCATTGTAGTTGTCCTTATGTAACTTAATTCATGAGATGATTTTCATGATAATATTGTGTGATTACGGTTAGCTCAAGTGGTTAATAACACTTGGTAGTATTTAATTATGCACTCGAGGTCTTCGATTTTCCTCTTTCCAAGCAGGAAAAAGAACCAAATTTAAAGGCACAATGCAAAACAAACATTACACACCTTAATCAACATATAAAAATTTATATATATATAAATCCAAATCACAATCGCAAATCAAACACAGGCATGATAATCTCAATTAGCATACAATTTATGACAAGTCCTTATTAGTACTAGTAGTCAGGGAAGATTGAAGACACATTAAAATTGTACAAATCATATAACGCTTCATGCTGGCTCTGTGATTCAGTTTGCCTTGGTCTTATCACATTGATTTTCTCTTGGCAAAGCGGCGGAAGGGCAAGAAAAAGGGGTGGGAAATCTTTTTAATTTTATGAAATATGACTTTGACAAACTGATACATAGGAAATTGCAGCAGGCCAAATAGAGGGACAGGAAAAAGGGCAACAGAGTAAAGCAGAGACTTAGTGCCACCGAAGACAATGAGCAGGAGATGGCCGCCAGGTCCATGCAGGTGAAGATCCAGAAGAAAGGAGAGTCTTTTGGTACTTTAAATGCATCACCAGGAATGACATAAGCTGCTGCAAAGACCACACCGGCGACGAGCACTGCAACGGTTGAGCACGACTGAGCTGTGTCTTTTATCCATTCCTGTGCTGACTTCAGAAGCTCATTGTGCTCCTCGTTGAACAGCTCCTCCGCTGTTTGATCCTTGTTGTTGCGGTGCATGGTGTAATTAGGTGGTACTACATTTTTCACACGCTGGAGACGAGAACATATATAAGTCTAAGCCCAACGTTACCACTTTTGTTATTAACAAGTTATCAGTACCATATTGTCAGTCCGTGAGTCCGTGAGTCCGTGACCGCCTCTTTTAATATCAAAGAAAAGAAAAAAAATCAAGTAAGTATGAATATAAAGGGGATCTTACCAACATCCATCGCAACTCAGCTTGCAATTGCATGGCTGGACCAATTAATTTCTGAGCCATTGCTATAGAGTAATCGCTCCTATTCTATCTGCAGCTTTGTGCAATATGGTGTTGCGATCACCGTCAATCCTCGCATTCAACCTTGACCTTATTGTTGGCTTGCTTTCGATAAGCTCAAAGATCTCTTTTTGACGGTGCTTAATGGCCAGATGCAAAATGTTCTGTTGATCAACGCTACCGTGCTCAGCTGCCTGAGGATGCTGCTCAAGTATCTCTTTAACAATAGGCACAAATCCTGTGATAGTAGCTATAAGCAATGGGGTATAGGTATAAACTTTCTGCTTCTTAGATTTGGTTGGTCCTGCAGAACCCTTTCCTTTTTTATATCCTACATGTTCCACTGGCACCACAGTCGTCTCGTCTTTTGCTTGTTTAGTATTCTGGCACGAATAACCTTTCTCGGCGAGCAAAGGGATGAATTTCTCTAGAAAATTATTAAGTTTCTCGACTTAATTATAGTAAAACTCATGGACATGTGCCAACATTTGAGAAGGGTGATGAGGGGAGTGAAAATGCTCTCCCCTAAAAGGGGGGAAAAATAAACTATGTTGTATACCTATATGATTATAATATAAGTGGATATTTATTGATAGTATTCCAAATGACCATTGAGGTGTTCTTACAATTATTCAAGTATTCAAATTTGACGGCAACAACATAACTACTGCTATCCCCTATCTATCTCACGCTATGCTCAAGAAATGCAAGCATAAATTTAGACATGTTTGTCCTTGGGAACCTGGCCCACTTGCCAACTGTGGATAAATGATTAGTGTTGCACAAATTTTCCTTCAAAAAGCTCCAACTTAATTCACGTCCAAGAGCGAAGGCCTCCAATTCCAGGCAGCAATAGAGAAAGAAGCTGGTCCATCTTCAACAGAGACATGCAGGGTTCTGTGTTGCAGTTGCAGCCTCCAATTTTAAAAATAATTTTTTTGGTGTTCTTTAATTATGTTAAGCATACAAATGAAATGAGGTCTCCGGTTCTCCTGTTCACGGTAGCTTGCTCAAGTGGTTAATAACATTTAATCGCAATTGAGGTCTCCGGTTCTCTTGTTCCCAAGAAATTAAAGGCACATAAGCAAGTCATATATGCTAAATAAACATTAGACACCTTAAGCAAATACAAATGTGTATATATTGTGGGAGCAAATGTTTTCCTCTCCAATCACGGCACGCCACGTGGAAAAGAAGATTATATCTTAAATTAATTAATTGAACTTGGCCAATTAATTAATAGGGATAATATCTGAATTAAATATGATATCATCTTTATTTAATAAGATAATATCATTAATTCAGATATTATCCTAATAAAGAGAAGATAATATCATTAATTCAGATATTATCTTCATAAAAAGAGATAATCATTCATTCAGATATTATCAAGTCCGACTCGATCCCTACAAATTTGGGTAAAGAATAAACTCATCAGAATAAGAGTTTATCCTCTACGAAACCCTAGCCCCGGGGCTCCTATAAATAAATGACTTCATTTATCATTCAAGGTACATCTAAACTTACTCCTAAACCCGAGAAAAATACCCGAATCTCTCTCTCCCTTTCCACTCTCCATATTTTCTCCACACGGCTTTGGCCACTACACACGGCTCCGGTCGTCCGGTTCACACCATACATAGAACTCCGTACCCTTTGCTTAGCTATTGTTTTCCTACAAACACTCGAACTAACATAGGAATTGGAGGGCCTTTGGCCAACACCCCCCGGTTGTGATACGTTTACTCCAATCTTTTTTACAGGAATCGAGGAAGAGAGAGAGGAAGATCAAAGGTTGAAGGATCTAGAAGCAAATATTCTCCCGCGAGATTATTTGCACAAACATATATAACCCAAATCACAAAGCAAATCAAACAGAAGCATGATACTGAATCTTTATTAGCATACAATTAATGATGACAAGCCTCTTCAATAGTCTTCTTATTGTCCATATTAATTGGGAATGAAGATTGAAGACACATTAAAATTGTACAAATCATATACTTCTTCATGCTAGCTTTGTGATTTAGTTCGCCGTGCTCTTACCACATATTGATCTCCTCTTCGAAAAGCCGAGAAAAGGAATGAAGATGGGGAGGAAAATCTTGGTAACTTTCTGATACATAGGAAATTGCAGCAAGCCGAATAGAGGGACGGGAAAAAACGCAATACAGTAAAGCAGAGACTTAGTCCATTTCTTCTCGATATGAATCACAAGCAAAATGGTAGCAGCAAAGGCGAGCATGGTGGTTGCCATGGACAAGAAGAGCAAGGTGAACCCGATCATGAGCTTGCGGGGAAGATCGTGATAGAAAAACGGGTACTCAAGGGGAGAGGAGAGGATGGAAAGGAAAAAGGCCACCGAAGACAATGAGCAGGCGATGGCCACGACGTCCATGCAGGTGAAAAGCCAGAAGAGAGGAGAATCATGGAAAACAGGAAGGCCATTTGGTTCGTTACCCCCAGGCATGGCGTAGGCGGCTGCAAAGACCACGGTGGCCACCAACACTGCAACAGTTGAGCACGACTGTGCTGTGTCTTTTATCCATTCTTGTGCCGACTCCAGAAGCTCATTATGCTCATCATTGAACAGCTCATCCGCTGTCTGATCCTTGTTGTTGTGGTGCATGATGTAATGAGGTGGTAATATGTTCTTCACACCCTGGACACAAGAGCACACACTTTTATCAAGTTGACCGACGGACTAGTAAGTTGTGAGTATGTGAAGAATGTTCTGCATTGGAAAGTTAAGAAACCTCGCAACGGCCAATTGGTTAGCATGAACATTTTGTTTTATCTATTGTCAGTTTGTCCTTCTCGTTCAGAGAAGAAATGTATAATAAAGTAAATGCGAATATAAAAGGGATCTCACCATCATCCAAAGCAACTCTGCTTGCAATTGCATGGCTGGGCCAATTAATTTCTCAGAAATTGCTACAGAGTAGTAGCTCCTATCTGCAGCTTGGTGCAATATGGTGTTGCCATCGCTGTCAATCATCTCATTCAACCTTGAGATGGTTATTGGCTTCCTTTTTAGAAGCTCAAGGATCTCTCTTTGACGGTGCTTAATGGCCAGATGCAAAATGTTCTGTTCACTATCGCTAACGTGCTCAGCTGCTTGAGGATGCTGCCTAAGTATCTCTGCAACAATAGGCACAATTCCAGTGATAGTTGCTATAAGCAATGGGTTATACTTATACATGCTCTGCTTCTTAGAATTGGTTGGTTCTGCGGAATCCTTTCCTTTTTGGTCTCCTCCATCATTATCACCCTTACAAAGATTTTCCACTGACCCCAGAGAAATCGTCTTGCCTTTTGCTTCTTTAGAATTCTGCCATGAATTGTCTTTCTCGACGAGCAAAGGGATAAGGTTTTTAAGAGCATGTTTAATTCTCTTATCCTTCCAGATCTTTTCGATTATATCCATTTCTATCCATCAAGGCCAAGCTTATACACGATTAGTTCATGTATAAGAGAATCAAATGAAAGAGAAATGAATTAAGCGCTATAATTAAGCAAGCATGCATGCATCATAAAGTATAGAAAAGACAGAAACTGAGCAACCTTTAGCAAGGAAGTCCCACAGGGAAGTGTACACCTTCAGAATACCTGCAATGTTATGCATGCAACTTCATCAGGATCCTAGCTATATTAAACTTGTATATAAATATTAGTTCAAAAAATCTGGTTAACAATTAAATAGATCACAAATTATTTTGATTACCTTCAGGCTTCTTCCAAGAGATGGCTTGGTGGGGTTGGTTGCTGCCCAAGCTGCTCTCCACATCATCCTTGGGATTTGCTGTGACCTCCAGGTCTCGAGCAGGAAGGCCTGCAGCAGCATGTATAACAAGAATTAATATGCATGTCAATGTCATAAAACTTGAGCATCTGTTAACTGATGTGCTGTAATTAAACTGCAAGGCTTAACCATCATACAATAATATATGAGCATCTTCCATCTGCTTTGTTGAAATTGCGGTGTGAAGGCAGTTGGCATTTGGGCTAGCAACTGAAGGCTTGTCAATCCTTTACCTTCCCTCTTAGTTGCAAGAAATAGGTACTTGCTCTGCAACCAAAGAGCAGTCCCTGCATATTGGATGCCAAAAGAACAGTTGTATAAATTAATGTGCACTGCATACATTACACACACACACACACACTCACATATATATATATATATATATAGAGAGAGAGAGAGAGAGAGAGAGAGAGAGAGAGAGAGAGACTAAATTGTTGGCCAATGACTGCAATATGAAGAATGGACATTCTATCATTTCGGTGGAAGTGCCTCCGAAGATTCTCCGGATTCTCCTCCTCCAGTTTGTCAGCAAAAAACTGGACCAGGTCAGGGTGACCAAGAGCAACAGCCCTGTACAATGGCGATTCTCCTAACTCGTTCCGAATATCTAGCAGAGGCAGTGTAGAATTCTCCTCGTTACTAGTTTTTCCTGCGGGTTTGTTGAAGTTGCTCACTAAGAAAGTTGCTGCCTCCAGATTGCCGGACATCGCCACCTCGTGAAGAACGTTGTTGCCGAGTTTATTTGGAACCCTCACGGCCTTGCATCTTTCATCATAGCTTGGTGGCAGTAAATTAATCAAGAATTCAAGGACTTGTTTGCCCTGTGATTTTCTCCTGCAGCAGGAAGCTACAATGTGCAATGCAGTGTCTTCGTCCACTGTCATTGGACAATTCAGTTTTTGCGGATTGTCCACGTAGTATTTCTTCATGCCTTCCCAGTCATTCTCCATGGCTAGATCATAAGGAAGTTTCAGTACTTCAATTTCACTTGCACTCTCGCCCACCCCCTCTTCTTTAAGAACATCTTCCGTTCTCCAGTACGCCATATCTGCGTGCTCTATCTCTAAGTCCTCCATCCCTACTTGCTCCTGCTCTGTGTGGTGGTTTTTGCTTCATTTTATACCTAGGCTAGCTGCTCCTTTTGTATAAAAAATTCTTATGTGCAACTGTTAAACTTTGATACTTTGCTTAATAAATTCCTTTGATAGTTCCTTTGATCAATGGGGTATAGTTATAAAGATGCTGCTTCTTGGATTTGTTTGATACTGCAGAACCATTTCCTTTTTCATCTCCTTCATTATTACTAACATTTTCCACTACTGCCCCCAGATTAAGGTCTCGTCTTTCGCTTTTTTAGAATTCTGCCATAAATGGTCTTCCTTGATGAACAAAAGGACGATTCCTTTAGAGAATTTTTATTTTTCTTGTCCTTCCAGATGTTATCGATTATGCCAATTTCTATCCATCACGATGATCACCATCAAGATTATACACGATAAGTTAATGTACAAGAGAATCAAATGAAAGAGAAATTAATTGAAGGAATATAATTAAGCAAGCATACACACATGCATCTTGGGTTTTATTTTGTAAGCATGTGTTGCGCGGGATGTGCGTGGACACAGCCGTTATTATTAATTCCTGGCTTTCATTTCACAGGAGGAGGAGAA